CTAGTGCAAGGCAGCAAAGACCCGGGACTTGGTGAGAAAGTAAATTAATAGGACAGGAAGCTAATACTTCAATGAGTGACAGGACAAATGAACTTGACACCATTTCTTCACCAGTTCAATTAAATGTAAGATTGCTGCACAGAAAAGTCTGGGTCATGGTTACAACATCTAAGTGACAATATTTTGTTCACTCTATGGACAACTGTGGATTAAAGGTTTAATTCTTCTAAAGAGGGATTTATTTTCTTCAAAGAAACATGTCTTCCTTTTCCATTGGTGTGGGTATGTATAGAATCGCTGTCTAAAGTTGTTAAAGAAGGCTTTGGCAGTTGTTTTGATTGCTTAGTGTACTTTGAGTAATAGAGGACAGAATGACAGTGGTACAGCTAGACTATTTTAAGGCTTGATTTTGAAGATTCCATGTAGAGACTGTATCTATGCAACCTTGACTATGGACTTTGAAAATAATGTAGATTTTATTGTTACACTTTATGTCTCATTTATCCCATTAACTATTCAATGCTAAATAATGTTTGTATAATCAGTTCAGAGCATAATCCTGTACATGTTTAGATTGTTAAAATGTAATATAATTCTTGGCTGGAGAATTCTGGCAGTTGTAAGACTTTTTTCTGAATAGAATTGTGCTTCAGGGAACAATCCTAAACCAACAAACCAACCAACAAACAACTGAAGGACCATTAGAAATAGGGTTAAATCTGGTCTCTTTAACCTTTGTTCCCACAGAACCTTTCTGGGTACCCACCAAGCTCCATACTCCTTCTGAATTTTATCTTATATATATTTCTTCACAAGAACTGGGAAGTTGCCATGCAGAAGCAGACAAAGATCCACCAAACTCCAAGCCCTCTGGAACCTTTGATACATACACCAAAAATAGAACCTAAACTATCACAGCATTGGAACTGGTGTAGTTAATTCTTTGCTAATGACCACCATGAAAGCAGAAAAGAAGAAAAATCCTTCTCCCAAGAGAAGAAAGGAATTGCACCAGCTCGTGTGTTCTGACCACAACATGCTGACAGGGCTTTGTATGCGGCAGTTGCTCCCCTACAGAATCTACACTTCCTAGAGGATTGCTCTGTTCAGTTCTGTGAAGACCTTGCCAACCAGACTGCATTTGTGATATAGGGATGATATAGGGAAAATGTACAGGGCTCAGGTATGAATAACAAAGTGTGTGCATGCATTCATAAACACTTCTAGGTACGCACACTGAAATTTGCCACATTTGCTGTCTGCTTCTCTACCAAGGGAGGCAATGTGAGCAGTAAACTTCTGCTTTCCATGAAAATGTTCTATTGTCTATAGACAAAGTTCTTCAGCATTACTTGCCTAGACAAACATTAAGGGAACCATCTGATGTGGCTATCTTTTAACTCTCTGGATTCAGAGGATTACAGGCATCCAATGGAAGATGGGAAGAGAGCAGAGGCTAGGATTGCCTCCACACACTCTGCACCTTCAAAACATTTAAATGGGCAACTTCAGCTCTCTAAATAGTTTTTGCATCCTTATGAGAAGAGGCTAAGGCACTGCCAGGATTTCATGGAGAGCAGTGCCTTACACCTCTCTCCTTGCCTCCTGGAACATGCCACTCATGTCAGTTCTAAAGAGAGTCTTCCATCTTTGGAGCCCAGCCAACATGGAAAGACCATGATGTCTATGAAAGTAGATGGGGGAAGTCCTCCAAGATCAAAGTCCCAGCACTGATCTCAGAAGGCTGAGACTTCCATGGCCTCCACCCTCACAAGAATGTTAGGAAGCCATAGGGTTGCACGTAAGGGTGCTGAAGTTTACACAAATAATATTGGACAATCTGGCAATGGTCTGTTTGTGCTGCATCTGTTGCCTTGACTGTTTCTAAGTCTGATCCAAGTTAGTGTTTAATCTCCCTTCATAACTCACACACAAATTCACCAAACATGGGAAGAGTGGGAATCATGCCCACACTTCCCATACTTGCTGGCCATGGAGAAGCTGATGGCCTTAGAGGCATGTCTTCTCAACTGAGGTCTCTGGCTCCAACATGCTCATTTCTCAGGAGCAGATTAATTCTTCTACTCCCAGACACTGACGACATCACAATAAAGCTTCTAATGTTATTTTGATCCATTCCTGGTATTGTATTTTAACTGTTCAGTAGCATTTTACATATTTACATTTTATAGAAAATGTTATATTGTCATTAGGTTGTATTTTGGGGTTACAGTTTTTATGACCACTCAGAAAGCATTGGCTGCAGGGTAGTTGAGAAATGAAATGCATTAGACATTATGTAGAGCTCTTCCTTACAATAGCACAAATGAACATGTGTGAGCTGAAAATGTGCAAGGCCCCTTCCCATTAACATTTTCAACACACTGAATGATACCAGTCCTATTCCCCATTCACACATTTGACAAATGTGGGGAAAGGATACTGTACACACAGCCTAGGGCTGACACCCTGAGGGACTTCTCTCCCCTATGAGTGGCTCTCATAGTGGTCACAATTGGCAGTTCAAACTCATGCCTTTTCTGCTTCAGAATAATCTATCCGTAAATGTTAAGAAATATTCATTTCTGTCTGCTTTCATAAGGCTTGTAAAAATATTACCTCATGTTTACTGAGTCTGGTCAGGAAATGCCATGTACAGTTCTTTAAGGTATTTTGGTGGTTTTATCATGTACTGTGTTATTATGCTAATATTATGTTTACTTTGTGGAATGTTTTGAGCATTTGCAAAAGCAGTGAATACTTTAAAAGAAATGGTCACTGTATAAGAAATGATCACAGTAACAGATAGGTGTAGACCAACCTTCTTGCCTCTTATCTGTTGACATAGAGTCCAAAACATTTAGAGGGCATTAGGCTGAGGAATGTTGGTTGGAAAATAAAAGTTGCCTACATGAAAATGTAAAATTGAGCTTTTTTCCATAGCATGAATAATGGATTCCATTAGATGGAAGGTTTTGTTCCATCTTTGTATTGATAAACTGAATCAGTATCTGCAACATTAAGTAAAACTTGCATTAATCTCAAAAGCAATCTTCTTTTAGGAACATTTATGCTACCAAAACAAGTGCCACCTAATTTATCTAAGAACATATTTTGACTCAAGGCTCAATGTATTGTAATGAAGGCACTATAGTGAAAATAAATAATTTCCTTCATACATAGGTAACATTTTGAGAGGTATGAAATCTGGAGGAATGCATCCCATTACCTTCATCTTGAGATTACTGATAAATTATTTCCGTCTAAAGAAGGGATTCAATTACCATTCTCTGTGGGAATCTTTGCAGGCTAAGAATGTAATTTTGCGGTAAAGGCCTGCCATCAGAACTAGTCAGCCCACTCCCTGCAACTAAAGGAGAAACATCTGGCAGATGTTTATAGGAGGCACTATCAGCACGAAGTGTATACTTCTAAGAGGGAATGTATCATGTGACAATTGCTATGATACTTTATTTCTAAGCATAATTTGTACAGAACTTAGAAATACTATGAAATGTTCATTTTCTTATTTCCAAAAACAAGAAGGTATGTGAGAAAAGGGGCAAAAGATTGTGCATATAAATCATATATGTGCATATGATGGAAGAGTTAAGAAATGTATTTAAATGTCATTTTCTTTCATGAGAAGGAAAAGTAACTTGCATAGTAACTTGAAGCTTTAGAAAGTTGAAGCATTATAGTGATATTAATGTGCTAGGACTTTCAGCCCACTGGTAAAGGTAAAGGTTTCCCCTTGACAGTAAGTCCAGTCATGCCTGACTCTAGGGGACGGTGCTCATCTCTGTTTCCTAGCCAAGGGAGCCAGCGTTTGTCCGCAGTCTCTGTGGTCATGTGGCCGGCATGACTAAACACCGAAGTGCACGGAACACTGTTATCTGCCCACTGAAGTGGTACCTTTTTATCTACTTGTATTTACATGGTTTCGAACTGCAAGGTTGGCAGGAGCTGGGACAGAGCAACAGGAACTCACTCCGTTGTGCAGATTCGAACCGGCGACCTTTCGATCAACCAGCCCAGCAGCACAGCAGTTTAAACTACCACGCCACCTGCAGGCCCTTAACATATTTAAATAAAATGTCATTTTCTTTCATGAGAAGGAAAAGTAACTTGCAGAGTAACTTGAAGCTTTAGAAAGTTGAAGCATTATAATGATATTAATGTGCTAGGACTTTCAGCCCACTAGTATACCATTTTTATTTACATTTATTTTTCCAAAGTTTATTCTGCATGTAGACAGGCAAACAGGAAACTATAATCCACTGATTGATGGCTACCTTAGTTTCAATATTCAGTTCATCATTGTGAATTCACTAGCTGAACAGCAGGATTATTTTTCTTAACTTCACTTTTGTAAAATTGGAATGATTCAATTCTCAGGGCTTAACTGACAGCCAAGGCATCATATTATAAAGCATTTTGAATAGTTAACTGGTTTGTTGTGCAGTGTGCCCACACAGCTAAAGCAGTGGAAACAGTGCCATGGGCCCTGAGTAAGTGCCACAGTATTAAAAATGCCAAGCATCAAGGAGATCTCATTGGGTTTGGAATTTTATCTCTAATTTCCCCCACAGATATAATCAATCTTTGCTAAGACCAGTCTGCTCCACTATTAATTGCTACAGATTCAGGGGAGGGGGTAGAAGAGGAGCAGAAGTACTGGAGAGTTATAACGGAGAAAGAGACATGATGATATAGCTGTTTTTAATTAAATGAAATATATGAAGATGCATACATGCTGGCTGGCTAACTGAATTAAATTAATGAAGATATGTGAGAGTCTGGCTTTTACGGTTTAGATTAAAATTTAGATGCTATGTAACAAAGTGGAAAGGTATTATACACTGGGGTAATTATGATCTGATTTCAATGATTTAATACATTTTCCCCAAATTTCTGGTCAATAATAATGAAATTTACAGTTACCTATATAAAAGTATTAAACCAGTTCTAATTAAGCATACAGAAAAATAAAACCCAACTATAGTTTTACACAAATCTTTATTTTATAGCTTAGAATTTTAGCCCATTTGACTTTATATTAATCATCTGGTGGTATCACTGGCAAGCCGTTCAAATCACATTCTGAATACTCCAAACTCTGTCTTCTTGGTGGGAGCATTGAGTGCAGCACTCAGGCTGAGCCCCAAAACTAGTCTTGTGTCAACGGGATCAATAATTCCATCATCCCACAGCCTGGAGCAAACAAAAGAAAAACAGGTGACGTGAGAAACTGGATTTTAATGTTATCAGAGCCACATGGGAACTGTTTTTCAGTATACAGCTCCTCTGCAGTTCAAAGTATTACTGAAGTTATCCAACAATATTGGCAGGGGCCACTTGTGGTTCTGGCGGCTTTGCAGGAAAGGAGGGCACTAATTTCATGGGTCCTGACTGTCCTCTCAGAATGGGGTCTCCAGGATCACAGCAGAATCCATTTGGTTCTTGAACTGCCATTCAGGGTCAGCCATGCAATATTAAACATATACTTCTATTAGAAGAAAAAGGAACAAAAATAAAAAGTGCCCAAAATTTAACAGAAAAAAATGTATTTTCCATATCTGCACTACAGTGAAGAAAAAATGCCCACTGTCTTCACAGAAGCCACAATCCAATTCAGGGGTAAGTATACTTAAGTCTGTGTTGAATTGTAGCACAACTCACTAAACAGTGACTTAGTTCGTATGTACCAAGAAGTCACCTTAGTACATACGATTTCTCCACAGGGCTTGCCATCATGGCAGCTGCCATTTTGAAAAATAGAGCCATGGAGGGGGTCCGCTACAGTTTATAATTGGAGAAGAACCTGGCAAGGGTGGGTTGCTGGGATGGTTGAACTATCACACAGAACCCACAAACTGTTTAGGGCTTTAAGTAGCTTGTCAACCACCTCAGAAACCCAGCCTTATATCTGCATGTAAAAAGAAGCTGTAACACACCCCTAGCAGGCCCTGATTAGTCAAAATGGCAGCCCAGCTCCAATGAAAAGTCTCACAAAGCCTCACTCACAGTGGCTTCTTATTATGTGTGAATCAGTCCACTCTGTGTCAGTTTCATTTGGAATCTTTTATTGTGACACTCTGGTCTAAGCATTTACACCAATGTATCTTCTCTTGCCATCTTAACAGGCTAATCTTATTTTTCAGACACTCTTAACCATTATGTAAAGGCACAGTGAGCTTTAGGGTCTCATTGGAAAACTGAAGCATCCAATAATGAATCCAAACATATAGGACAGAATCTAAAATATTTTCAAGCCACCTTAATTTTAGCAGGAGTAAGTATATGTCCATAGGTGTTAACCTCTATACAATATCCATGTTCTGAATAAGAAAATGTAAATAAAGACTAATTACCAGGCACAGTCTAAACATCAACTAATGAGATTTAATTCAAAGATATTTAAAGTTGTGAGGTATCTCAGCAAAGCCCTGAAGACATATGAATCTTCATTGTTCAAGCATATTTCCAAACAGATGAAAAATAATCTCTGTCATAACAAATTCTCTTTAAGCAATGAATTCAACACTTGTAAAAGATAATAAAACACATTGCCCAATCCTGACCACATCCATATGTTTAGCATTAGATGTGTGACCAGCATGAAAGCCAATCTCAACTCTGTCTTTCTCTCTCTCTCAGTTCATTTGATTATTATTTGAAAGAGCAGGAAGGAGTTAGAAAGGAGGCCATCTGAAAAAAAATTAAGTGCTTTAAAATATCTATGAATAAGCAATAAGAACTGGATGTTAAAAACAGGGCATTTTCCTCCGGCTAGAGACTGAAATCTTCACTTGTTAATTGTCTAAAGATTATATTTTTAAATCTAATTACGAAGGAAACGTGCAGCTCAAATTTCAACGGTTGATACTGCAAAAGAACAGGCCAATCCAAACTTCATCTTGAACATCAATACATAGTTCTGCCACCCAACCCCATTAATGCTTGCAAATTGTAAAATTGGTTTCATGCTGCTACTCTCAAATGCCCTTTGAAAGGGTTACTATTTTCAAGCAACTAGAGGCATAATCTTACACCTGTTTAGAGAGAGAATAGTCCTACAATGTCCAGCATACTCCAGCCAGCATACCCAGCTGAAGAGATGCTGGAAGTTGTAGTGGTTATGTTTAAACAGGCATAGGATCACACCCTAACCGGTTATACAAAACTATGACATCTAGAAGTACAATAGAGCCATTACCAAGTAAAAGAAAGATGTACACTGAACATTTATAGCTCTTCTACAATTATCTTTCAAGTTGTATTTCTAGTGACATATTCTGAAACATGCCACAAGGAACAATGACTTCACATCTTACAGTTTAAGGCTGAACCTATGAGGTTGATGGAGATTTACTGTATGTAAAAGGGGTGACTGAACTATGTGAGAAACATAAGGTCAGGACTTTTCCTCACTAAATCAAAGGGGACAAGAGGCATCTCCTTTAGACATGATTTCATAATTCTTGAAAAATACAGGTTCACCATTTAGAATGGGCTCATGGATGCAGCTATACTTCTGGATGGCCAAATAGTGCCTGTTGCCCAGGGTGCCTCTGTAGATGTGGTTGCTGTCATTCATGCCTTGCTTACATCTAGGTTACATTACTACATAATCTACTACAAAATCTGGCCTACTTCCATATGAGAAGTGTACACAGCACACTCCAAAAAGTGTTCAAAAACTTCAGCTGGTACAAATTATGGTAACTAGAGTTTTGAGTAAAGACAGTATTTTGCCATGTAGCTCTATTACTGTACCAGCTGGTCTGGGTCCTATCCCTGAGCCATGTTCAGAATGCTGGTAATGACTTTCAGGCCTAAATAGCTTGGGAACAAATACTTAAAATGTAATTTCATCCTATAATCCCACTTTCCTGCTCAAATCTTCAGTGGAAGCTCTGTTTATATCCCACCACAACCAGAGGCATAATTGGTGGGTATCTGACCTCCTCAGTCATGGCACCAAGACTATGGAATTCTCTATCTCAGGAAGCCTGGCTAGTCTACTCTCTGGTGTTGGTTTTAGATGCCTTGTAAAACCTGTATTGTTCCACCATGCTTTTTGCATAGAGGACCCTAACCTCTAAGATGGTAGTTTTAAAGATTAAAAAAAATCTGCTGTAGTCTTTATTTTTAATTTGAATATTTTACTACAGTATTGTTTTCTATTTTACAGGTGAAAACTGTGCCATTTCACCTGTAAAAACTGTATCCAGCTGTACCCAATAATAGTAGTAAATAAACTTGATAGCACTAATAAGGATGGGGCCCAGTGTGCTTACCAACCAAATGATAGCAACCAAATGACAGCAACCTCATTCGGTGGCACTGCAAACCTCGCTTAACTACAAGGCAACTCAGATTAAAATCTGAGCTAAAGAAGAATTCTTCTACTAGGATATTTTTAAATTTAAAATTTTTTAGCCAAGATCTCAAAATTAAAGCATATAATGCAATTGTCCATTTTCTAAATGTAATTGATCCAACACAATTACCTTAAAACTACAACCTTATAAGTGTCCTATAGTAGAACAAAAATGCCTTTCCATCCTTTAAATCTTTAGAATACAATTAAGTTTCAGTAATATAGAGATCTATTTATTTTTGACAATTTGAAAGATTTTTCTGCATATGGTAAGATTACTTTCTGCAAGTCACTATGGCTTGTCTCTTTGTTTAGTGAAAACTACCTTCTGTAGTGGGACAAAACATTAATTATTGAACAACCTATCAAGCCCCTTGGTGAGAACATGAATCATATCTCTGGTCGTAAAAAATTTATAGCAGAGCCTCTGCAAGGAAAAGATGAGCAACTTTCTTCCTGAGCCGTATGCCTGACATTCGTTACAAGGTAAACTGATTAAACTACTTTTAGACACCTGTAAGCAGATTAATCTAGTTCATTAAGAAGATGTCTGGCTAATGAGCCTAGATAATTAAGACCTCTGCATGTGAAAGCTTCTAGACAGACATATTTTATGTGGGAACAGAACTAAAGAGTAGACAACTGACATCCTGAGCATAAACTAAGATATAATTGATATGCAAAATTAATAAAGAAATCTGCTCCTATTTAAAAACAACAACAACAGCACATATTTTTTCCTAGCCTCATTTTATAATTCAAAGGCACGGTTCCTGATAAAATACCTCCATGGTGCATTCAATATAATTTGCACAATTATCTATGCACATCCATGATTGCACCCACTCAACAAAGAGGTCAAGTTCTGCTGTGGAGTACACTGTGAGACATGCTGAAAGTATTTCGAAAACTGAGGAAGAAGCAAGAGAAGAACAAGCCACAGTAAGCCTGAGGATCTGTTGGGCATACCATGGGTGGTTTTATGAACAACATACTCTGCCTAGCTTATTCACAGGGTGGGTCAGTATGCTGTGAGAACATGGCCTCTATTACCTAAAAGGTCCAAGCACAGGCATAGCAAGGTCAAGTACAGCTGAAGTGTTTTCTCACAGCGAAGTACAAATGGTAGAACACCTAATTGTTATCTTTGTCCTGAAATTAATAAAGATTTCTCATTACAGGCCAAAAGTTATAGGCCTAAATTAAGACAGCCTCTTGTGCAAGTGCCTACCACTCCAACTATCTTAGAAGACACATGTGGTTTCTTGTATGACAAGTATGTCTATACTGCATGCTTAAAAATCCAGCCTTTTAGCATACATTAAAAAATTGTAAAGGCCATCTAGTGATTATATCCAAAAGATTACATGCAGAGAAAATACTAATTTTTATCCCTAAATTAGTATTTGATGTAAACACATACAGTTTGACAACAATTTAACATAATTTATTGTGTGAAACATTTGCTTGATCTGAGTATAACCCAACAGTAACAGATGGAGATATTTGTCCCTTCTTCCTCAGGGAAATATATGATGTTTTGTGACAAGAAGGCACATTCAGATACTCAAGTGTTAGAACTATAAACACTTTTCCCAACCACAATGCAGCACCCTTGTTTATACTGGTTGTAAAGCTAACTGATATTCATGGTTATCTATTTCATCTAAGAATTTGGGGCCAGGGTATCTAAAGGAGCACCTTGTCTCATATGAACCTACCTGGGCCCTTAGATCTGCATCTGAGGCCCTTCTGAGGAAGTCCTCTCCTCGGGCAGTAAGGAGGGTGGCAACAAGAAGGGCCTTTTCAGGAGTGACACCCTGATTTTGGAACGAGCTCCCTGGAGTGGTTCGCCTGGTACCCTTTTTATACTCTTACTGGCCCCAGCAAAGACCTTTTTACTTTGCCGGTAGTTTAACTGTTAATCTGTTTTGAGTATGCTTTGCCTTTTATGAAATCCTTAGTTCTATTAAGATGAGGAGGGTGTGCTTTTATTGTCTCACTGGTTTATCACTATTTGATGTTTGTGTTTTTATATTGTTTTTAGATGGTTTTATTGTTGTAACCCGCCCAGGATACCATGTGGCTAATAGTGTAGGTTAGAAATTGAAAAATGCATGCATGCATGTATCCATGCATAAATAAATAAATATTATTAGCTGAAATCAGCCATCTTCATAAAATGTCCTTTGAAGCTCCTTCTTTCATCTAACCATAATTAACAGTAACTTCCAGTTTCTTTATTTAAGCTGTGCCAGATGAGATTGGAGAGAGTAGTCTTGAAGCTTCTCCTCATCACACTAAACCATAATTTAGCATTGCATCTGAACCAGTATGCCTAACTCAGGAAAATGTATTCTTCTAGTTCACTATGATTATTTGCTATTGGTATAAAGATGGTGAGTAACAGGTTCTAAGTTGTGCATTTAAACCCACACTGATAAGCATCTTTTAATAAATCACACTGGATATTCAAAATGGAAAATTCAAAGTTCTTTTGGAAGAGAAAGGTCTAGCATTATTCTCTATCTACATGGTTGTTTAGATGTATTTCTTGAATGAGTGCCACAAATTAGCTGTTAAAATATGATCTTGTGTCATTAAAAAAATTACATCAATAAAAATGTTAAATTACATCATACATATACCCTATGCTTTACTAATTTTAAGACAGATGTGTGCTGTCTTATAAAATGCCAGGTGCACCATGAAACAGAAGATCTAAGAAAATTAGTACAACCCAGTACACAAGAGACTGGAGCCTGATCTCTAAAGATAACATGTCATATTCATGCTCAGGTACACAGAGTGATCTTACACAAATTCATTATCTTTCAACCTTAGCACAATTAAGACCATTATTTACCTCGCAAACCAATTTTATGGATGTACCACACTTAATGCATATAAAAATGCTTCAAAAGAGCTAGTAATAAGAAAATGATCCAGCCAAATGCCACTCGCTCACGCAGCTTAGCTTCATCACTCACACACACACACAACCCACCATATTACTTACAATGTCCTGCAGAAGTATTAAACCCCTTTTGACTTTTCCACATTTTTTGTGTTACAACCTGGAAATGAAATGGATTTAATCGGCACCGTGTATGTGTACAAGATGCTCAACACTGTGAAGGTGCAAAATATTTTTAATGTGGCACAAAACTTAAGGAAACAAAAACAACGTCGCACTTTTGGCTGCATAACTATTCACCCCGAGTCAAGAGTTAGCAGAAGCACCTTTGACAGCAATTATATCTGTGAAACTTCTTGGATAAGCCTCTGTCAACTCTGTATCTGGATCCCGCAATGTTTGCAGATTCTTCTAGGCAAAACTGCTCCAGGTCTGCCAGGTTGGATGGGGACTGCAGTGAACAACAACCTTCCTGTCTTGCCACAGATTCTGAATCAGACTGAGGTCTGGGCTTTGACTGAGCCATTTTAACACATTCATGTTGCTTTTATACCTCTCCAGTGTTATTTTGTCCTGCTGGAAGGTGAACCTTTTCCCTTGTCTCAGGTCACTTGCAGAATCAAATGGGTTCCTCTAGAATTCCTCTGTATTTGACCCCATCCATCTTGATCTTGACCAGTTTCCCAATCCCTGCCAAAGAAAAGCACCCGCTGCTGCCACCACCACGCTTGCCTGTAGGGAAACTGTTCTTAGAGCAAGGAGCACTGTTGGCTTTGCCGCATGCAGGGCATTTTGCGGCTACGACCAGATAAACTTTTTTCCACAGGTCTCCCACATGCCTTTTTGCAAATCCAGACAGACTTTAATATGGGTTTGTTCAGCAACATCTTTCTTCTTGCCACATTTCCATAAAGCCCAGTTTGTGAAGCCTCTGAATGACAGGTGTCCCATGGACAACTTCTCCATTTCAGATACAGATCTCCCCAGTTCCTTCAGAGTTACCGGCAGCCTCTTGATTGCTTCTCTGACTAATGCCCTCCTTACCTGGTTCTGAGATTTGGCAGCTGACCTTGAGGAAGCCACAATCATTTTTCTATTTTGCAATAACGATCATGGTCATAGTTCATGGGATCTTTTATTAAATTAAAGAATCCAACCCCAACTGGAGCTTCTGCATAACTTTATCCTGGAGTTGTCTTGATAATTCCTTGGACTTCATGATGCTACTGATATAGATATTCTTTTCAATGTTCTCTGGAGCCTTCCAGAAACAGGTGTATTTAATCTGCAGTTGTGCGGCAGAGCGAGATTCCGGTATGTGACCGCTGGAGACAACAGCCTGCGCCAGACCTTATTTAAGCATGCTACAAGAAAGCAGATGACTACTTAAGTAACCAAACAATGCCACCTTTGTTTTGCTTCCTTAGCTTTTGTGCCATAATAAAAAGATTTGCACATTGACAGCATCATGTAACTTTGTACATCAAGTGGGAACAATCACAATTAAACTCATTTCAACACAAGGTTTTAACACAACCAAATGTGAAAAGGTCAAAGGGGAGTGAATATTTCAGCAATATATTGTATAACTTACCGTGCACTGGAATAGTAAGGATTGCCTTCCTCTTCAAACCTCTGGATGATTGGTTCTTTCAGAGCTTTTTCCTCCTCTTCAGATAGCTATAAAATAAGAAGTGAACAAAGCTGGGAAAAGTGACCATCTTAGGGTTAGGAGATTATACATTTCTGTGTGCCTTTGAGTTTCTACCTTAACTTTTACCTAGCATGTCCACTAAAAGAATGATCAATTATGTTAAAATAATCATCTTTAATTTTAGAATTAAAAGGTTTTGAAACTACACAATACAAACTCATTTATTCTTTTATTCAAAGCAGCTCTACATGAAATGGATATAATCTGAGATTCACAATTTTTAAAACTGAATGTAAGGTTAAGGGAAATTACCAATAGCTTTTTTTTAAAAAAATGGGCATACTTTGAGAGAGAGGTGCTTTTGTATTCCAGCCAGAAAGCATGTCCTGTTGAAAGAATACTCCAGAAAGTGTTGCTGGTCTTTGTCTTCTAAACCCATCCCTTCTTTATAAGTAAACTCATCCATGTAACTATGTATTGTCCTTAAATAAACCGACCTTTTAATTCCAACACTATTTAATTTACTATAATGTGATTTTAAATTGGAACACAAATAGTAAAATGCCCTTTGCCTTGTCCAGAACAATGTGTGTGCTACTTAATCTTGAAATATATAAGGCAGTTTAAAAAGTGCTTCAGAGCATGTGCACAGTGATTCGATCCACCAAGATGAAGCTGAAGGCTTAAAACATTTAAAACAAAAATGGAGGAATTCCAGAGAAGTTATGGGTCCCATGAAGAATTCAGCCATTGTTCTGCCTATATAGATAACCGAAGATCTTGCTTGGATCCAAAGGTATCTTTCCACTAACAACAAATCTTTTCCACTCACAGAAAAGCTGTGAAAAGAGCATTCCATCAGAAAAAAGTAACCCCATGTTTGAAGAAGTCACTTCACTGGTGCAATATATTACACAAGCTCTCTCTATTTTTGGCTAATGTTGCTATGTTCCACACTGTAGAGCAATTGAAGATTCATTGTGGTGCTTTATTGTTTCAAATTGCATTGTTCTAGAAATCCTAGCACTAATAATATTTTCTCTGTTTACAGTTCTTTGGATCCAAACTTCTGTGTGGCAATAGGGAAAGGGTCTGACTTAACAGTACAGCATATGCTGAGCAAGTTATGGGAGGTCTGAGGATTATTTTGGCCCCTTGGACGCCCACCCTGGCAGGCTGCCATCTACTGGACAACCTGAAAAATGAATTAATTTTATTATGCTTAAAACATGATCTTTATTCATTTTATTGAAAAATAATATAAAGTTAGAGTTATACCCAAGAAGAATGATAACTGCCAATTTATTTTTAGTAAGGTTCACTTATAAAACTATAACACACTTTAATGAGCCCATACCCCACTAAAACGATAATGGTTATAAGGCTCACAAGTAGGTAGAAATGCTGTACCTTAGGTAGCTCAAAGTTAGAGCTCTACTTGGATGGAGTGGCTTAAGCATGTCAGTTATATTCCTAACGTATGCCTAATTTTCTATGGAACTATGTAAAAGGAATTTAAAATAATACCTAGATTTCATTCTAGATGAAATGAGTAAGTACAACCAAGTACAGATGGCTTTGCCAAACTAAGAAATTACAGCAGAAGAATGATTCCAAGTGTAGAATCTTACTAACCTGCTTTCCTTCCCTTGCTTTTTGGTCCTTGGCTATTGTAGCCAAAACTGTTGCAGCTTGTTCTCCACCCATCACTGAGATCCGAGCATTTGGCCACATATAAAGAAATCTTGGACTGAAAAATATGAGTAAGGTAACTAATAAAGAACACATTTCCTGTGTTATTGTTACATTATTTTACCTAGGTTGCTGAGGTTGGGGAAAGTAATATAGTGGAACCAAGGCTCACAGGGACACAACATCTGCACTTTTGGATGTTACCTGAATAACCTATCTCAGATATTTTTCGCATTTCATATTCTTTTACTTCTTAATTTTTTGTTTAAAATGCCTGCATTTTTAAAGATTTTATGATATTTTATTGTATTATTTTTATGAACTGTTGTAAAATGCCCACAGAGCTGCCGCTACTGGGAGATAAAGAAATTAATGAAAAAAAATAATAATAATTAGCAGGAGTGATGACATAATTTATCAATCCATTGGTCTTTCCAGTATTCATCCTATGAATATAGGACTGTACTTCAAAATTTACTAGTGGCAAAAATAGAGAAATCCTGTTCTACCTCCATGTGCTTAGAAAAGACTTCCTTGCTATCATTGCAATTTACACCATAAGATAGCAACAGAAAGCCTTTCAGAGCCATCGTAACACTTAATCATGATAATAACATGTGAAGAATCTCTAGCAAGAATGAGGGGGTATTTCAGCTTCTGCCCCATGCTACTGCAAAATAAACTCACAGTAAAAATGGTTGCTAATAATGCATACTCACCTATATGCTCTTCCACACATTCCATAATTTCCAGCACCGTAAGAGCCTCCAATAATAACTGTTATCTTAGGCACATTAGCACATGCTACAGCAGTGACCATCTTGGCTCCATCTTTTGCTATTCCACCAGCTTCATATTCCTTACCAACCATGAAACCTATTGAATTGTAAAAACACCAATATTATTGCTAACAAAGAGTTCAGTAAGCTTCTTGGTATACTAGAAAAAGATGCAAAACTAACAGTACGGAAGTCTTCTCCAAACCTTAGGCCATTCAGATGTTTTAGACTACATCTCCCAGCATTCCTGATCACTATCTATGCTGGTGAAGCTGATCGAAACTGAAGTCCAAAACATCCAGAGGGCATCACACTGGGAAAGGCTGCAGTAAGATAATACCATCATTGCACCCAATGTAAATGTGGCAAAGAAACATTTCTGTGACACTCTGTGTGGCTTCAAATTGGGCACATTTGCATGTCATACCAACCCACCCTGGCAAAGAGCTTACTTTGCATACAAAAAGAGAATGACTACTGGATCAGTCCCTTCAAAGAAAGACCTTCAAAAGGGTTTTTTTCCCCTGTAAAGGTACTCTCACTTTTCCATTTTCTTCAGATTCTAGGCGCTTGGGAAGACAATAAAGAGTGACTCATCCCATTTTATGGGAGCAGAGATTTGACCGCTAGCTGTGAATACTCTGACTCTTTTAAAAAGGTATTTTAGACAGGGCTCACAATGTTTTTTCACAAGGACATAAGCAAGCGTGAATGCATACACTTCTGTGAAAAACCAATGGAGAACAGTATTAAAAAATACTTTTAAAAGGTGGGAAGGTTTTAACAGCTAGTTGTCAAAACGGAGAGTTCACCAAAAAGGGGGTTGTCTTACAGTTTTACACTTTCTTGAACAGCTATGTTCTTGGGAAAAGTCAGAGAACACGCAGAGGAGCCTGGTCCAAAAACCCCCAAAACAAACAACAGACAAAAAACTTTCAGGCAGCCATGGCTACCACTTTTTTACAAGCAAAGCTCACTCACAGCTTTACTTTCTGTTGACACACATTTTAACAATTGTCAAGAGAAATCAAGCTTCAATATAAATCTCTCGGCAGTCTCTCTGGGTCAATAACCATGAGGAATACCAGCTACATGTCCGCTCAGATATTGCTCGGGCAAAGCATGCCATTTCAGAACCTCGCAAGTGCACTATACAAGTTCAACCAAAAAATAATAATCTGAAAATATAGTGTACATTTGGGTAACCAAAAGCGGGGGATGCCTTCTCCCATATGTGCCTGCCTGGTCTTAAAGTTACCTATGGAGGTCCTTCTCCAGGAGCCACCCACTCAGGAGGTAAAGATGGCAGCTACTAGGGGAAGGGCTTCCTCTACTGTGGTGCCCCGAATATGAAACCAGCTCCCCAGAGAGGTACACCTGGTGCCAATGCTTTACAATTTTCGGTGCCAAACCAAACTCTTTTTTCCCCTTATATTTAAATTGTTGACAATTTTAATTTCTATTATTTTATGACATTTTTATCTTTTTGTCTCATGGATACTGTGGAGTAATCACAACTAATTGTAAAGTTTAATTTTTTATCAAAATTACATTATTTTTATTGATTTTATTTATTTATTGTCATTGTTTAGTTTGATTTTATTTAATTATAGTAAGAATGCCACTACATTTCTTGTGGGCACTGTGGTGGTAGGAATGGGTATAAATTGTGGGCAGGCATGGGTGGAAGGGCCTCTGTGGATGGATTTTATTTTTATTGCTTCTATGTTATTGTTACTTATTACTGCGATTATTTGCTGCCTAACTATGTATTTTAAATTATTGTTCTGTTATGTGTTTTCTTGTAAACCTTTCTGAGAGCTTCAAAAGCAGTAAATAAAGAAAGAAAATAAGAGGTGGGAAATCAGTTGCAGCTCCACTAATGTGCTGCTGGGGCTCTTTGAAGGGCTGTCACTAGCTATCAAACTGAAGATCACTTTTTGCAAGCTCCAGAAAAAGAAAGGGGGTGTCATGATGGCAGAAAGAAGCACAGAGTGCCAGGTGCTCCAAAGTACCACTTGTGCATCTGTGTGGTAGCTGTGCTTGCCAAGCAGCTTGTTGGCTCCTTCCCAATACCCATGATGAAGATGGTTGCCTAGGTCTGGATAATATGACAACCTACTGTGGGCACAGTGGATAGAATAGAACAGACTGTGGTTCATTCACTTGGCTAGTAAACCAGAAAACTAGTAACCCTGCAGGAAACTGGATTCACATAATGTGACAAGTTAGTGTGGTTTGTCACCCACAATGAGTTGCCATGTCATGCAAATTTAGTCATTGTCTCAATAAAGTATATTTAATATTATGTTGATAACTGTTTTTGTAGTTTATAGGCATACAGGTAGCTTTTCTTTTTAATAAAACAGCAGCTAGTTATTAAGGTACTTTATAAATTAGCAACAATAACAAGCATTAGTCTGCTTAATGTCTACAATAGTCCCATAAACAAATAGTTATTATAAATGATAAGAACAAATTACTACTGCACATTTCTTTGTCAGTGGGAAACAATCTGTAATTTCAAATAATGTATTTTCCCTGAGATTCAGCTACATAAATAATAACAACAGCTTACTCACCTGTGATATTTTGCAAAAATACAATGGGGATATTTCTCTGACAACACAGCTGAATAAAATGAGTGCCCTGTAATGATAGGAAGAGGCTGCCAATTGATCTACAGTTAAGTAAGGTTTGAACAGTTCACTTATAATCCTGCCCATTCTTAAAATGGAGTACTTCAAAGCAATGTCGAACAAACTGCTCTAACTAAAACTGATCTGCCACAGAATAACTGTCTTTTACATTACATATAGTACTCTTCTAATTTTTAAAATACATATTCAGATAGGAAATTGCACTTTCCTGATTCTCTCCACTGAAAAAACCCAACATTTTCACTAAAAAAAATCTTTTTGGGTCCCTAAACAATCCCATGTTCCAGGTTCACACATCATTATTCAGCAACCTATGACTTCGCTAATTGTGGCTATTCATTAAAAGCAGAAATGAAGAGTGCACCGGAGGCGGTGCGCTCACTCACTCCTTCTTTTGCACGGTGAGTCATGGGTTAATTAACCCTAGATTTGACATTATGTGCAAATCACCTCTTTGAGTATAACCATGTCTGTTATTTTTCGTAATTGCAAGAATATTCTAAATGACTTTCCCACAAAGCAAAGAAGCTTTTTTAAACTACACTTTTCCTAATGGGATGACATACCTGCTTAAAATGTTGATCTGTAAAACAGTGTCTCATTTCCTAATCATGGTTGAAATAGATTTTAGGCACATTTTAACACATGTGGATATGATAAATGGCAGGTGGTAGTAACTGAGGTTTGTAAATGTACTGAATGCTAGAAATAGTACCTTAAGGCCATTGCCCCCAAGAAGTGACAAACAGAGTAATCTGAGAAACTATCACAGCATGGAGGGTCTTGAGAAAAGTTTCAACAACTTTAAAAACATCTGTATAGTGCTTTCACATATTCAAAGAAACATGCAAATCAAAAGTATTATCACATACTACAGAGGCTGAGAGAAAGCTAGTATATTATACCAGATCTCTGAAAACAAAAGGTTTTAAATCTCTAAAATAATGTGTTTTGTTTATCAATTAGAAGGTCAATTTTAAATAGAAAAAAATCATCTGAAGGCTCAGCATCCATATGCTTTTATGTTTTTTAAAATATATATAGACTCTTCCATTAGGAGAGGCTGGTTTAAGAAAGTCTTTTCATTTATATAATTTTATGATTGGGATAAAAAGAACTTTGAAACTGATAAACTGAAATGTTCAGACTGTTACAGTAAATAAGCATGTTTTCCCAGCAATGCTATTTATATAAAAACTATTATCAGTTCTGTTGAAGGACCATTACTTATTTATCTTAACTTAGAGAGCAATCTAAATACTGAACTATAGCAAGTCAATAGGGCTAAGGAAGTGCCAAGTGTTTGGAGATTTATGGTGATTCCTCTGGAAGCTATCCCAGTCAGTTCAGGAGACCCATCCTCAACTCAGATGTAGGTCCACTGAACACAATGCCTGAACACGGAGATGGCCCTGCCCCTTAAATCTTGCCTGCTGTCAGTCTTTGAAGCCTGGCAGATGAACTACAAGGGATTCACTCCACCCTCTTCACCCAACAACCAGGTCTCTCTTTTACATGCCAGATTGGTCTGCTTACCCAAGATGAAGACCAGGATAGTCCTGGTCTTATTTATTTATTTTAATGGTACCCAATAGTCAAAACTCTATGGGCAATGAACAACAGTTAATAAATGCAACAAAATGTAAATATAAAAACAGAAAAATAAAACAAGATAAAGCATCTTAAAATTTTAAAAACTTCTTAAAACTACTACAACCTGTCCATACCAATAGGCCTGCTTAAAAGAAGTAAAAGAGTTGGCAAGATCCCCAAAACCCCAAGGCCTATTTGGAGTTAGTAATGACTTGCCAAACAGGGAGTTCTTAACTTGGCACCAAAAAGACAGTAAAGTTGATGCCAGGTGAGATCTCAGTAGGGAGATTATTCCATAATTTAGGGCCTCCCACAGGGAAGGCTATCCTCCTTATTGCCATAAGCCAAGCCTGCCTCCCTTGTGGGTGGCATTTGGAGGAAGTCCTCAGATGAGGAACACAGCATCCAGGTATGCTGTTGTGGGAAGTGGCATTCCATCAGGCATCCCAAGCCAGGTCAGGCTTTATAGAGTAAACCCAGCACCCTGACTAGGCTTGGAGGCATATGGGCAGTCAAGTGTCTGCCCATATGAACTGTCATGAAGGGAAGGAAATGAACTGTCATGAAGGGTAGAGTGTATCAGCTCTGCAGAGTGTATCAGATAGTGGCATAGCTTCACGCTAATGAACCCATCTGGCTGTCAAGTGGAAAAGATGGATCAAAGAGCACAATCAAGCTACAAATCTGCTCCTTCAAAGGGAGTACAATCCCACCCAGAATGGTTTGAACATCTTTCATTCAGTCAGAGGAGTTGCCCACCAACCAGTATGGCATGAACAAGTTAACACTTTAAAGCCCTACAAGATATTTAAAATGGCTATCAAGCTCCTCAGAAGGATCCAAAGAAGTGACAGCCATCTAAAATGATTTTATATAACACTGATTCCATGGAACTAAAGTGGTAAGAAACACTAGTAGCCAATATAACTATGACAGAATGTCTTGAAAATACTTTATTCTGGGGAGTGCATATAAATCTAATGAGCAGTTGGAGTAGCTAAATTTTCTTTAATGCTACATTTGCTAAAAATGTACCTTTCTAGACTAGGTTTTAAAGAGACATGTTACTTTTAGCCATGAGTAACTACAAAAAGACAAATATATCTTTAAGTTCTAGATTCTAGTTGCAGAAGGTGACAACAAAGGTGGTGGCTTTCTCAGTGGAGGCCCTTCCATGGAACTACCACTTCACTGTGGGCTGCCTGCGGCTGCATCTGGCATCCTTTTGGCGCCAGATTAAGATGACCTTCTTCTTTGAGGCTTTTAAAAACTTATTTGGCCACCCAGGGACTTGAGGGGGATCACCAGGTGCTTCACAGACTCACTATTTTGCAATTCTTTGCTATTGTTTGTTTTTATCATGTTTTTAGCTGTTTAAAACTTATTTGTTTCTGATTGTGTGATATTTTAATTGTATTTTTATCAACTGCTTTTATGGGCTGTTCCAAATCACCCAGAGAGGGGTAGTATGGAAATGAAATTATCAATAATAATAACAATAATAGTCACAAGTGTTTGCTCTAATTCTTCATAACAATGGACATTTGGAAGGCAAAGCTCCATAACTCATACTTGCCTTCTTTGCTGATTCTGAAAACAGAACACCATTGTTTCCAATTATTCCTACTGGGTAACCAAACAGTCGTGCAAATCCTGAAGAAAATGAAAAAATCAATAGAACATTGCACTTTTATTTGAAAATGAAAGATTTCAGTACACTATCTGAAGTCTACAGTATGAATCAGCAGTTTTCAACTGCAACCACAACACTTCCTATAAAATTTATTTTATTTTCTACAGTCCATCAAAATAATTTAAAGATGCAGGAATGTTATATAATAGCTTAAAACTGTACCTGTGATTAAGGTATCCCCATACAAGGCTTTAAATTCATCAAATTTGCTTCCATCAACAATTCTAGCGATGACCTTAAACAAAATCAAAAACATAGAACAAAAGATCCATTTACTTTTAGCTATCCTTTACAACGTTCTTAACACATCTTAGGTTATATATTACATTGATATTAGGACTATATATTTCAAGTCCAATGTGCCAGCTCAAGTGACTTGAACTCACTGACTGGGTTTTACAGGGGAAAGTTGCATTAGCATGGGAAATGAGACTCCATGACACGGTTTGCAATACATGCTAGTGTGTGGCCAGGGCCCACTGTTCTTCTCACCCAAGAAGCTATAGTTTGTTGTAGTTTAGTCCTAAGTCAGGCCAAAAAAATAAGAGAGCCCCTTGGTGAGAATGGGTTGCAACTGAGCCAAGGAGTTCTGGCAGCTATTATCAGCTTCCCCTTGGGTTCCTACTGATGCCAGGAGAGCAATCCTGCTTTTCCTCTATCGTTGGCAGGAGCACAAAGGGAAACTACCACTCCTTGTCAAGGAGTGGAAGGTTCCAGCCATTCTTGCCAATAGCTGGAGAAATCCACTCTTGGGCTGCCATCAGAGGTGCCCATTCTATGCTGCCAGAGAGTCCCCCAGTGCTACTGGAGGCACCTGTCAACAGCAGCTACTTGGCAGTCAGCTGTCAGGAGCAATGAGGGGGTTTTGCCACTCTTACCAAGTGGCTTGCTGGCTGTTGGGGCTCACACATGGTGGGTTGTGTCACCCAGGTTCAGGTGACATGAAACCCATCATGTGTGACAACCATCTTAGAACAATTTGAGGGCACCATTTGTTTGAAGGGGGGTGGGGGGAAGCCACCCATGTTCACATGATTCAACAACAAACAGGAGTGGATTGTCATGTTTTCTGAACCAGGTCAATGCATGTTGGTTATGGTACGCATTGTATGCTGTCTGTTTTCTGTATTTTGGACATGTCAATATCAATTTTGGATAGAGATTATCAGAATAATTGAAGGCTTGCCTGGCATCTACATTTTACTCTTTCTGGCTCCATGTGAAGACCTTATTTTTCCAGAAGTTTTCCCAGCAATTTTAGTTTCAGTTTGTTCTAAATCCTGTATTGTATTTTAAATCATTGCACAGTTGTTACTGCTGCAATTTTGTATTGTCTCAAACTGATTTTAAGAGACACTTATCTACTTCCTTAGACATCTTAACATTCCCAAATTTGCAAAATGCACAATATGAAACAAAGATCAGTAATTTTCACAATGCATATCAGCTGATGGAAGGAAGATTGCCAGACTGCTGACATTAGGAAGCTCTGAATATATATTTTATACATATGAATGTGTGAGCACCCATGTGCACACATGCTGTTCTGACAGCATTTTGGATTTTTACCTCTCTGACATCAAAGTTTCTTTTAAGCTGCTCTCCAACTATCCCATAAAGTTCATCAGGAGGAAACAAAGGTTCTTCTGAAGGTTCTACTGTCACCTGCAATAATTTAAATTTCCAAAGAAAATCCTTAAAAATTAGATCAATAGTTTACCATTGGTTTCCAGAACCGTTTTGAAATCAATTCAGGTTTAAATATTTGTAACTGACAATGTAAGTTCATTCAACATGAACCTTTAATCTTACCCTAGATTTGTAAAACATTGTTCTCTTCCTTGCTAAGTTATTTATTTATTAAGTCAGTCTTTCCAGTCAGATCTGCTGCAGACACAATTCTATGTTCTCTTAAAACCTCAAGAACAAGATATGAGCCACCCTCCTCGACTTCACTATGTACATTCTTTATCGCATTAACCTTGATGTAATGATACATCCATATGGACAATAACCATATTAGTAAATCATCTTCAAAAACCAGTCAAGAGCTAACTCTTGGTAGCATCAGTACATTTAAGTCTGCAATATGGATAGTGTTGACAGTGGAGGAGAATTAGAATTCAAATGGGAGAGGCCAATGAGAGGCCAATGAGAGTACACATGAATGTGCATTCCTCTGACAATGTTTTAACCCTGATTAAGAGGCTAACTGTTTTATGCTCACATCAAATCACAAGATGACATGTACAGTTTCCCACTGGAATGTTTCTGTTGACAAATCCAGGTATTATAGCAGAATCAGACAAAATGATTCACCATTTTATTTATATCCCAACTTTTTGCCAAAAATGGTTCTCAAGAGAGCTAACAGTATTAGACTAAAAATTAAGTGTGTATTAAAAACATAAAAACAGAACCATTAAAATACATTTCAAAATGCAATAATAAAAAATACACCCATTCAGGTAAATCCCCATGCAACAATAGACCAGTTTAGATGCCAAAGACCTGCCTTCTGTTGGCAGAAGGACACCACAGAGGGAGCCAATCCAGCTTCCCTTGGTCTGGAGGATGTCCAACCCTCTTGGACATTTCTACCATATGTGCCCACAATGGCAGCAGTATCAAGACAGAGGCCTATCCCAAGACCTTAAAACCTGACAAGATGACTTGGGAGAAGAGAACATATGACTTATGTTCTCATACTTCACTTGTAAATTAAGAACAAACAAGTATACTCACATCAACTTTCTTCCAGTAATTCAAATTCCGTACCACTTTTCTAGCTAAATGGAGTGCATGATTATCATCCAAAGCATAGTGATCAGTTACACCAGATTTTCTGTATAAATTTAAAATTAAAACAAGGAAAACATGCTTTTTTGCTGTTCAGTGGTAAAGTGCTATTAGTAAAAGTAAATCCTATAAGCTTCTAGAATCTGAAACACCTGAAGCCCTAGCAAACACACAAAGAACCTTGAAGAAATAAGGGACAGGCATTTCACAATGAGATGATTTGCACAGGCTGTTAAGAATGAGCAGGAAAGAGTGAGCTCACTGCCTGCAGCAAACCTGTCACTTCCATTTTGCTCAGGAATTCACCATGTTCTCATTCATACTCTGCTGACTGCGTAGTCTAAATCCATACTGCTGGGTTGCTGAGGGGCTAACAAAACCTTAAACAACCCTGCAGTTCAGATCTGGACGGCACACTCAGGAAACTAGGAAGGAGCCTACTGTAGGTTGCAGAGTAAAAATGGAAGTGGCAGACATGCTATAGGCAGTATGTCCTCTTGATCCCGCTCATGCACAACAACGCATGGGTCGTTTAACTCATGGACAATCAGTAAGTGCAAACCAGGTCAGTGATATTCACTGAGAGTAGTGGCTGAGGATTCCTCCATTGCATAAAACACTAACATAATTATAATTAGTACCATTAAAATATATTGTGGGGAAGGGTGTGTTGTATTTTACCTGCAGTGAAGATCAGCACCCCCAAGATCCTCTGCTGATACTTCCTCTCCTGTTGCAGCTTTAACCTTAAGTACAAAAAGGCACAACACATCAACTAGTAGAACTAAGACACTGGGAATTAGTTACCTTCCACACTTACTTTTTCATTGTCTATTTAAGTTACCAATTTCATGATTTCCAAATCTAGTCCAGTACAGGTAACATTTTTCTCAACTAGTTAGAGTATAGAAAAGGCATTTAAAAGTAGCACCAAACTCTGGTTTACCTTGGCTTTTCTTAGCCCCAATGCAAAGTTCAATGCTGGAAATAAGAGAGGGAAGAATTCAAGCAACAAAGATGGAGATGGGAGGAATGGGACCATGAAAGCCAGCAGGGTGCTTCCATATCCTTAACTATGCTTAATGGATTTGGAAATGTTACAACTGCATCAGGATTCTGTGGCTTGTCATTTATTATCATAGAGAAAAATAAATGGTATTCTTGCAGTGTAAAATTCTTCTGTTCAGGTCTTTTCATTCTATCCAACTAGAGAAGTTTTGCTGATGGGCAATACAGTAATGTAAGAACTAAAATGAAGGAAGGAAGGAAGGAAGAAAGGAAGCAAGGAAATATTGCTTTCACTCTGCTGCTTCCCAGTCCTGATCAGTCAAAATCCCATGCCCACTGAAGATGCTCAGTCCTCACTGTGATGTTTCTAGGGGGAGGGAGGCACGTTAGCGTTTTCTCTAAGGATTTTCTTTTCCTGCAGACCTGCACATCCCCCACAAGCTTGTCAGTACTTTCTTCTTGTGCATGGATGGCACATTTTGGTTACACACAAAAAAGTACTTTAAAGAACTAAGTTCAGGATTTGTATATATAATAAGCAGTTAATATTTTAAAAATATTATTATACACATTACTTCACAAAAGGTAACTAAAGTCCTCACTCCGAAGAACTTTAAATCTACAATTTAACTTAGAGGAAGCAATACAGGGAAGAAAAGAATGTAAGAATAAAACTGGAATATATCAGGACACCCATATTTGCAGCACCACATATTTCTGATTTGGCATGCATCTGCTGTTAAGTGCTCCTCTGGAAAAGTATTTTCTTATTATTTGTATTTTAATGGATAGTTTTAAATACCTTTCTTTTGCTGCCTTATCAGAAGCCTTACTATTTAGAAAGAACTGAGAAAGCTCCAGGACATTATAAACTATCATGGGAAAAAGAAGGAAGAAACATCGTACACATTCTGCAATATAAGCCAGTTCCAAGCCCACAAGGCAGTTGAAAGTCAACAGTGACTTAATGAGCAACCAGCCATCTCCTTTAAGTATTTCTACTCCTTCAAATTCATCCACTGGAAATGATGACTGAGTGGGATTTAAAAGCAGATTGAAAGTCAACAGCTTATAAATCTCTCCTCTTCAATGGAAGAGAACTGTCCCTGGAAAATATTCGTAAAACTGATACTGTAAGAATGTACACCTGATCCAGGAATGGACAGTAAGTCAACGAAGGAATTTAAGGAAGAAACCGCAAAGTCTGGATGATTAAAGAGGTAAGCAACTTTAGAAGAAGAGTTAAGAATAGAAAGGTAAGGTCCAAGATGCAGCTAGAGAGCAGAAAGTTGCAATAAGCCATCTATTAACCATAGCCTTCACTGAAGGAACAGAAAAGGTGGATACATTTTTGCAGTGGTGCACCGACAGAAGCAATTTGACCTGTCGGACTGACTATGAAGAGCAAACAAGAGGAGTCAGAAATAAGGCCTAGGCAATGTGTTTGATCAAAATAATGGTTAATGATGATATCGGTGGATATGGGAAATTTTCAAGGAGTGGAAAGATAAGAAGATTTGTTTTGGACATCTTGAGTTTGAGAAATATCAAGCAGGGAATAGAAATGTAGGACTGAATGGGAAAACAAACAAAGTCTAGAGTAGAGAGCACGAGAATGTGAGTACTGTGTGTCATCAGTGTATGAGAGATTTGATGAGACATACCACATACTGCGTGTAAAGACAATAAATAGCAAAGTTCTAAGAAGAGATCTTTGAGGAAGCCCAACGGACAGAGAAAAGAAGCATCTCAGCTACCAATGAAAGAGAAAAAGTGAAATTCAACCACTCTGAAAACCTAAGGAACATGAACAAAATAAGAGTGAAATCCACTGAACCCTGCTCTTGAAGAATCCTATCTCCCCCTTTATTATAACTGAACTCATATGGATGATGGCATCAGTAGACTCTGAAGTTTAACTGTAAGAGAAAGATTCACATTCCTGAGCAAACTAGGAGAGTGGGTTTGATTAAAAATACACCCAAGGGCCGATCCCTGAGGAGATGTGCCTTGTACTGCTCTTCTAATCCATCTGGGGCTAAGTCAAGAGTGTCCTGTTTGTCCAGACATTTGAAACTTGTCAGTTGGTCTGATTACATTTTAGTACAAGTTTATTATAACCATTTCTTATAATATTTATTTTTCACAGTTCTGATATAAATATTCATACATAAAATAATTAATAACCCCCAAGATCCTCCATAATTTCCCCAAAATAGAATCAGCTTTAATTGAGAAGAAAAGCCATTCAAGATCAGACTTAAAAGCTATCTAGTCTAGCTTTTTGCTTGCACAGTGCCCAACCAGATGCCCATGAGAAGTCAAAAACAGGACCTGAGCTCAGCAGGACCCTTCCATTCATGTGCCACAACAACTAGCACACAGACATAAACTACTCTGGAGGCAGCATATAACAAGCATGACTAATAGCTATTGACACCCTTATCTTCCATCAAGCCTTATCATCCATGATAAAAGCAGGGGCTGCCTGCCCTTATTTCCCATTATTGTTGGAGTTAGCAGTGTCAAACCACCTACATTAAAAAAATCCTAGATTATGAGAAAGATCTTCCACTTACAACTAATCAATATGTTCTGTTTTCCATTTTTCTAACGTAACATAATTAGCGCCTCAAATTCAAACAGGAAATTAAGTAACAGATTAATTAGTACTAAATTGCACAGTTTCGTCATTCTAAGGTTGCTATTGATTTTCTTTGTCTGCTTCTGCTGATTACTTTGTACCAAAAAACTAACCCTGACACAGGAAATCATTTCCCACACTAAAGTCATTATTCCTGCAAGCTAAGCAATGTGATTTGCATGTTTTAACCCTGCTGCCATTATCATTATGGTATGTAGGAAAAATCTAAGTAGCAGCCCGAAATTTCATTCAAGTATACTTCCATAAATGCGTAATTCCAAAGTTGAAAGTTACATTGTATATTATCCTCTGATGTGAAGTAAACAAATTAATACAGTGGACTCTCAGTTAACTGACATCCATGAGCATTGGTAGATGCCAGATAAATGTAGTTTCTGGTTGCCTGAGAGTTACTATTAAAAATAGGCCTTAAAGTGCATCTTAAAGCATCTTAAAGCACCAAGCAATGGCAGGAAGTTACCCTATTCAGAATATCCCTAGAAAAATAGTAAAGAGTCATGTAGTATCTAAAAGACTGAAACTACATTATTAAATAAAAACTTGCATGGATTAGAAAAATACACTTTTTAATTTCTTGTGCTGCTGCCGAGAGAGAGAAACAACTCATCTTTAATCACATTTGTGGCTTGAACCAATGAAAATACAGGCATAGCACGTTTTGCTCTTTATGAAGATCAGAGTGGAGGGAAACATTGTCACAAGCACTCATAGTAACTAGCATTACTTCACTGACATGGTAACAAAAGGAAACTGGGATTCAGAAGCATCAGAGTGACACACCAAACTAGTTTTGGTTAGAATGATCCACAGTTACCTTGTGTACATACATAACATGGAGCTGCGTGTTTGTCGTGCCCTGGTACTCACCACAGTTCATTCCCATCACTTAAACTATGGTGTTGAATTATTATTGGACCCAAACCTACACTAATAAGGCACCTCTGCTCAATGTCTTATTGAAGTAAGGATTGGGGAAAATAGGTTTCAATAATGCGACGTTTCAGGGACCTATGTGCTGCAGACACAGCACAGTAGAAGAGCAACAGCAGATTCTCTGTGAATTCTTGGGTGGCACAAGAGAAATTGCATCAAGAATGGAGAGGCATCACAAGTCCACTCTCACATCTATGTGGAACATAGCAAGAGCTGCAAGAGGCAGACAATTATTCCAGCATTAACTGACAGAAAAGAAGCACAGTTGACAGCTAAGCTCTGATAGTCAAGTACCCAACACATTCTGCCATAGACAGCATTTTGGATTTTATAAAGTAAGATATATTTTCTTTTGGAGAAAACTATTTCTGACATAAGCATATTATATAACATTTAGTTGTAACACAACCAGGAAGTCTTCCATGATCTGTTAAAAACAAGCTACTCACCAAGGGAGGTCCGCCCAAGAAAATAGTTCCCTGCCTGCCAACTATAATACTTTCATCAGCCATTGCAGGGACGTAGGCTCCTCCCGCAGTGCATGAACCCATAACCACTGCAATCTGAAAAACCAAAAAGATGTAAGAATTAGCAGGTAGAGTTCAATGAAAACATCTCTACTCACTTATTTGCTTTTAGCCCTGAAACCTTGGTTGTTCCTTTCCACACACTTAAATAGAGATTTTAAACTGCTCAGGGCACAAGCAACCCCCTTTCCTTCTCTGCTTCCTATGTAGCACCCATGGATCTTCAACTTCTTATGTTGCTGTTCTGTGACCTATTTTATTTCTTCTAAGTTACTTCAGGACACAATCTAGGATAGAAAACTAGAAATGCAAACAAACAAACAAACCTTTAAATGAATAATTTTTATTCCCTGTTTTTTATAACTCCTTGAATTATACTGCCTTCTCCTAGCATCTTGAATTCTTCTTGAATTCTTTTCCTGCTTCCCAGTCTGGTTTTGTTCTTTTCATGCTCTCAAGAGTGTTCAATAATTTTTTACCTAACAGTAAACACTGCTAATCAGTTCTCATCTTTTAGATCTGCTGCTATGAATCACCCTCTTCCTCTTAATTTTCTTCCCAGTCTTATTCATGTACCTTTTATACCTCCCAGTCTTATTCCTGTACCTCCCCTCCTCCCCCGCTCTTTGGAAGTATGTTAAACTAATTACATTACAACTTACCTTTCTAATCTAATCTAAGGTCTTAAGTTGTATAGGGTGCAATGCTCTCCACGTTTAGAAAAAAAAAATCCTACAACTTCCAGCATTTCCCAGCCAGAATGTGTGGCTAGGGAACACTGAGATTTATAGATTTTCTTCTGTGTTAGCATGCGTAGGATTGTGTTCTTAATTTGTGAATTCAAGGTGGGAGGGGATGGCAATATTATGTTCTCTTGTTTCCTAGTACCTGTACATGCTCCTCAGGTATGTCTTCTTATAATGCAACCCTATGCACATCTATTTAGAAAAATGTGCTACTGAGTTCTGATAAGGGCATCTAGGATTGCAATCTTACAAACAAATCCTCTGTTAGAGTTGGGAGGGTTAAATTGCACATTATTCACAATCTCCAAACCCTCCTGCCAACCAGGGCATGGGCTCTGCCCTTTTAATTTCTCTTCCCCTGCACTAGGAAAATACAAGTGAAGGACTGAATCCTGGGGCTTCTCAGGGAAACAAAGTGGTCTTGAGTTGAACAGATCCAAGGCTGCCCACACCCTTTCCCAAAAAGCCCCGTTTCTGGGGCTTTTGCTGGAGGCCGTTCTACGTTCAGTTTCTAGAGGCATACTGTGGTTTGCTGGGATGACAATACTGCTTCCCTGTGCCAGCTCCTATGTGCCAGAAGGAGACTCCCAACCCAGGAATCTCCTCAGGCCATCTCTTATTTTCTGCTTCCTCTAACAGAACACAGATTTGGGTTTTAATTAGATCTTACTTAGACTAATGCAATTTATTGATACAGCAAAAGTACATTAAAAGCATTTAGGCAGTAAAACACTTAGATGGTGAATGTACCGCTACATAGGTGACATTATTTTAATTAAGGATTTTTATCTAATGCTATTATGAAATGTGGCATTTTTATTAAAAAATCAATGGTTCAGAAATACTTTCTGACTTTTATAGTATAGAACTGATAAAGAGGGAACTATTGCCTCAACTTTAGTTAAATGCAATGCATGACATTTTCACTGTCATAAAAACATGCCAGGAACCTGAATAAGTAAGGAAGCAAAATGAAAGGATGTAGCCTTCCACCCCTGCTTTCTCAATAGGTGTGTATTAAAAGCAGATGTACTTTCTAAAGTGGAGGATAAATTAAGGGTCATAATTAACTGAACAGGCTGCACTATGTCATTATGCCCACTACAGGTATGCTATGAAGCACAACAGGCAAATATTCATCCCATCAAGACATTTATGTATCACACAAGCAAAACTGGGGTTTTTTTAAACCCTTTCAAACATTACATTTTTAAACACCAACTATAAGGAATGTCCATTTGCTTACAAACATATATAAATCCATCCTGTGTTGCAAAAAAAAATCCTCCTTTATTAGGTTACTACTTTGAGCAGGTTAAGCCCAATAGCTAATCCAAACTAAAAAGGGTGGTGGAATCTGGGAAGCCAAAGCACTTTCTAATGTATATTCAGAAACAATATAGATGCACTGCATAACAGCAATCACTTCAGTTTGGAAGGATGCTTACTATCTTGTGCTCAAAAATATCTCCCTACGACACTTAGGGAAACCAGCTGCGCTATGATGCAGCAGAAACCAACTGCACACAGGACTGACCAGCTGATGCTTCCACTATCATGGATCCACTTTCACCCCATTCCTCAGAGCAGCTCTGCAACTTTAAAAAATACTTCAAAACAAAAAAGCTTCCAAATGAATGGGTACTATAAAATAAATAAAAGGTGATTTGAACATTTTCTTGTTAAAGGAGAGAAGAATGAGGGTAAAGGCAAAGGCAACTACTAAATCTGTGTTCAAATCAGAGGCAAGTACACCTTTTGATTACAGTGCAAAAGCTAGAAGACAGGTGTATTCATTCTGCAGAACAAAAAAGCCAGGCTAGCTCCTGTTTTGGGAACATCAGTATGCCCTCCAAGTTATCCAGAGAAGAGGTGCTGAAGTGCAGCAAGGCAAAGAGGTCACGTGGCAACAAATGACTTCCTTCTGTCATGTCTTCCTCCTAGCATAAGTTCAGCTATGGGCAAATAGTTTCTTATAACAAATTCTATGAAATAATTCTACTCATTGCTACATGAACATGAATAGAATTAGTAAGTTATCTCTCTGAAATGAACCAAAGGAACAGCAATTAAGGCTTAATGGAGAGTTTGTCTTCCAACATCGAGGCATCAATCATTGTTTGCTAATATTCCTTACTATTCAACACATAAATAGAACCATATTCTTAATGAATTAATACAGTAACTGATTCTTGTAGTTCATCAACCATCAGGTTCACTGATCAAGTTGTTAACTGAATAGATATGTAAATTTAAATATATTTATCTACAAGGCCCTCAGAATTAGCATATTTTTAAATAGATAACTTATCATTTTATAAATGACATCCTCATCATTGAAGCCATGTTTTGGTAGTTAAATTCACTCACTTTTCATTCAGAGCAGAAAAAACAAGTAAGTTCTTCAACCTCAGTTCCACCAACACATCAGCTAAAAATCTAATAGATCAAGGCTACAAGCTTATGTACATTTACTTGAGAGCATTCTCCACAGATCACAGGAAATATACTTCTGAGTAAACCTGCATGGAACTGTGCTGTGCCTCATTTAAGGATCATGGCATTTCAAAACTGCTATCTACAGTGCAATACTTTTTAAAATCAGTAATACAGCTGCTTAAAAACAGTTAAAATCATCATAAACTTTATAAAGTCAAAACCACTTACTGTGTTTGACTGAGGATATTTCTATTATTAAGTGACCACCTTTAAGCACTACACCTACACTACAAATTTAAACCAGTTGTCCAGAAAGCTTAAATTGGATTTTTTCTAAAGAATTCTTTGCAGTTATTCAAGATGTTAAATTTTGTTCTGATGATCTGGGGAAAGGATCCACAAGCCAATTTGTCTAGTTGTATCCCTTAAGTCACTCACTTTCTAACCAAGGAAGCACAAAAAACTTACAAAACAGGAAGGCAATTGTTCAAAATCAGTTCCTATCAACTAGAACTGGTTCAAGAAACTGAAAACTGAAAGTTCTTGACTAGCTATTCACTCTGAAAAGATACTAGGGGATATTTATTTATTAGATTTCTATCCAGTCTTTTTTTCTGTCAAGGAATCCAAGATGGCTTACATAAGTGTCCTCCTCCTCTCAATCTTATACTCGTAACAACAACTCTGTGAGATAGGTTGGGCAGAGAGTCTGTGACCGGCACAAAGTCACCCAGTGAGCTCCATGGCTGCGTGGGGACTATAACCCAGATTTCCTGAGTCCTAGTCCCGCATTTTTACCTACTACACCACACTTGCACGCACTCTCTCTTTTTGAAGGGATTTAACTGGGTCTCTTCAAAAGTGACCATTTAATGTGCGCACACACACACACACATAAAAAGCCTTAATACTCAGTACCAAATAACATGTGCAGTCCAGCAATACCCACTACCTACATCTGCAGACTACCTACATTCATTTCACTTTATGTTTTATTCCTAAGTAAAGTTACCTGTGGAATTCTTTGTGAGGACATGACTGCTTGGTTATAGAAAATCCTACCAAAATGATCACGATCTGGAAACACTTCTGCCTGGCGAGGCAAATTTGCACCTCCAGAATCAACTAAGTTAAAAAAAAGATTGAACATTTATAAATGGCATGTTATGTAAACATTTCTTGAGAATGTTTATCTTTTCAAGAAGAGCACTGAGAGAATTCAACCGAAGCAGCAACATTGTCAAATTTGGCCTGTGGGAGAAAAAAATTGCTTTCTTTCCTGCCCAAATCTGTACTGAATCATTCATCTTGCTTTTTCTCCTATCTTCTAATCCCTTTCCTTGAGTCTTGTGTCTTTATATTGTAAGGTTGAGGACAGAAACTATGTAAATACTGATTTTTGTAAGCTGCTCTGGTAGTTGCTTAGATAAAAGGTTTGCTTTACAGCCCTTCCTCTACCACTATCCTGCAAAAAAAAGAAAGAGAGAGAGCGAGAGCGAGCAGAATGGATCTCAAGACCTAAAAAGGAAATGCCAGGCAGTTTCCCTCTCATCACAGGTTGTTTAAGGCCCACCCCTTTCATCTGCTGAAAATATTTAACAGATATTTTTCTAGTGACCAATGAAGCAAAAATATCATTGACACACCCCCTGATATTTGATGCAAGTGCTCAATATTCTTTTTCACAGTACTATTTTGCACTGTAATACAGTATGTAAAGTGCAAAAAATCTACAAAAATCTGCCTTCAGCATCAACTTATTTACCATTTTTAGGATGGTGTGAGAGGATTAAATTGGCATCCCTTTGCATAGAGTAATTTTTGTTAATCACATATATTTGCACACATAGGTTATAATAGTTAAACATAGATTAGCTACAGTAGCTTAGCTGGAGAAAACTTAGGTCGAGTTCATTGCTTAAAGATCAGTAGGACTTGGAAAGTTAAAAGGGAAGATCCACCTAGCAAAGGAGAAGAAGGAAGTACCAGTTCTGTGGTAAGGATATGACATGTAGCATTTAGGAGACTGGTACATTGTAGGAACAAGCACCAACTGATGGTCCAAACATATGCCATGGCCAGAGCTGTGATTTAATCCTTGTTGAGGGATTATTAAGGAAAGATCAGGTTAAGATTGGGAAGTGCCACTTCAGATACCTGGGAATGCAGTTAGTGAATACTACCAATGCTGGTAAGTACAAATCATGCAAGTGAAGTTTGTAAGACCATCATTTATTTTTCTTTCATTATTCTTCTGAGTGTAACATTTCTATTCTGTTTACTTACACTTCTTTGATTCATTTTATATAAATTGGATTCATTCAACTCAAAAAAGCAAGGAGCTATCCTAAAACCCAGTATTTTATCTGCATGGCAAACTTTAAGGGGTATTTAATGCAGTTACACTTACATTCAAATTGTTTTGGGTGCATCCAGAAATTAAAAGTTATATTACAAAGGAAAGGCATAAACATAATGGTACTATAATTTAAAACATTTCTTGAGTTTCTCAACCAGGTGGAAGATGCCTGTGACCTACCAGATATAATTTCTAAGAAATATAGCCTACACCATAATTTTGTTTATCAGTAAATAATAGCATTTGCAACAGAACATACCTAAGTAGAGACAGGGCAGATGGTTTTGCATTGCAATTTCTTGAGCACGCAGATGTTTCTTGACAGTGATTGGATAATATGTTCCACCTTTCACAGTTGCATCATTCGCAATAATCAAACACTCCACCCTGTAAATACAATTGACAACAGCTAGCTGACCAAGAGAATTACTAAGGTTAATCTTAAAAACATCAATTAATTAAACAGATATGATAGTTATGAGATTCATATCTATTGTATCTCTCCATCTATCAATCACAGTAGCAGCAGTAGTAGTAGGAACCTTTATTGGCGTAAGAATGAAATACAATTCTACATAAATCCATACAATCCTGCAATGATCTCCCCAAAACAGCATTGATAATGGGCACTAGAGAGACTCTTAGCAATCTCCCATAGAAAGGTTGCTGTTCTCTCCACTATGTTAGCCAACTCTGTGGACAGAACAAATTGGACCTTTTCCTGGTCTGACTGAGCTCTCATGATCAAAATCAAACCTAGATACTTGGTACACAATTCCTGAAAACATAAACAGCCCAAAATATGTTTGACATTGTTTCCATGCCTCATCTATCGTATGTACCAATGGTTTGAGATTTGTATCATTCCCATCAACTCCTAAGCTATAACAGAACTTGTTTCACAAACAGGTTATTACTGTTAAAAAGATCCTGACAAAGTTGCATTTCTGCATCTGTCATGTGAAGAATCTAATTTGTGCTACAGCAATGAAAGTGGCAGGTCAAAGAATTTGGAAAAGGAAAAAAGGTAATAATCTTGAAGGACCTGCTAATACTAATCCAATCCTTAGAGAAGGAATGAGGAACCTCAGACCCATGAACCAAATTTGGTCCTCCATGGTTCCCCAAATACCACAACCTCTTCCCACTGGTCAAATAACCTTTCAACCAACCATGGATTAGTGGTGCTTTTTCATCTTTTGTGCAATTTGTTCCCTTTCTAAAAAAAAAAGAGATGTGCATTTCCTGAAGCTTAGTTACTAGCTGGAGGAGTTTTAAGTTTTTATTTTGGTATCTTTGGCCCTGCCTCTTTGGCCCTCCTTAAAGCTGCAAATTGAAATGTTAATGGTTATGTACCATAAAGGGAAATTACAGGATCAGGTGGTGCGACCTGAAGGAGAGCCAATACTGATGAATAGGGGGAGATATAGCATTGGGAGGAGGGGTGGTCAGGTAACAGAAACATAGCCCAAGCAAGTTACAATTCTGCACTGTTCCTGATCTGCTTGCAACTGCAGGCCAAGCCTGCCCTCAGGTCTCCAGAGGCTGTTGCTAAATACCAGACTGGTGCCAAATAAAATCTCCCTAGCCACAATTTAACGGTGGCATGTATAACCAGTACCTGGGCATGTAAGTAGGGAAGAGGTAGCTGTCCCAGTTGTGCCGACCAAGAGACTTGATACAGCACCTCTGGAGAAACAGGGGCATGGATTGCACTGATCTACATTCTCTCACTGTCTCCAGACTCCCTGACTCCTAGCATTTGCATTTTGTGTTATGCCAACAGGACAGACTGGGGATTCTACTGGTGAACCATGCTACAACTCAACCTTGTCCCTACCTAAGCCAACAGAGGCTGTCTTGATTGAAGTTGAGGTCCCATGGTGTCTCAGGATTTTACAGACTCCATGACAACCCTGGGATTGCTCCAACATCTCATCAGTCTAACATATAAGCAGCGCATATTCTGCATTTGTATTTTGTAGCCTGGCACAGGGATAATGATGGTGGCGGACTTTGAAACATGTTCAGAAAACTGTTTGCTGAGTGATCACTAATAGTGACTCTTTCTGCAGGTGTGTGGGAGCTATTGAAATGGTCCATCCCTGGAGGCTGTTAGATCCAGATATTTTCCAGAGGACTCTCAGGAAGTTTCTTGCAATCCTGTTAAATCCCAGGTCAACCTCTTGAATACTGAGATGTCTGACATTTGACATGACATTTGACATGATTGCTCTTGAGACTCCTCTTCATAGCAGAGTAGCACAGCTCATGTACAACTCTGTGGTATATTCTGGAGCTGAGAGCAATGAAACAGGAGACAGCTTGAATGCAGATGGGGAAAAAGATATAGGAGCTTCTGTCAAGACCTGGTATGTACCTATAGTCAGGTATATCTGGAGGTTGTGAGACAAGAAAAAAAGCAGTACCCCAGTGCCCCACATCCATACTGGATTGTCTCGCTTGGCTTATCAAAGCTTGCAGGGAGTGGATGGCTGAAAGGACCAAGGAGGTGATCAGGGCATCTTTAGAAGAGGAAGAGGCCCCATTCCACCTGAAACAGGCAGTGATGAGGCCATTCCTGAGGAATGCCCATCTGGATCAATCTCAATAATTTTATTTTAGGTAAACCATTCTGATAGATGGTCTTCCGCTATTTCTTCTGTCTTTGATTGTCCCTACCATTATTGTTTACTCTGATGAGTCTTTCCTTCTCTTGATGTGCCCAAAGTATAACAGCTTCAGTTTTGTTATTTTTGCTTCCAAGGAAAGTTCTGGCTTGACCGCAGTCATTAAATTTCATTTTAAATCTGGTCTTTAAATGTTGTAGTGAGATTTTCATAATGTTTATTGTCATTAGTTTTTTATACTGTATTCTTATTGTATTTGATGTGCTGTTGTAAACTGCCCAGAAAGCTTCAGCTATTGGGCAGTATAGAAATAAAATAAACAAACAAATTATCCCTAATGCTCTAAAGCCTGCAATATTTTTTGTCTATCATTATTTTAATTTTCTAAGAACATACTCTACTACATCACACTTGTTTCCATAGCATCAGGGTTTTTGTTCACCAGTTCCTGGATACTATAAAAAGTATGCTCACCATTACTTCAATCAGAAGAAAAAATGAGATAAAAAGGTGCTTTCACCAGTGCATCTGAATGGCTTCTTTGAATCAGTTGACAGAGCAAGAGTATTCCGCAGCCAAATTTCCAATAAACAGCCTGTGACAGACTGTTAACAGTGGATCACAAACTGAAGCAGCAAGCAGGACCAATAAACACACCATAATAATATACCTATTAATTTTGGTTTCTCAAGATTGTTTTCAGATATTGTGCAAGTATCAAAGTCAGAACAGAAACCAACAAACTCCACAGAAATGCACCAATAGCAGTTCTCACCCTGAAACCCGCCCAATGCCTGTAAGGATGCCACCTGCTGGTACTTCTTCATTGCCATACAACTGGTAACCTGCAAACTGCGAGAACTCCAAGAATGGAGACCTGAGAAGAGAGAAAAAAATCTTAGGAAAGTTAGTACATAAAGCAATTTGGTGCTGATTGGTATTACTTTTTGAAGCTCCTAAAGAGCCTGGTAAGTGAAGAAAATGTATTTTATGTATGTTGTTAATTTAGAATGTTAGCTCCAGGTAACTAATGGTTGTATTTAAAAGCTTGGAAACAAAGCATTCTGTTAAGTAACATACTTTGGCTTAAATCCAACATTGTGCTAGTAGAAGTTTGAGTGCAATAGGATTGTCTCTCCTCCTGCATCTTCCCTCTTGTGGCCCTCTACTGCCATCTAAAAATCTACTTCAGAGAGTTTCCCAGGTCTCCAGAACAAATTTTGAGGGTGCACAAGTCCCCGGCCCACTTCCACTGGCATAACTGCTTCCATTAGCAGAATGAAACCATTGGAGATAAGCTTCATCTGTAAAGTATTAATAATGAAGGAGCATATACCCACCCAGGATCTATAAGTCTGTCAATTCTTTCTCTAGGTAACAATTTTCCTCTGGATGTATGAAGGTTCCGTGACTTCTCTCCACCACCTGTCATGCAAGATCATTGATTACTCCAATCTTTGATTACCCTGCTTATGCAAGCAGTTGAACAAATAGCCCTAACTTTTAGCAGTAATTAAAATGCATGCATAAACAAAAAGGATGAATGATATTCTGAATAATATGCACATGTTTTCATGATCCTTCTTATGTTTATTTACCGATCTAATACCTGTGCTTATCCACTCCTTCCCTACTAGTTTGCTGCACTGACATGCTGGCTGTACAAAATGAGCTTTCTTCCTTCATGGCTAGCATGAAAATTAAATAGGCTAGTAGAGGGGGGAGAATTCCTGGTTGCCTAGGGCAGCCAGGCAAGTTATTAAATGTAGGTCTGAGCAATGTGGGAACTTATTCCAGGCACTACTGCAGCTTCATAGAATCCTTCCAATGTACTGATGACTTTCATGAATGACCATGCCACAGAGAAGACATGTGAATCTATATGTCCTTATCATCCTCTATGGTCTTTAGAAACCCCCTCTGTACTATATAAGTTAACCCACTGTCAGCTCATTTTTTCTCTCTCCTGTCTTTGTGTTTCTATAAAACCGTATGCCTCGCCTTTTCTAAAACAATATACTGTCTTTTCTCAGCAGAGCCCTTCCTGAACTCTTACCTTACTGAATATCAGTATCTCCGTTAGACTCCTCACAAGATCTTTCACACTCCTTGCTTTAAGTCACTGACACCTACTCAATTTCTATCTACCTCTGACTAGGAAGGGCCAGATCACTTGTATACTGATGCTAAACAGATGTGAAACATTACTGCCTCTCATATGTTTTTAAAAGCAGTATTGGAAGCCAAGCACAAGCAAATTCCTATATACACTGCTTTAATAAATGAAAAATAGAACATACATACCTAATCTGATTTTTTCTGCTTGCTGTTGGAGTTTTGTTACTAATGCTTTCATTCGTTCATAGTTTTCCTGATAAGAGAATATAAATAAATGGAGGAATGTTTCAACTTCCTTTACATATTTAACAATGTCATTTACAAACCACTTTTTTCAAACTAGTTACTGGAGTATTTAAACTGAACTGTTATTTTAACTGTTTTCTACTTATTTCCCTTTAGTATCTTCTATCTTAAGAGTTTCAGAAGTTTACATTTTCGCACTTAAGAAATATCAGTGTACTCCTGGTGAGCCTCTGAAGATTACTATCCTAGATAAGGTGGATAGTAGAGAACAAGCCTTCTCAGTAGTGACACCCCATCTGTAGAATATATGCCCCAAGAAGGATCACCAGCTGCCAAAACTGTTACAATTTTGCTGAGAAGCAAAGATGTGCTTATTCCCCACCCCCACGAGGCTTTCTAATTCATTCCTTTAACTGCTTTGCTGACCAGAAATATAGAAATCCTTTAAAAATTGATAAAATAAATCTAAAAGGCTATGTAGCAAACTTTCGGTCATTTCTCCTTATATCCTCCTGACAATAAGAAGCTAGCATGATGCTTGGCAAGCACCTTGTAAAAAAAAAAAAAAAAAGTGGGGGGAGTTAGAATGTGATTCCCAAAGCAATACAAGGAACTGTTCTGAGAAGAAAGAGTGTGTGTGGAACTAGCAATGTTTACATCTAGGTCAACCTTCCAAAACCTGGGGCCTTCATGCTATTTCAGACCTCAATTCCCACCAACGCCCACGAACATAGCAAGGAATGCTAAATGCTGTAGCCTAAACAATCAGGACAGCAAGCTTGGAAAAACTTTCTAGGATAATTTTAACTAGTCAGTGAAATCTGACTTGAAGTTAGAAAGTGTTGACTATTCTGTATTCTACATAACGCTAATTCAGGTTAACATGACCCTCAGAATTAACAATAATGAGGTTTTCTGAGTTTAACACGATATTCCAGATCATCAGTTTTGTCACAGAAAGGGCAGTGTGGGGAGAGAAGAGTGCCTGTGGGAGAGAGAAAAAATGAAACCATACATGTAAAAGAATGACCCTGGGCCAGTATCTGTCTCAACTCTTATATATGTCAAGTCTTTAAAAATCTCTGCTTATGCTTCAGTTATATTTTATATTTGATTGCAATGTTAACATATCCTTACAGAAAGATACATCTGAAGAATAGGATGAAGATTTATTTATCCATTCTATTAGTAAGGATTGTCATGATATGAAGAATGAAAGTCAACTTGACTTAAAAATCCTCCCCCTCATCAGCTTTTGAAAGAGAAAACAAAGATTCTTAATAGGGTTTTGATTGGGTAAAAGAAGAAACACACATTACAAAGTAAATGTAAGGTTCTTTCTGTTGTGTTAATGGGTCATGAGATGTTAACTGGCATCTCATGCCAAAGACTTGAGTGAGTGTTACTGAACCAATTAAAAATAGTGTGGAAATTGGAAAGAAATACAAAAAAATCACATTTGATTTTGAAAAGGGGCATTCGTTACAATGAAGGTAGTGGTAAAAAGGAAATAGGGTAAGAGGATCCAGTCTCTTCAGAATGCCTATTCTTATGTGCCATAAAGCCATCTTTGACTTATCGCAACCCTATGAATAGATGCTCTCCAAAATGTCCTGTCCTTGACAGCCCTCTATGCTTCAGAAAGCTTGAGGTTACTCAAAATAACAATCATTGACAGTCAGCTAGAAAGTACACCGTAGGTCAGAAAAGACAACCCAAAGCCCAGGAGTATTTCAGCATAGTTAGCATGCTTGGAAGTCCCAAGGAAGACCAAAGAGAAAAAATTTGCTTCAAAAAGCTGAACTTTTGCCCAGTGAAGAAAATGAAAAGAACACAGACTCACACACATAAGAATGCAAGCAGACAATAAGGAAAAATAATAAGTAGGCAAAGAAAGATATCTTGAGGAGTATATTGGCAATAACATTAAACTGTTCATTAAATTCCTGAAAAGACACGAAACTGGTTAGGGTGAAGAACACTGGATGGATGCAGAGTTAAAAGGAGGACAAGGAAATTTCAGAGAAGTTGAATAAAAAACTTCAGAAAATTTCTTCTTCAATGCAATAAATGGAGGGCAGATAATCTGCTATGCCACAATGGATATTTTCAGAAATGGAGATGCAGGATGAGGCTAACAGTGATGACAAGAAATTAATTTCTAGGTATTAAAAACACAGAGAACACATTGAAAACACAGAAAATACTGGGCAGGGAAAGTTTTCCTCCCTCTCTGATAATACCAAATGCTAGGATCATCCAATTAAGCTAAATGATAGAAAAAGCACGGTGTAACAAAAGTAGTACTTGTTCATCCTGAGCAGAGTTGTATGGAATTCAGTACCACAAAATGAAATTAGGGTTACCAACATGGATAGCTTTAAAAAGGGATAGCTTTAAACAATTTAATAGAGGTTTAGATTATTAATAGCTATTAGCTATTATGGTTTTAGAGATATATAGAGGATTAGAGGAAATATACCACTTTATACCTTTTGCTGGAGAATTCAAGTAGAAGGGTGTTATTGCATTCACATCCTACCATAAGTTTCCTATAGACATCTGGTTGGCTCTGTGAGAACTGAACATGACTAGATAGGAGTTTAGTCTAACCCAACTTTTTTCTTCCAAACTCTGTCTTTTGCTCTTAAGCAGCAGACAGGAAGCATATAACCCCAAGTTATTGCAAACATTTCCCATCCAAATCTGGCTTTTTAGGGCCAACTAGAGGAAAATCTGTTTCAAGAGCTTCAGCTGTTGGGCAGTATAGAAATTAAATAAATAAAATTATACTAGATAAATGCCTATCTTTCCAGCCAATTCTCCCTTATAAGCTCCCCAATACATTCCAGTGCATACATTACCTCAGCAGATATGGATTCAGAAATGTGTATTTGTAACATATAGTTCTGTCACTCTGTTATAATTTCTACAAGCCTTACAGTTTAATCTCAGTATTTAAACAAAGTCTTGCAGGAATCTTAGAGTAGAATGTGCATATTTATCCCTTTCATCTTCCAAAATACTTTAAACCTGTGTTGCAAATGCAACAACGCAAGCATACAAAAAGAAATCCCAGAACTTTAGCAGCAAGTGTAGTGCACTGTATTTCAAAAGTCACATAACAGAACTATAATGTATAAAACCATGCAAAAGTTAAATTATGTGATTAAAAGGAGAGTGAATTAATAAGTAATTCAAAGCTTTCAAGGCTACAAATCTGAATATCTGAAAAGAAAAATTACTTTATAAAACAGCAGCTGTAACAGCTTTTACTTTCCCCCACTAACCCTGTGAAGTTAATCTTAATGTTACGCTCTAAAATCAGAATCAAAAGAACTACTTCAGCGACACTGAAAGGCTTGGATAAGTTCAGAGGAATGTTTGCCTCTTTATTTATTCAAGTGTAGCTATGTTAGTTTACAAATGGTTTTTCAGTCTATCCAGTTTCAAAAGTGGCTTGCTATACAGAATCAAGGGCTTCTGTTCAAAAATATGGAACCCCAAACCTCCTTGTCTGCAGTGTTACATGAACAAACCTGAGGTACACAAATTCCCTTGCAAACTTCAGTTCCCTCCTGCTACATCCAAAATGGCAAACCACAGTTCACTGTTCAGTCAGTAACCTACAACGTCTGCTTTCCAAATCAGGATTAGAAACCAAGTTTTGATAAGTTGGACAAATCAGTTTTATTTTAATAAACTGGTGACTTGTCAAACATGTTTTCTCTAACAGAGCCATATACATCATGAAGCCCACCAAGGAGTTTTTCTTCTTCCATTCAAATTCATAAAGGAAAATAAACTCTTTCCTAATCAACAAATCCATACTAAGATTTAAAATTGTTTTTATTATGTTTACCCTTGGTTCTTGTTAAACCTCTGAGCTGTCAAGACACCATTCTCAATTCCAAATCTCTTGACATTTAACAACCAAAATATTTGCCAGCAACCAAGGGTAAGAGAATCAAAGAGTTTGTCAAATGCACAAACCCAAGGCTCACTCACATAATGACCCATACATGGTTTGGCATTACATAAGCCTTGACCTTTATATTTAATGATTCATGCAGAACACTGGAATCTTTAAAAAAGCATGATCATGACGTTACACAACCATGGAAAAAGATAACTGAACCCATTTTAATTTAATTTGACAACAGGAACTAGAGAAACTGTGAATGAAATCTAGAAGTGTAATTATTAACACATAGGGAAAAAAAGTACAGTAAGTGTGCAACCCATTCTGTCTTAATCCCTGTGGTCTTGCCTACATCATTAGATTTCAGAAATTAAACACATACTCTCTGTATCACCAAATTGCATTTCTATCTATTCCGCCTTGGAATTTGTCCTCCACCCTGTCTTGTTAAATCTACGGAGAATGACAAACGATAGAGGTCAAGAAGTGCAAGAGTAATCTTTTATGTTGCACTTTTCAGTTTGCACAGTATTTTGTTATATTACATTTGGTCAGAGTATAAGCACCTCAAGGAAGGAAGCTCACAAGGTTCCTGTTGGTATAACATAGTATACACCTTATGGCCTTCATAAATAATAACTGTGTCTATGTGATAGCTAACAGGGCCATCTTACTCCTTGAATATCATACCAGATTTTCTCGTGTATATTTATTAAATTTATTTATTTAATTAATTACTGTTAAACTCAGTACATCTGGCCTTTTTTGACCTCTTACTTGAAACTGAATAATTTTTTTAAAACCCCCAAACTTTTGGACCATCACAATGAGAAGCTGTATAGTACATGGGCCTTAAGTCAGCAGCTAATTTCATAAGGGAAGGGAAATTTGAAGAACGAAAACCTCTTTCAACTCCAGCTAATGGCTTTCCAGCAAGTCCACTATGAAAGCCACCATACCTCCCATGCTTGTTCTTGTCTCTGTCTTGTCAACTAGTGACCAAGTGATGTTCCTAAGCAGGCTGGGCACTAGCTGACAAACCGTATATGAATGCAGCTTTCTGAAGATAGTTATTTCAGCGCTGCAGTACTATGCAGATATATTCCTTAGTATGAACCACTTCAATCAGTTCTCCTGAGTAAGCATTTATATAATTGATGCCAAGACAATTGAATATATGTAGGTCTAATACATGGCCAGGGCAGCTTATTTTATATTGCATGTATTTTATTTTAATGTTTATATTTTTAATTATAATTATTTTAACTAATTGTTGTAAGCCGACCCGAGGCTTCGGCGAATGGGGCGGCATAAAAATGTTTTAATAAATAAATAATAAATAAATAAATAATAGCAACTGACTGTGATCAGGGGATATGTTTCTACAAATCATTTTGTGAGGATATCACAATTTCTTTGCTGTTTTTCAGCAAAGCGGGCCTTAAAACCTAAAGGAACATGGTCTTTTATTTATTATATTTATATCCCAACTTTTGCCCTTTTCAAACAAATCAGGGCAGCTTACATAATTCTCCTCCTTCTCTAATCTTACCCTCATAGCAATAACCCTGTGAGGTAGGTTGGGCTGAGTGTCTGTGACTGGCCCAAAGTCACCCAGTGAGCTCCATGGCTGAGCGGAGACTAGAACTGAGATTTTGTGAGTGAGCATTTCACACCGCACTGGTTCCAGCTGAGTACAGAAGCCTTAAAAGCTGTTTTCCTTTCCATTGGCTGCATATCTTATGAATGGGCTGTCTGAATAGATGAACCAGAATAAAATATGGAAACATATCTGCATGTGGGATGGAATACTACTTTCTTTTAAGCATTCTTATAGGGTCTTAATATGGCTACCCTACAGTATTCGGGGAGGGGGGGAATGTCACATTTGGGGGAGTGGAACAAGAGCTCCAATGAGTTGCCAAACTATGCAAGAATGTTAATACACAAAGTTCTCTGTACTAAGCACAATAACTTTTGCACTTTCTTATACTTATACCGTATTTTTTGCTCTATAAGACGGACTTTTCTCCCCCTCAAAAGTCAGGGGAAATGTCTGTGCGTCTTATAGAGTGAATGTGTGTGTGCCCGACACCCGGGACGCTGGCGGCCCACCTGCACCACGTGGCACCACCTGGCCGGCACGTGCTCAGCATGCCCTGCTCCGCCCTCCCCCTCCAGCGCAGGTGAGTGCTGTGCCACTCAGGGGGAGAGGTGCAGAGGAGGAGGAGCTGCAGGTTTTAACCCACTGGCCGCACGGAGAGGACTGCTCACCCCCACCACCCGGAAGACCACCGCCAGCACGCTGCCGGCCCCACGTGGCACCACCTGGCCGGCACGCGCTCGGCGCGCCCTGCTCTGCCCCCCTCCTCCGGCGCAGGTGAGAGCTGTTAATCACAGGTCAGTGTGTGTTTTCAAATGGCAACCCATCTTTTAATGAAGCCCATGGGGAAGTGATGGGGAATGTGCCTGTGATTACCAGGAAGCTTTCCATGGATCAGTTATCTGTTAGTTGATCAGACACATTTTTTTTAGGATCAGTGGATTTTGGAACAGCAGTACCTTCGTGTATGAAGTTTATTCTTCAAAGGCTACTTAGTCTGCTGTGTGTTTGATTTACCATACAATATCTCATTTTTTGTCAGAAGTTTTTTTTCTATTATTTACTAGTAGGGCAGCCTGGGCATTACGGGCTTTTTCAGATATGTTATTGAATTGTCTGCAGCAGCTCTTGTATAACTGGTGTAGATTGTGGATTCCTTCAATAATTCCACTACTGACTAAGAAAGTGATGTCAGTGATTGTGAGCAACAGAGCTTCATAAATTCTGACTCTAGTGATGATGAGTTCTATGGGTTCAACAAAAACTAGAAGAGTACTTGAACTTTAAAGTCTCTCTTTTGTTAATGACAGTGATGATGGTTCTTAATGCAACTGTTGACTGCTGTTCACTTTACAAGGTTGAAATACAATATTACTGTATTCTGTTATAGTTTATTAAATAGTTTTGTAAACCATTTGATTCAGAATATTTTTTTCTTGTTTTCCTCCTATAAAAACTAGGTGCGTCTTATGGTCAGGTGCGTCTTATAGAGCGAAAAACACAGTATATGAAAATTCAGGGTTATATGGCACACTACTAACTTGGGTAGCAGGTCCCACTGTTGCTGGAAAGGGCATAAAAACTGGTTCACACAAGATTATAGGCTGTTGCTGAATTGTGTTGTTTGAACCCATCCATACTAAGAATGTATGGGGGATCCAGAGTTTGCTGTTGGATTTTAAACATCTTTCTGAAATACTCTGGGTTCAAATAAAGATGTCAAAGATTAAAATCTCATCAAATTGGAGTAATTTTAAAAAATGCAGATACTGAAAATAGAATAAACCAACTTACAAAGATGGTTGCTATCCTTTATACATCATCAAGGTCTTTGCATTTTATAAACTTGCCCCTGATGAAGGAAAGCAGCATTTGTCTCTGCAAGCACTGAGCTCAAATAAAAGTTTCACTTGGCACCTTTGAGAATATTTGTCTTCTTGTCTGATACATCTCTTCCAGAAAATCCTGCACCCCTGCATTCTTCTGGATTCACTGTTGCCTGAAGCAAGGAAGAACAACCTTGCCAAGACACTTTCACTGCTCCCAAATTCTCGGATCAAAGATGTGGCCTTTAGAGGTCATCTAGTTTTAGTCCAATCCCATGATCAATGCAGGTTGTAGCTACACTGCTTATATACTTCCCGTGAGAAAAAAAAAACGGCAGCTGGAGTATTTGAGGAATCTGGCAAGAAACACACAAGCATTTTGAGGGTCAGTATGGGGATCATGAACTACTAATTCATCCGACAAGGGAAGATCTTCCCAACAACTGGTCACGCTTCTCCGCATGGCAGAAAGCTTTACCCACCTGGGCTGCTTACCAAGTAGTTATCAAAAAGGCATGCAAGCCTCACCTTTACCTGCATAAAAAGAAAGCGCCTACAAAACAATGTAGGCGTTGCAAGGAAACAGTCCGGACCAGCTGCAAAAAGCGCCACTGCCGGTGCCGATTGCCAAGCGAAGTACCGCGACAAAACCGCGTATGGGTTCCGGGGGCTTCTTCAAGGAGCCACCCCAGGAAAAAGGAGCAGGCAGAGGGGGCCGAGGGCTCCCTCTCGCTCCTCTAAAGCCTCTTCCAATAAAAATAAATAATAAATGAGGGTTCTTTAAAGCCGAACAGCTCGTCTCGTCTTCCCCGGCCTACCTGATAAAGCAAGGAGGCGGCGTCGGGCTGTGAGCCCACAGTGGCCACCTTGTCCCCGTGGTAAGCGCGGTTGAGAGCGACCGCGGCCGCCCGGGGGGCACGAAAGAGCAAGCGCGACCGACATTTCAGGCCCGGCCACATCGCTGCAGAGTCCGGCCAGAGCAACAACTTCCCGGGCAGGGGAGCGAGCGCACGGGCACGCCCCCCGCCACAGCCAATGGAGAGACGGAACGAGGCCTAAGCTACAGGATGAAGCCTTCCCCCTGGAAGCGCCGCCTGCTTCCTCCTTCCCATCACATGCACCGGCGAAGGGAATGGATGACAACTTTCTGTCCTCCCTTCTCCGCCGGTTTGCATTTCTCTCCGTTGGGAGCGTCTTTTTGCTTCCCTGCACCGCAGGATTGCCCCTCGCTCTTCTAAGCCGCGCTCCTTGTCTCTTCAGGTAAGAGAGACACTCTTGGAGGAGCCGGTCCTGCCCAGCCTAGCGCCTTCTGGTTGTTTTCACAAGTCCCACTTTTCCTAACTTTAGCCCGCTGCTGATGCGAGTCGAACTTCCAGATGCCTAGAGGACAATGCTAGGGTGGAGAAGGGTGGATTAAACTAGTGTCTATGATATACTCCGCAATTCGGTTCCTAACAAGGCACAGGCAGTAGAAGCGGAGAGTGAAGATTTGCCTTGTTTTGGCCAAAGTTTCTGGGGTTCTATGTTCGACTACCCCTGGAGGCTTCATATTGTTGCATAGCTTTAGGAGCAACTGTAGTAGGAAGGGGTGGAAGTAAAATGGTTTTGCATCAAGTACAGTGGTTGATGGACTTAGTTCTATGAATTTGAACCATAACTTTCGAAAGGCCAGCTAAGCTAGTTCTTACTACATCTTGTGTCTTGCCTTAGTTGCACGAACTGCAAATAGCCTACAAAACAGACTGAATTGAAGGCGCAACAAAACGTTGCAATATGAAGTGCTCCCTGCTCAGGGTTCCAGACGTTACATTCCCGTTCCCACCCACAAGCAGTAAGTAATTGTGGCCACTGCGTACAAGCTTACTAAGTATTTTTGGATTTTCCCTCCATTTAGGGCATTTATTGTCCTAGAGTTTGTGTTTCAGCAAAAACCTCAGGTTCCTCCAGCATGACGATACCATAGCTTTTAAAAATATTTTTACTTCATATTTTCCTCCTGGAAGCCTAAGACAGCCAACATGATCCTATTTCTCTGTTTTATCCTCATTAAAGTTTGTGAGGTACATTAGGCTGAATTCTTTGCTGTCCTAAACTCACTCAGAGAGCTCTATGGTTACATGGGGATTTGAACCTCCATATCTCCCCTTCACTCCATTTTTTATTTTATTTAAGACATTTGTACTCTGTCCATCATACTAGCTCTTCTGCAAATTCCTTTCTTTGCTTTTCCTCCAAAGACATTCCATGTCTGCTGGGCATCATCTTTATTTGGCTTTTTTTTTTGTGGGTGGGCATTGGAGGTTCTAAAAATGGTTCATATTTTAGAAAACCTTTGGGCTGCTCCAATCCTGGTGTTATTTTGACTACATAACCATCAGCACTCAGAGAACTGAGATTTCATCAACATGACTAAGTGAGGGGGCAAACTTCTATTAATACCTATTCATCAGGCACCCATTTCAGATTTGTCAAGAAAAAGTATAATAAACTTCTGGCTTTTTGGAGACATATTACATGCATAACAAGCCATATGGGTATTTCAGGACTAATATTAAATGTAAACGAACAGCAGCTGCCTATGAAACTTTAAAATGCTTTCTTTGACCATGCATAAAAGTGACCAAGCCACTGTTTATGCTACACAGAGCAAAGGGTAGATTTAATATGCACCAGTAATGTATAAAACGTATATATTATGTATCCATGAAGCCATGCACACTCCAAGTTTCCATGATTTGTGGTTTGTACAAATGTTCCAGTTCCAACTCCTCGAACAATGTTGGGCTGTTCAAAAGAGGTAGAGCTGATAGACAAATTGGGTTCAAAATTTAATAATCTGAAATTCACCTATAGTAGCAAAAATGGATATGTGCAAGAATGCTTGTCTACAGTCATCACAATCCTAGAGTTGTGATAAGGAAAACCACAGCTATACCAAAATGAGCACAGATAAGATACTTAGCTCTGGGATTTGCCAGGCTAAATTACTTGCAGTTCAGCATTAAAACTAGTTTAAAGTTCAATAATTTCAAGATCTTTCCTGGCAGAATGAATTGCTTAGGTCCACATTTGCTTAGCTTCCTATTAGGGGCTCTAATATCATTCCCTGCATCCTGAATCATTAAGCGTTAAAGAAAAACTTTATTTTTTGTTTCTTAAAATAGATAAGGTACAAAAAAAGAATGTAAGGGGGGGACTGAATTGCCAAGGGATCTTAAACAAGTATAACCTATACATTCAGAACCTGCACATTTCCAAAGAAACCAACAATTTCTATCTGTCCACTGATACTCTGCTGAAGCTCCGAAAAAGAATGTATTTTTACTATTCCAACAAATTTTCCAATCACTTCAGATCTATTATAAATCATTGTCGATATTTTAATGAGCTTCCCTTTACATCATATTAATTAGACTGGATATAATACAATTTTCATTTACCATTAAATTCTTCACTTGGTCTTCAGTTTACATAATTACTTAATTTTGCCGTAACTGCATACTCAGACAACTTATTTTTCCAATCCTCATTTGTTGGGCATTCTGATGTTTTCCATTTAGAAGCAATTGTAATTGTTGCTGCAGTTATCATGTATTTTAATAACTCTGACATGTTCTTTGAAAAAATTTCTGGCATTATATTCAAAAGCATATCAATTTGAAAGGATTTTTGTATTTCTGCATGTATCAACTTCCAAAATCTTTTAATTGTTAAAGAAAAACTTGACCAGTAAACATACAAAATTATTTATTTACATAATTTACATATATAACAGGACCACTTTATTTGAAACAGAAAGTTACAAATAAGCTTTTTACAGACCATTGAAAATGTGTATCAGACTTCTATCACATTTTAATGGAAATTTTCTGTTCCTTAGACTGTTCAGTTATCTTTTTATCATCAATATATACAATATTCATGCTAGAAAGAAACTTATTTAAAGATAATTAAAAAGGCTAACAAGGAAAACATGGTTTATGGGAAAAATTAACAGGATCACTTGTCCTTTCCATTTTGTAAGGAAAGTTAAGGCACCTTATAGCTCAGTTTATGTTTTATAAGTTTTTTGAAAAATAAATTTGTTTCACACTGCAATCTAAAATCATCACAGCATGTTACATGAATGCTTCATTATTTCATGAACCTCTTCACAGAGACACTGAAAGTACATTAGACTTCCTGAATTAATTAACATGAAGAAACGAACTTACTCTTTGCTAGAACTGATTTCACATTAACTTTTGCCACTGAGAAATGTTAATATTTCTCCAAGTCTATTGACCTAAATTTACATTTGGTAAATTATTCACTTTGTTGGTTATTTTTATTCTATTTGGGGATTCCATCTGATAATACAAACCCTAACAGTGCTAATAACTGAGATTCTGATTTTCTACTAATTGGGTTAGATCCAAACTCTGAGTAGATCCATCCAAATTTTCAACAAATTCCATTTGTTTCAGTGTTTCTGTTCCAAGCATGACTAGTTCTGGATCCAAACTATTCTCTTTATGAGGTAAAACGTGTCTGTAATTCAATTGATAGAAAATTTAGTAATATCAGTAATTATATTTTGAGATTATTATGCACAAAATAATTATCTAGCAAATGGAAGTACCTTAATTATACAAAATCTGTAGTATTATTGAACAATTGCAGGTGTAGACAGCTATTTAATAGAAATTGCAGATATCAATACACACACTGGCGGGATCTCCCCAGTAGTGAAGAAACAACCAGAATTTAGAATCCGATCACTAGCTCAACAAGATTTCAGAGGGCACAGTTCTTAAGAGAAAGCAGTTCATTTTTCAGATAAAATGACAAGGCTAATATAGACAGGTTTCCAACAATGACAAATGGAAGATGTACCTAACAAAACTAAAAAACAAGTGTGGCCAGGAGACACAAACCAAATCAGATTATAAAAGGAGTGATAGGAACTAAATCCTCTCATATTATGAGCCGTTTATGATCTTGGAGATGCTCTTACCTTCTCCCTTCTGATTTTAATTTATAATTTCTCATTTTTCAGTGGAGTTACATGGATAGATTAAAACTCAAAAAGCTGCATTTTATTATTATTAGCCTTTTGTTTCAAATTTAATACTTAAAATTCCTCTTTATTTTCAGGATGAGCAGAACCTATAGGATTATACCCCCTTAAATAAATAATCTGAGCTGAGCTGCTGCTAGTGGAACAGGGCAGGAGGAATGATGGAGGTTATTTTCACCTCTTTGTCCTCCTTTTCAATGTTTTTCACTTGATGAGCCTTTGAGCCCTTCTAAGGAGGACATGCTCACAGAAGTTGGACTAGGACTAGAGAGGCTATGGGCTTCACAACCTGGCTTATCCTCTCCCACCAGAACACCCCTTTTCCTTCCCTCCAAGGCCACATTTGCAACCTCAAGAAGAAGCTGGGTTTGGTTCCATGACAGCTGCAGAGGGGCAGAAGATTGGAACCCAGAGTCCCCCTTCCAAAACAGCTGCAACATCTCTGGCTCAGGAGGGGGACTCCAGACAATACTATGGTCCCATGGGCACTCACCCTAGAGCCATAGGATTTTTCTGTGCACTTGGGATAGTTAGATTTCTATACATTCAACTTAAATAATTTCTTCACATTTATTTCTGTACATTTAAAATGAAGCAATATTACTTTTTTGAACCCACTCACATATGCAGTTATAAAAATACATTTTAAAAGCTGACAAATTTAATGTAATAACAATTATTACTATACTGACAAGTTCAGAATAAGTGACCCTCCCCCTCCTATAAATATTTACTTCACAAAAAGAAGTAAAGATAATTTATGACCAGCCCCAAAACATAAGGTATTTTATTTTGGTGGTGCATGGTCATATAGATAGTCTCCATTGCATTTCTAAAGCACAGTTATGCATCTCAAAGGTACTTGTACCAAAATACATATTTGCTGCTGTTCTGATAATAACTTGAAACTTAATGATGTTAGGGTTTTTCCTTCAAATGGCAGATCATTCAGAATAAAACAATTCTACCTGTCAGCAAGACTCTTTTTATTGCACTAAATGTAAGGGCTAGCTGAGATGCATAATATTGTAGTGCATTACTGAATGCTGGACATCTGATACATTTCTAGGTTACTCTGAATCATCCACTTCCATGAAAATATCACTAAAAAAATATTCTGAGATCTTCGTTGGTTCTTCTTCTTTTTCCTGCTCCTTAGAAGATCCTTTATTCTCAGGTAAGTCAGAAAAAATCTACAATAAAAATTAACAGATTATATGTTTGGATTTGAAAGTATAAGTACATACAGCAACATGTATGATTTTGTTCATTCGTTTTATAAAACAATTTACTATACAAGTGATATTGTAGTTGTCATCTTAATATTTCCCTCTCACACTAGCTTGGCTCCAGAGATGCCCTTCTATTCACAGAAGAGTTTTTTGTAAATTAAGGAGGCATTCAGCCAGTACAGAGAAAGTCATTTTTGTCAATTGTTATTTCCAGAATAGACCCTTGAAGCATCCCCACACTGTTCTAGAGGGTGTCCTAATCCACCAGGACAGATTTTTTTGGCACAAGGGAAAATTGGCAAATACTCCTTTGCTCTTTTCTGTTAGTAGACTCTGGGCTCACTCCTGCTGTGAAAGGAACTCCAATGCACATGGATCCAACTCAATATGATGAAAATTGCATTAACCATGGGGGCTGGCCTGCCCCATCTGGCAAGAAGCACTTCCAACATTACAGAGGATATACAGAATTTATACACCTGAATGACACATGATGACAAAATTTTGGAGACTATACTAAAACATTTGAATTAATGTTAATGTAAACTAAGTTTTTCCCACTTTGGGGTAAATTTTTGACACAGCTACAACGAAATTCAGTTTCTGGATTTTCTTCTAGACATTGAATTGCCCAAAGTCAATGTCAACCCTGGATGTGACATTTGGAACTCATTATACATAGCTTAGAACCTCTGGTAGATCCAAGAAAATAAAGATCAAAGAAGGCTGTGGAAAGCAAAGCACTTTCTCATTTTGATAAACAGGTTAAAACAAAACTTGATCACTAGTTAAGTGCAACAGTCTGACTTGCATTTGGAAATGCTATTAATTATCAGGTAAAATAACTTGTATTAAGGCTGGCCTAAATCCTAAAGCACTTTTCCATGTGCAACCCAAAAGTGATGGAAGACACTAATAAATGAAGAATTTAGCATTTCAGAGTTCAGCACACTTATATTTAATAGATTATGTGCTTTGGCAAAGATAATCAGCTATACCTGAACAGTAGTAGAAGAGGCTCCATTCTCACATTTGGAAGGCAATGAATTGGTTGATGGAAAAGAATTGTTTTCTGGAATCTCTTCGTTGTTGTCTTTTGAGGTCAAATTTGGACATTCAGTTGTGTTTTCAGACAACACTGTGTCAGTTTTCTGGAGAGACTGTTTATCCTCCTCTGTTACTTCTTCATCAAAATTGTTATTTTTACAGATTAAAGGTAAAAATCCCAGAGTTCTTTGATATGACCTATTGAATTAAATAAATACACATTTCAAGATAAATTGTATTGTCAGTACAATAACAAAAGAGCCCACATTGCAACATTAAGGTCTCCTGAGACTGAATGTTTGAAAAAGAAGAATGAATGCATTTATTTCTCACAGGTCTGGATTAATTAGAATAGAACCCAACCAATATAAAACTCCACTAATGCTATAGTAACCTGATGTGTTCAAGTGAGCAGAGTAAGCTTATTCTAGTTCTTGCACTGGGCCTGCATACTAATTCTGTAAACCAATTCAACAGCCAATCAGGGCAGGTCAGATCTTGGAGTCAACCCAACAACAAATCATAGGTTAACTCTGAGTGTTTAGGTTTTGAACAACCTGTAGAATCCAGGTTAGGACACCACACTAACAAGTAAAGAATGGTGCAATTGTATCTGGTTAATATCAAGTGGAAGCAGCCCATCTGCTCACTCCCATTTGTACCCACCAATCTATGGCTTAATTAATCCATAATTGTGTATTACATGCAAACCAGGCCACAGAGTTAATGAGCAGCTGTAAAGAAAGAGAACTGGTGGCACTGTAAGATTATTTCCAGAATAAATTGCTTGGTTTAGGGCATACAGCCATAAAGTAGGGTCTTGTTTTTTTCTGCTACACTACAATGTTAAAATAATCCATGGGGGAGGGGCTAAACATAATAAAAACAGCTGTTAAATCAATACCTGGATAATAGGGATTTAGGAAGGCCTGATGGACTTCCCACCTGCTCTGATTGTACAGATTTACAAGTATCAACAAAGTTTCTTCTCTCTCCACTTATTTTTGCTTTTCCTTCATGGAGTGTCCTTGACTCTTGTTCATTTGTTCTAGCTGCTTCATCAAGCAGCACAGGCCCCAAATTCAGAGAAGGTTGTGCCCTTTTTTCCACTTGTAGAACTGCAGTTTCAGAAACTGGTTTAGAGGTAGATGAGATTTTCTTCTTTGAAGTGCTTGATTTCTCTGGGGGTAGTTCATCAAAGAGAGAGAGAGAGAGAATTTTGAAACTAGGGAAGCAGAAATTGAGAAAGGGCTATTGAGCTTGCTGCAACTGAATTCCATTTTGTTCTTTGTAAGGAAGTCTTTCTCCTCAGGTACATCCTCCCATAGTTACTCATGACTCCACAGGTTTTAGATATATTTCTCAAATGTACCCCCTGGCCCCAAAATATACTGCATAACAAATTGCTTTTGAAACTGGGTAACAGGAGGGGCGGGAAGAGTTTCAAAGGACTAGCAAAATCTTTAAGTAACCTCAGAAGCAATTTGGAGCCTGGCTCTTATTGAAAGCTACTTTTACAGCTCATGTATCATAAGAAATTTTGTATGTGATTATTTGTAAATAATTATGTATTAGAACAAACAGATTCCAAGCAAACATACCAGTAGCTTTCCTTGGTATACACTTTAATTCATGTGAGATCTCCTGCATTAAAAAAAATAGTACATAATTTACTTTTCAGGTGTATATCACAAGAATACAATACCATTGTTTCTCTTAAATTGGTTCTAACTAACGAATAGGGATTAAGTTTCCTAATGCTCCATCAATGCTAAAATGGATTGCATCATTCAGTGATGGAATTTCAACAGAAATCACAGGAACTCATTACCAGACAACATACAATTAAGGGACTGGTTATTTTGGACAGACTTTAGAAAAAATCTGAAAATTAATTGAAAACTCCAAATTCCTTGAGTGGTTTGAAACAAAACATTATATATATAGCAATCTATCCAGATTGAGACCATCCTCTTTAGGAAATGCCTTTACTGAGTTGCAATTTCAAGTTATGTCAACTACAGTTTTGGATGGGTGATATAACAAGGTGCCTTTTGAATGCAGATTTATTTATGATTTGTATCAAGTTGAAGACATCATTCATTACAACCTGATCTGTCCCCTATCTACTGACCCCCTCCTGACCCCAGAGAAAGATTTTTGAAAGCCCTGTCATCATAATGAACACAGGAAAAACAGTCATTTTTCTTTTAAGTATTAGTAATATAAACCACTATGTGGCAAGCAAAGTTTCTTTGTTAGCTTTGGCAGCAAAAAAGGTAAGAGAGGTTTATACAAAATTGCTATAAACTGCATTGGAGAGTCAGAGTTAAATTAAAGATGAATTTCTGTTCATAGAATTATTTAATTTATTTATATTTTATATTGTTGAAATTCTTCATTTTGTTGTCTATGCCCATTCATTTGTCATGGTCTTTGGCTAGTACAATAACTTCAAACTAAAAGAACTATTGGCAGTGGTGCTCTTTGAAAACGTTACTTAATGACTAAACTTTACTGAATTCATTTTAGTTCTTCTTATCCCATGCACCAATACAAGGAGAACATTTAGATCATGTTTGCTTTGTAATTATTTTTCTTGTATCTACAGCAGTTAAAGCAAACGTTGGAAGGTATCTAAAAATAAATTCATCCCTACAACAGTCATTGTCCATGATCTCAGCTAATGCACTACTTAATTGTCTGAGGAACCAGAGGACAAACATGAATTGAAAAATAGTCTAATTTGTATAACCAAGTTGCCTTTGAGAAATGCTTTATACTTCTCAGATTTGATGCCTTTGTAATGTTAAAGGGCAGATTCTTCAGTGCAGTATATAATCTGTAATTCTCTGATTCTCTGAATTAATGTCTGACCTTATCAGAGCTTTCTAGGTTTTTCTCTGCAGAAACAGGAGATTTTTTCTTCTTAGGGGGATCACCACTTTCTTCAAGAACTGCAGCACACCTTTTCAGATTCTTGCAGGAGACCGAATCCAGATCTGCCTGCTGTATTGAAGCTTCTTGCAGTACTCCTTTCTCTCCAGTGTTGCCAATAGAGAAGGCATTTTCTTCAACAGAAGCTGTTATGGATCCAATGCTGTACAATGTTGCCATGTTAAAATAGTAATTCACTTCAATTTAAACTTACTTCATTAAAAAAACCATTAACAGAAAAATGTGAAGCTGATTCAAGGCTGCAAAGCTTATCAGCCCCTATGTGTTAGAAGAGGCTCCACTCAACAGAATTTAACTACCTCATCACTAGAAGAATAAAATACTATTCTTACACTGCAAATCTTCCCCTTTCTTGAGATTGCTTTGCTCTTTCCCAAGGTAAAGCCTACAATGCATTTTAACAATGTGATCAATGAGGTAGCTCTGTAGTTATTTTGAATACTTTTGAACGTTAGTGTGCTTCAGGTTTTTTACAGCCAAGTGTCACAGAAAAATCTGGGTGGTTCTTCAGGTTTTCAGAAAGAGTAGTGAAAGAACTAAGTTTCTTCCACAAATTAAATATTTGTGTGTATGTAAATACACATGCGCACCATTGATTTAAAATACATGGAAATGAAATGTATCTGTTTTCAAGAAAAGACATATGCAGGGCAACACTGTGGAAAGAAACAGTCTTTTTTCTCATTAATTGGTGGCAGAGGTATGCTTGTGCGCCCGGGTCAGTCTGGGAACAGACTTCAGGCTTGCGCATCATCTCCTACTCCCATCTCATTGTTTGCAGAAGTGAGAAAAGGGGAGATTTCATGTTTGTCTCCCAAGATTAAGCAAACCTGCACTCAAAGAAACACTTCTCGTTCAGATAGCAGCTACCACAATGGCAGAGCCCAATAGGAAGCCTGCAACCTCCCTTCTTAATCTTTTTCCAGATACAATTAGAACATTAGGGCAGTAGAACAAGATAAGGAAAAGGTCTTGGGCTAATACAAGGGCATGCAGTCTTGCTACTTCCAATATGCCAGGAACAAACATCAGTTTATGTTGAAATACATTACTACTTACCTCTCTGCTTTTGCCAATTGCACTGAATTCATATTATTGGGAGTGAGAAATACTGGTGGGGGAAGTAGTTGCTCAGAACTTTGTGGTACAGCAGCAGGAAGACCACTGCAATCCCCCGTATCAGGTGAGATTTCCACCAATGTTAAAATGAATGTTGGCTCCTCCTCTGTGTCTGGATAGTCTTTGTTGTCACCATTCACTATCAAAATGTACAACGTGATGGGTGGAGAAAAGCAACATATTAACATAAAAATATAAAAAATATTTTTCTAGTATTCCATCTCGGAGTCTACCATGTATTTTTGTCTTCAAGAGTACAGTTGTCCCACAGTGCCCCAAAATTCTAGGTTCACATGTGTGCTCACCCTACACACAAAGTGAATAAAGTTAGGTGCAGTCCTGAACTGTTTGAAATCCTCACAAGAATTTTTAAATTACCAGTAACACAGTGACCAATAAGCCTAGTCCATGTTTCCATCAGAGATTTTAATGACTTTTAAAATGAATTTAATTATTTTAAAATGCACCATATTTGCACTTGCTGCTTCTCTTTTAGGCTAACTTGCAGATGAAGATTTTATTATGTAAAGCTAGTCTCCACAAGCACCAAATATTTGATTGTAAAACAATGTAAAATATACCTGCAGTCATTTCTGTGGTTGCTGAAATACTTGAATACTTGCTTGCTTCACTCTGGTAATAAAAATATCACAATTAAAATATCAAACATGCCAAATAATTCTAGTACTCAGGAAATATAAATGAGAATATAAGATGATTAAATGCCTTGATGGCTGCTTTTAAGGAACTACATGTTTATTCATGCTGTCAAGTTGAGGCACAAACCCTTTAATAAATAATAAAAATAGTCAATTTCTCCCAAAAAGATACTGCTAAAGAATAATGCAAAAAGAAATCAAGAGACTAAGCAAAAGTTATATCCCAACAGTAAGAATTTCTGAATGAAAACACTAAGCATTAGCCAAGAATAAATACTGCTTGTAAATGTGCCTTGTAACCACTTTGAAATAATTCACTTTGACTAATATCACAACTTTTGCTAAAAATGAGCCACAGAAAAGATTGTTTGGTAATTCAAAGAGAGAAAGTTCCTTAAAGGTACAATCCTATGTATGACATTTTTCTTGTTGAATCTCTTCCTGTCTAAACATGTATATGATTGCACCTTAACTATTCTAGTTATTCCATTGTTCATTTAGAACCTAGAGCTGCTTCACATGTGACATTTTACTTATGGTGCTTTTCTGCCTTTAACAACTAGCAAAAAAAGAAAAAAATACATCCAAAGTTTTGCCAGTAGGTCAGTCTGACATGTCTTTCTCTGTAGATGACCACTAAAATTGGCCAAAACAGGGAAATCTAATCAGGCCTCCAAATTCAAGGCACAGTTTTGGTAAACAACATAAGCTATTTAGCAATAAACAGGCCCAGAAACCACCTTTAGAAAAGGAATGTGTAGAGCAAATAAGACAGGGAAGCCTTTACATGGGAAATACACATACACATGTATGTTTGTGCAATCTCCCGCTACCACACACACACCAGGAGCAAGCCAATGGTTCCTGGCAGAACATTCCAACAACAGAGGATTTTCCAGATTCCTCCTTCATAGGTTGTAGACACTCCTACAGCTTCAGGAGGGAGATTTGGAGATCCATCAGTCCCCCACCCTCTCAGCCACCATAATGAGAACAATGGTGCTTGCTTCCAAGCTCACAAAAACAACCTCAACTTCATAGAGGTCCAAAAGTGGGGATTCCAGGGGGTGAGGAAAAGAGAGGCTGGGATCTGCTGTATCTTGGGTCATCTCCAGCTTAGCATATAGAAGGGGGAAAATGCAAAGTTGTACAGAGAGGCAACCCGCCTCCCATTTCTCTTTCCATCCTCTGAAGTGGATGGAAGTCCCATAGAATGAATCCTATACAATTGTATAAGGAACACCCACAATTTGTTTAACCAATATTTTAAAGTTAATTAATTTTAATTGTACATTTATTCATTTAATTCATTTTAACCATGTTATTTTATACTTAGTTGTGGTGTAGCCAATTTATTTATTTGTTAGGATTCGGCACTGTATTTGGGGTTTTAATGTTTGTAAACCACCCAGAGAGCCCTTTGGGCTATTGGGGTGGTATATAAATGCAATCAAGTAAGTAAGCAAGCAGGTCTCATTTTTTTGTTGTAGCTTCCCACTTTGCTTATGGTCCATATAGTAGCTATTTTTGTTATACAAAATGACATCTAAGACTTCTTACCTGCACAATTTCAACTGTAGACAACTGGTGTTCAACAGGACCAGAAGTCTGGACATTAGTACTTCTGTTGGGATAATCTGGTGACTCAAAAAGGCAAGTTTCTGCTTCTGGAGAAAATTTTGGAGCATTCAACTCCGATGCTAACGTCGAAGTCTCTCTTATCACACTTTCTCTTTGGAAGAATTAACATAGTTTTAAAAGTTGCCAATTAAATATATTTTGTACTGCAGAGCTTAAAAGAAATGATGCCAGGTTTATGAACATTCTTTGTCAAAATGAATTAAGATAGCTTAAACTACTACAGAAAACTTACGTTTTAGGCTGGCTATATAAATACACTAATAAATGAACAAACATAAATAAGTTCTGTGGGTACAGAATACAATGACTGTTTTTTTAAGCGTCCTCTCCAGGTTTGTTTAAGAAAGATGTTTAATTATTCCCATGCATCAAAAATACTTGGCGGAAATGACGAGGGATAATAAATACAGGCTAAGACATGGACACTCTCTATATACCAACCAATCATACATAAGTATAAAAAGCTTCATCCTGCATATGTCTCTGTTCACAGAACACTCTACATATTTCAAGCACATTGTGCCCAAGAGAGATACTAAATGTATTAGCATATAAAATAGAAATAGTGTTTGTACCTTTCCATGTTGTTTGTCTGCAAAGCAGTACCAGCACTTCCAGGCTGTAAATCTTGCTTCTCTGCAAAGTTGTTCTTAGCTAGCTTATCCACCATGAAATTCTGTTCCAGTACAACTTTCTCTTCTTCCGTAACACTTTCTGACACTTTCCCTTCTGTTATTTTAGACATTAGAACTCTACTCAGTATACTTTATAAAGCAACTTTTAAAGCATTTTGGAACACTGACAGGACATCACAGTTCACTTAATCTTTGATCTTGTTATATGGAGAATTGAATGAACTTACTAGCTATGAAGAACTCATTAACTGCAAAACTGTATGTAACTCATTCTTAGATGGACAGTCACTTATCTCCTATCTCCCAGCAAAGGAATAAATGTGGGCATATTGATGAAATTAATGGGCTTCATACACCAAGGCCCATATATATCAAGGATGGATTCAGTGGAGGCATTCTTCCAAAAACTGGACCTCACTCTCACTTTTTGCCAATAGCCTTAAATAATAAAGCTCGACAGTTGATAATCTTCATCCCATGCTTCTACAAGATCTGAAAGACTTACCACCATTGTGCATTACATTTGTTTGCTCCAAATGAAATCCAGATTTTTGTGAAGCACTCTGGTTTAATCCCAGCCCTTTATAAAGATTTGGTTTGGGTTTCGGAAATCTGCATCTTGGTAGTCCAGATGTTTTACTTCGGTTGCAAGAAGATAAACAGCTGCAACATACAGAACATAGCACTTAGAAAACTAAACTCTTGATTTTTAACATCAGACAGGAAAAAGCAGTACAACTCTTTGCAGTACAAATCAGCCAAAAAAAGCACATCCACCTTTGATGGTCCACCTCTAACACCCAATTAAGTGCATTATATGGCAGGTTTTAATTATCAGGTACAGCTAAAACATTGCAATGCACTGGAACAATATGGTGCTTATTAGGTTTGCTGGAAACAGTAAGTGGCTCAGTAACCCTTTGCTGCTTTTGGTTATCTCAGCCATAGCACCACTAGTGACAGCCATTCTACTGACACCCAAGCAGCTTTGAAGCAAATGTTATTGCCCTCCCTACTTGCCTTTTTATGGGGGAGAGTGGCAGAAGTGTACAACTGAGATCACAATATTTTATTGTTTTATTTTGTCTTTTATAACTATGCACAAAATGGAACCTGTTCATCACTTTAGTTTTCAAGAGATAGGTTGCCAACTGAAAGCTGTCATATGCATGCTAAGCAATCTATCATTTACTGGGCCCATTTCCATACTGTACTGCAATAGCAGACACTTATCAGGAGATCGGTGAAGCAATACACCACATTTTTTGCATGCTTGCAAAACTCTGGGAATTTGGAAAAAAATGCTCTCAATTGTGCATGTTTCTGCCACCCAACCACCCCCTCACACACAAAAAGGGGTAATGAGCCAGTGGTCGTTGCTCCTAAGTATCAGCTGGATATAGATAAAAGCAGCTGTCACAGGCTGTGGGACAGGGCTCCTGAAAAACAATCAAACTCAAATGAAAATGGAGTCATGATTGTAGTAAGGAGGAGTAGGAAAACAAGATCATTTTTGCTTCCAGTGACCATAGAATACCAGCTGGAAGACAGGGAGGGGAAGAATGGGGGAAAACCACCTTTGGTAATCCAAATCATCTGTCAACTGCACCATGTGATACATGAATAAACTTCCCTGTAGCCCAAAGAATAAGTCTGGGTTCTTAAACAATGTTCACTATTGTTTAGCACAGCAACACAAACCTGTCAGCTCCTGCTGTTTCCACTGTACATGGTGTATCGCAATATTCTGGAGCAGCTTTATTTGCACTGTGTGAAGAAACCTGAACATTTTTTGAGGAAACAGGCTGTGGCACATTAGTTGCTTCTAGGAGACAATCTTCCAAACCTGATGGTTCAGTACTGCAATCCTCTGTAGCAGCTTTGTTGATAGGGTCTGAAGAAACCAATTCATTTTTTGAAAGGGCTGAACATGCCACATTACAATGGACTGTATTTTCTTCTTCATTATGCTCACGTGGAAAGCTATCAGGAACATTCTGTGCATCTCTGCTGAGAAATTCTTGTCTTCTTTCTTTTTCCACAAAAAGAAGTTGAAAAGGTTATATTTTATATGTTTGCCTATTCAAATGAGAACATATGGGAACATTTGAAATAGAAAGTAGATTTCAGGAAGTTATACAATAGCATTCTGCACTAGATCCCCTTGAGACTAGAAAGCCAAATTCTGCAACTGGAATAAGTTTTGCAGTTTGAATAGATTTGTGTGTTTTATGTTACAGAGATAGGGAGCCATATTGGGTCCAGAGCTGCATTGCCCTCCGCAAGTGGGCCATATGACAGCAGGGTGCAGGGGCTATCTGTGATATTAGGTGCCACCTTTGACATCACTGGGTCTCCAAGCAAAGCATCCCATGGACTCTTCCAGCTGTTGTCGCTGTTGAAGAACATGCTTTAACCCTAGCCAAGAAAAGTCAGAGTGGAGCAAAGCTAGTTCCCCTGCATGAGATGCTGGCTAAAGGAGTGCTACAGAAGACAACTCAACTTTGTTTGGTTTATACTTCCTCTGGCCAGGGAAAGCCCATGTAGAGTGAATCCCACCTGGTCATTGGCTTTGCTTTTCATTTGGCTCTGGGACACAAAGTTTGTTCAACACTACTCACAACAAAAAAGAGAAGGTAACAGGACATGAGGAAGAATAATGCTCCAGAATTAGTGCAATAGATTTATTCAACATTCATTTTGTGGTTATAAAATAGTTTTAATTCACTCCCATAAAGTTGTAAAGCCCTAATAACATAGCAATTATACCTTGGCTGCTAATGTTTAACTGGAATCCCAGACGTTTCATGGCAAGTAGAGTCATGGCTGCTTCAGTACTCCCATATCTAATCACTGAAAAAAGTATTTTTGTATGTATAAAGAACAAAGTGGTAAGCATTCACATTCTCCCAACATGCTACCCCCCCCCCCGCCAAATTGCTTTGTAATAATTTTGGCGTATTTGAGATACCAGCAGCAGTTTTTAAACATCTGTCCAACTCAATAGCATTCAGCCTCATATCTCAAAGTGTTTCAAGCACTTTACAGTTTGGCCCATGTCTACACAGAATTCTTGTTGTTTTCAATGGAGCTTTCTCCGAAGTAACCATGTAGAGCAGGATGGAGTAACTATTTTCTGCCAGGGGGCCACATTCCTTCATATGTAACCTGTCAGGGTGGTGAGTGGGACCAAAGCCAGTAGAGAGCAGGGCTTGAACTGAAAGCTGGCTGCTGGGGAAGGGACAGATGACTTGACAGACATCAAAACTGAATCTAAGCAGGTAGCTTTTAAAATTGGATTAAAGATGCATGAATTTAGGCCAAGGGCCAGAGGTTGCCCACCCCTACAGTACACTATTTCAGCCTTAGTGGATTCTTCTTATTTTAATGAATGAGAGACTTGAGACTCTCCTATTTAAAATCAAACAGAAAACAGGGTTTATTTTACAGAATCAGTATTACCAAAATTCACAAGATAACTTGGAAGATCTGACTGATGCATTCAGTTGTTCAAGGTTTACAACCTGGATCATTACCTGTTCTGTTATTTTGGTCTTCTTGTGTAAAAACCTTGGGGAGAAAAAACCACAAGTCAAGTATTATATTTCTAAATGTTATTTTCAGTTAAGTTACTTTCCACAGAATAGAGCATTCACTTAGCAATTATAAATCACCATAAAAATTCCAGCCCAAATAGTCAGATGGGAAATTTGCACTGAGGAAAACAGGAGCTATGCTGATTTTAAAATCAAGGATATAATAATCCCAAGATTTATTTTGTGAATAAGTATTTCTAATACTTATTTTGTAAGTATTAGAAAAATACTTAACTGAAAAAACTTAAGCGCTCAGTTATTTAAGCAAGCTTTCAATGAAATTTTACTTAGTGCTATTAACAAATTTGTCAATAAAGTTTACTTAATAGCAATTTTTATAAAAACAATCAGTTATGCCTCTTATCATCAATAAACCCTGTTACATATGCACAGATTTTGGATAAAGATGTAACAGGCAATAATAAAAATATAAGTTCAAGTAAACTTTACAGTAGAGTTTACTGTGGGCATTGTCTAGCACATTGCAGAACTTCCAAAAGGTCAAAGTTAGCTTCTTTTAAAGCTAAGTTTCACATCTGGGGCATTCTACCATTTTCCAGGTAACCTTTCTAATATATCTTATTTTATTTATTTTAAGGTTACCCAGCATAGTTCAGCCCATGAGGCAGGCAATAATGGTCCCCTGGATGTCCAAAAGTTGTCAAACCTTGATTGAGAAGAACTTCAGAAAACCCTAGAGCTTTTCATATAAAAAACTTCATGGTGAAAACAATCTAATGTATGTATATATAACAGCTACAAAAATACAACTGGACCAGGACAGAATACAAACTGGAAATCAGATTTCCCACGTAATTCTACACAAAACACACAAGTTCAACTACTATACAATTTGCATGAAAAAAGAATGGCTAATATACAAATTTGGGGTGCCACTTAAGTACAAGATGAAAAGTAGATAATGTAGGGGAACAGTGTCAATAATGTTTTGGTAACTGAGATGTAGAGATCAGACATCTAGAAAAGGATGGTGTGGGGGAAGAAATTACATAGGAGATCACACATGCTGCTTACCAACCTTAAACTTTGTGCCTCATTCTAAAACTAATCTTGACAAGCAAAGTATTAACAACTCCAGTAGAGATTAAGTCAGATACCACCCCCTCCCCCAAAATAGATGGAGTTATGATTGCATACATATGGCTCTTTATTCCAGTGCAACATCCGTTGCACAGATATTGGGCCAACCTGCAGTGTGAAGTAATCCTATTCTCCCATCTGGATTCATAGCACATTCCAGGTTGAGAATAGTAATGTGTGCTGTCACTGAACTGTGGGGTTATTGTGTTGCCTGAATCCAGCCATCCTAACCATGGTTTTTTAACCATGAACAATCCACAAGAATCACCCATTGTTGTTGGTTTGTGAATTTTGGAATGTGGTATTTTACTGCACCTGGGTTTATACAACACAAAAATGGCAACCCACACTTAACCTTAAGTATGGTTTATTGTGTTGTGTGAACCTGCAAGTTCCACACTGCAAATCATGTCAGGACAGGACTATGATCTAGCTGGAATGTGAGGTTGCGCATGTATCCAACATAAACTAACACAAAATAGTGACTTGTTTCTGTTCCTCTCTTTCCTTTAGACCTCTTATTTATATTTTGCTTGAAAAATGAACTAGCATAAAAGTTTTTTTATTATTAACTTTTATATTCTGCCTTTCCTCTTGTGAGGAAACCCAGGTGACTTATATAATCCATTTTCTCTTCAAAAACAACCCTGTGAGGTAGGTTAGGCAGAGTTAATATCAGTTAATATATACCATAAACAGGGGTGGGGGTGGGGGGGAGATACTACAACCTGTGAGGAGTGCAATTCTTTATCTTCCTGCATCACAGGTTGAGCAACTACATTCAGTTCAGGAGGCGGACATGGTTCTTCAGCAATGGTCTCATATATCTCTAGCTGTTGGAGGCAGAAGCATAATTCCATTTAACGGACCCAAAAAAAGCCAACCTCACCCCACTCCAAAGTATCTAACAAATTCCCTTTGTATATTGCAATTGCATTCTGCAGACTTAAACGTATCTGAAGCAAAGCTACACTATATTCTCAAAAACTGAGAAGCACCTGAAGTTTTACAGTTTTCCAAATACAACTAAATGTGTAGACCGAGGGAAAGATTTCAAGCTTGAAGGAACTACATTGTTTTGTGTTTTTCCCTCTCCTCAGTCAAAGATCTACCAATCAGAAGTAATGAATAGAGATCATACACTTAGAATTGAGCAATGAGTGCCCTTCAGTATTCAGTATCCTAACAGTGTTAACAGCCTTCAGACATAAAAATCCATTCCTGGGCATCTGCATTTTAGCTGCATAATTTTGGATGGAAATGGCATTTGCCCTTTTTTACTGCTCTACTACAAAATGCCCAGAGGTCTACCAATAGTCTCAATTCACTTGCTGCCCATCCTCATGTGGACTGTCTTTCTCATAACAGGATTATTTTTCAACTTTCTGTTTCCAGTAATCTATCCCTGCTCTTTAATGCTTGAAGTTAAATTGCCTGGGGCCTACTATTTATTCCATTATATCTGAAGAATATGCTGAGCAGCACTTGTGAGGACAGACACACAGACAAATGGAATCATGGGGCATACGCCTCCCTACAACTGCAGTGAACTCTTTCAGAGATGTTTGGCATACCTCTTCCATAGTTTCCTCAATCTGCATGGGAACTGGATTGGGTGACCGAAGCCCTTTGGGGACAAACACTGGAGCTTTATTTACTTCCTCGGGTGAAAAGTATTCTACTTCATAGTCTGAATCAAAGTCATCATCATCATCACCATCATCTTCTTCTTCCTGAGAAGAAGCCCTAAGTGTCACCAGATTAACTTTTGAAGTTCCATATTCTTTTTTGGGTTTCTTACGAAGTGCTGGTCTTAAGCTTCTGCCTCTGCTAACATTTGGTTTAGCCTGCTTGTGGTGCTTCTTCCCTTTTTCAGTATGGACATTTTCATGTTCAAAAGTGGGAAGTGACCTTGAGTTACTGATGTTTTTCCACTGTTTCAGTCTCCTTCCTTTTTGCTTTCTAAGAAAAAAAGAGAGGTGTTTTATTAAAATAAAATTGATGGAAAAGATGGAAAAGCAAGGAACAAACCTTGAGGATGTTTAATTATATTTCTAGTATGAGCAGAGGTATATCAAATGGCAGGCAACTTGCAAAAGCTATAAAACTATTATTTAAATACCTTCTTTCAGGGACCTGCATTTAAGTTACCTACACAGTTTATTCGACCCTCCACATTCGCAGGGGTTGGGGTGCAGGACCCCTGTGAAAGTGGAAAAACTGCAAATATCTCTAACCCCTCCCCAAAGCTTAATACTGTTGACCACATATATATTGGCAGCTGCATTGCAAGTACCTCTTCCGCAGTTTGAATGACCTTTAGCTTAAAACAAAACCCAACATGCAAGAGCATGGCCCACACCAGGGGAGCTCATCCTGTCCTGTTTTGCATCACAAAACTTGCACATAGCTGCACCCTCTGTCTCAAGTCCAGCACCTGCCCTGACCTCGCCAGGTGGAGAGGGAACAGCGCACACTTCCAGGCTGACCAAGGCAGCAGCCAAGAAGAGGAGTGTTCCCCACATAGCTGTCTGCAGCATTGGCTGAAAAACTCCAAAAAATTACCATTTAATTACTGAAGGTAAACTCATGAAGAATCAAATCCATGAGTTAAACCTGAAAAAGTTGAGGTTCAAATATACATATTTGTTTTATTTATTCATAAAAGCATGTATGTCACCTTTCTGTTTAAAAAATATGTTCAAAGTGAATTTTTACCCTTTCATTGCTTCAGATGTTTCCTCCTGGGCAGTAGGGGGCTTAGAGATTTCTTTCTTCATATGTTTTTCACTTCCTGAGCATTGATCTGATGAGTCACATTTTCCAGAGTCTTTGCTTCTTGTCAAAGGCACTGTTTTAATGCTGTCTGGACACATTTGCTGCTTCAAGGATTCAGATGATGATGCAGCATCCACTACATTTCTAAAATCATGCTGGGAACAATGCAAACATAAACCAAGGTAAGCATGATTGACTTTTCACTGTCCTTCATATACACTAGACAACCACCTTTCTTAAAAACCATGACAATACTGCAAACTCTTAAATATCATTAAAACTTATTTTTATCTTACATCAAAAGAAACCTTCTGCTTAAAACACCTTTTTTAAATTAATAAGGGCCAATCTCAAGGGCTTTGAACTCATTGAAAAGTTCTTCTGAGAGAAGAGGAATGTCATGCTTGCTTCTTCCACTGCAGTTTTAATGCACCACCTGAAAAGCTGCTTCCGAGCACTGAGTGAGTTTTAAAGATAGAATTAAACAAAAAACAAACACAATTTCTGTACAGCTCAAGAGCTAAATCTCTCTAGGCAATTCACAAAGCAAAACTTAAAACCATAAAATACAGTAATTTAACAAAACATTATAAAGCTGCCTTAAAACTAGCAACAGTATAAACTTCAGGGTTCATTGTGGCATGAAAGTATGCAAAGAGGGTGGAGGACATCAGAAGAACACCTTGTGCTTAAACAGAGGCAATTTCCACCTTCACATGAGCCTATTATAGTGGCTGTGGACTTCCATAGTGGCAGTAAGATGGTCTAAGACTGCAAAAATAACTTCACAAAGACATTGAGATTGTTTTTGCAATCCCAGCAGTAGCAAACTAGCAGATAATGATTTAGGAGGAAAGGTAAGTAACTGATGGTCTACCTGTTGTTTTGGCCGGCAACTCCCGTAAGCCCTAGCTATGGTGTGAGATGGAATTGTAGGCCAAAACTTCTGGAGGGCTGTAAGTTATTAACCCTTAAGTTAGAATGACAGTACCTACCACTACTGTGGATATTGTTCCAGATTCACTGCCAGGTTGGGTTGCATCATTTTCTGAACTGCTTTCAGTTTTGCTTTCAGTTCTAGCTTCTCCTTCTAAAGAGGCTTCTTTCCTTTTTGTTGCACAAACTAGGTTTGGCTTTGGTTTCTGAAGGTGACCCCTCACAAGTACAGAGGGCTTCAAGCTCTTAGATTGACTTATTTCTTGGGAGGCAGAAATACCACTAATCAAAAAAGAAGTATTAAAAATATTAAGATCATTATAGTTTTCAGGTAACCCTGACAACAACTTTTCAAATGTACCTTTGATTGCTTAAATCATATGCATATTCATGCCTTAAAAACCAGAATAATCTCAACTATTAAGGCTCACCAACATAAACCTAATACATTTGAGACACGGAGGTAGAAAAAGGAAAAATAAGCCTATCTTTCTCTGGCAATATCAGTGAGAGTTCTAGTTATCTATGACATGGAGACAATAAAAGCAACACTAGGTTCTCAGAGTCACATTTCATTTATGTATTGCTAGTTAATTTACTTTCAAGAATATCATGATCATTTCTTTCAATAACATCTTTAGACACACACATTTTTTCTTGGTCTTTCAGAAGTTCATGTCTCTGTGACTTCTCACAGGAAGGAAGTTTCTTCTGATTGATACATCGTTTTGGTGATGGGACTTTTCTGGATTCTGACCCTTCATTTTTCTCCAAATTATCCAGTGATGCTTGGATACCGACTTCATCCTTAAAATTTCGAGCACATGAGTATGTCAGTTTATTTAATAGATCCAAACCCTAAAGACTTCATTCAAATAATGGTATAGAAGTTAGCTGGGATAAGAATTTCCCTGCAGAATCCTAAGATGCTTGACTTAATTCTTGGAATTTTATTTCAATTTTCTGCTTGATTCCTGTACATTAAATTATGAAAGTGGTAATAAACTGAAGCTTGGCCTTTGTTTCATGTAAAGCTTTATCCCATAGTAAATTTGTTAGCCCTTAGGGCACTGTAACTCAGTGTATCATTTAATGACATTGTCAATATAAAAATATGACATTTATGGCAAAAAAACCAAATCTAAATTGTGGCAAGAAAAACCTGAAGGTGGAAAATCACTTAATTTCTTTCTCACTGAATGTAAGACAAAACTATTGGCTGCAATCAAAAATCACCTTAAACTATGGTTTAGTACTTCCACCTAGACTCCCACACTCCTGCTACCCCTCTCCTTCTCCAGGGTGGCCATGAGGTACTTTGAAGCTTTCACTTCTGCTTTTGACTAATCATAACTTGTCATATCATGTGAACCTAGAACTGTGACTGCAGCAGTGGCAAGCAAGCCAACTTCAAACTGTGGTTTCCAAAGCTGGTGTCTTTTAAAAAATCATCACTATTAAGATGAACCACAGTCTGATGTTCAGCTGACATGGTATGGTGCACTCAATCAAAAGCAGACAACAGAGGTGTGGAATAGGAAGGGGAAAAGTGCAGTCCCAAGATAGGAGCTAAATTTATATATTTTCTTGCACATAGTTTGATGGATTCCTAAATGCAGTGATTCAATTTTATGGAAATAACAACAACATGGTGGGAGAAGCATAGATCAATGGTGGAGTCAGGCGGCTCTGTCATCTAACTGTTATTATCTACCTGAAAGGAAGATGCATCCTTCTTCAAGAAGAAGCTAAACAACCATAAGCTTTAGAGGACAAAAGGACAAAGACCTTCACGTTCCTCTCTAATAAACATCAGACTGGCCAACCAGAGAGCCATTCCCATGCATTAGGGATTCCCATTGCAAAACCACTGATTTCCCCACAAAAGAAAAAAGGAACATCTGACACAACATAAAAATAGATAAAAGGTAAAGGTTTCCCCTTGACATTAAGTCCAGTCATGCCTGACTCTAGGGGGCGGTGCTCATCTCCATTTCCTAGCCGAGGGAGCCAGCGTTTGTCCGCAGACAGTCTCTGTGGTCATGTGGCCGGCATGACTATACACCGAAGTGCACAGAACACTGTTACCTGCCACTGAAGTAGTACCTTTTTATCTACTTGCATTTGCTTCGAACCGGCGACCTTTCAATCAACCAGCCCAGCAGCACAGCGGTTTAAACCACTGCACCACCTGCAGTCCTAAAAAAAAAACAAAAAAACCAGATACTTGCCTGTTAAAGCAAGTGTTCAGAAACAGAAAGAAACTGGATGAGTGGCTAACCTCTGCAAGTGGGTGTAGGTCATCTTTCTCCATTTCCATTTTTTGTACTTCTCCTTCAACTGGAGCACTAACATTTTCTGTCACAGATTCTTCCCTCTTGCCATTCATCCTTCCAAGGTTGAGCCTGGCTCTCTGGAATCGCCCTCTCACTAGCTGAGCTGGCTTGATAGTACATGGTTTATCTTCATGGAAAATGGGTTTTCCACTATCACACAAAGGACAAACTGTTAATAAAGTGATTCAATAGGTATTTTTTAAAAAACTATTTGCATCTGGATGTGATACGAACACTTAAGATTTATCCCCCTTATGACAAAATCCCTGTATATAAGTAGAGTGATTCTGTAGCATGTACTGTGTGACTTCTGTGAAGTTACAATAGGCTTGAGGCCTTGTTTTGCTGTGGTCAAAGACTTATGTAGTACATGCTTAACAACATTCTGAAGTAGGACAGGGATACAATCACTATACATATTGTTATACGAGAACTGGATCAGGTCAATTCAATTTTGATTAGCTGAGGATTCTAGCTTGCTGGAAGGGTAGGAAATGAGAGTTCACTGATGACATTTGAGTCAGTCTGTGAGGAAAGAGGAAGAAGCTCTGATGTTCACGTGTGATATTTGAGAAGTACTTAAGAGAAAGTGGAGGAAAAAGGAAAGGGGCTCAACAGAAGTAACTGCCACTAAGGCAAGGAAGAACTCAAGTTAAATAGAGTTCCCTGCCTTCAAAAGAACTGTCAAGCTCCAGCTTCCACTTTCTGGCCCTTCCCAGGAGCTAAGCCCAGAGGAAATCTGCTACACAATCCAAGACCAGAAGCTTCAAATTGCCCCTCCTCAGAAGAAGAGGTGGTGGAATGCTCTGTTAATCAGCATGGTTAATCGTGTGTCTGAAGGCAGCCGGTGACTGAATGAGTCAGATACCAGGTCTAGGAAAGCTCTATTTCAGAAGCTTGCTGCTGGTTCCACTTATGATCTTGAAGTACTCAGCATGAAGAGCCAAAGTAAAACTTGGGAGTTCAGTTGAATGCCCTTAGAACCCTCTCCACACCCTCTCCACAAACAGGAATGCTGATATGATTAACATAGGCAGCTCTTCTGCGTGTGCACACAGGTTCAAATTTTAACTCGTTGAAGTGACTTGGGTAATTTTGTATTCTGCTTTATTGCTCCTTGAAATTCTTTGTGAAGGAGAGACAACATAAGAGAGAGAGAAATGCTGACAAACTCAAAGTCTGCAAGTGCCAAATACCAGGAAAGAAGTGTGTGATGGGGGGCTGCTATACTCTTAAATATGGAGAATTCATAAAATCATCACCTTACTAGTTTTACTATTTCCTTAGACATGCACATATTTTACATGCACTTCGAGCAAGGTGGTAGGATGGTGGAAAAGTCTGGCAAGTAAGACTGTTTAGAAACAGACCTGGAAATCTGTTCTGAAATCTTCTGAGAGGTCCCGGGTACTGGAGAGTCTTCCTGAATCACTTCCTTGGTATCTACCAGTCTCTCCTCCAAGACTTCAGCGGGTAAGACTTTACTGTCACAATGTAGCTGAGTCTAGAAGTATTAAGCAATGTCAATAACAAACTGAAGAACAAACTGAGGAAATGAAAATCTCAATCTTATACTTTGCATGTAAAGATACAGAAACAAAATCTCCTTTGGATGAACATGCCTTTGCTAATCAACCATCCCAAATATCGTCTAGACCATTTTTACACTTACTATCACAGAGGGAGTTCTGGTAAATCCAGATTCTTGTAGTTCTGATTTCTCATTTCCAAATCCAGCTGCAACTGCTTTTCTGTCCACTGATTGCATTTCTTTCCTTCCAATTGCCCTTCCAATATTGGGTTTGGGTCTCTGAAACCTGCCCCTGAGCAGTGCTGTTGGTTGAATAACACTTTGTTCACTTTTTCCTTCTGAGTTCTGTTTGCTGGGAAGAGACCAAAAATAAAAACAGCATATAGGGCAATTAAATCATTTTTACACTTCAGATGCATTATCACCAATACCCAACATGTGACAAAATTACATCCCTTGGTAATCCATTTGGTTTATTATTTATTAATAAAGGAAAAGCAGCAAAGGAAAAGAAGAGCTTAAAATAAGCAGGAGTTAACAATGGTCAAATTATTGGTAACTAAAATATCTCACAGACAACTAGGTTTTCTTTCTTTTCCATTCATTACTTAAGGTGCCATGTATGTTTACACTTAAAATAGTACTAAAACAGTTTCTGTATGACTTTTGCAGCCTAAACATGCTTAGGGCTGCACCCTTAATTAAGTCAATTTTATTTTGCTTTCACATTCCATAGTGACACAGTCATTGTTTTCCTAAGGATTTCTCATTTAAGTATTGGCTTAGATCCAATACTTGGATCCAAAGAACCATAAATATGCAACATATACTTTTGTCCCCTGACGAGCTGCTCCAGAAAGTCAGGAAGCCTTAAGGAATGGCACTTCATACACTTTGGGAAAGGGGCTGTTTGCCAAAAAAGCAGGAACACAGTGGAAATTCACAAACCACACATTCCAATATGTGAAGCTTCCAGAATATTAATCCCTTGCATAACCTGGAGTAGACTAGAGAGGTAGAATTTGATCCATGCCAGCTAAGTTCATGGCTGACTCATGTCAGGGCAATTAATTAGAGGGGACAAGTCAAAGCTGCTCTAGCAATAGCTCCATCACTAAATTATGAAGATTAAGGCTTAATTCTGAATTATGTTTTTATAGTATCCCATTTTCAGTACAAGAAAATGTTATTTTGCAGTAATAACCATTAACTAACTCAAGTGAATCAATCTTACAACTACTTTTCAGATTGTCAGGCCTGTAAAGAAGAGAAAAAAAACCCTTTCCAATAAAATTTTTTAAAGTAATTTAGTACTTACCTAACTGAAAGCTTTTTCTGGACATCTGGAGATAGTAAAGCTTCATTTGGTTCACTACTTTTGAAGCTGGAAAAGTTCTGGGGACATAAATGAATTTCGTTTTTGGTGACTGCTTCTTGAGTCTCTGCAGGGTGTTCCTATAACAAAAGAAACATGACATGATTCCACATTTTCTGGCTTCTTAGAATATATGAAAATGAACTGAACTGAAGCAAAATGCGATAAACTTATAAAATGCAAGAAAAACAAAAGGAAAAACTAGTGGAAGCAATTCAATAAGAAATACCAAATCAAACTCAGCAAAAACTACCAATAACTTGCTATCTTGCTCTTTATTTTTCAGTTAAAAACCTGCAATCCTATACCCTAACCCTATACACATTCCATGGTATTTACTTCCCAGTAGATGTCCATAGGGTTACACTGGAGTAATGTAATTTCCACCACCAAATTCAGTGGCATTATGCTTACCAATCTGGTTCACTCATGCCCAGTAGTTTTAGAGATTTGAACACTTCATGCTAATTCAATTCAAGCTTGTCTCCAAATATGCAGGTACTGGACTCATGAACTGAAATTGTGCAGATCTCTGAAAAGCCAGCACATTATCTACTACAGGAAATAGGCAAATTGACTGCCTACATAGAAAGCTGTGTAATGGACAAACATGTTAAATCTCAGTAGTACTAAGTGTATTTTAATGTCTATTTAGATGAGAAATAATCTCTTAGTGCATTCAACTAATAAATGGGTTCACTTTCACTAGCAAATGCATACTACAAACTGATATATTAAATTCATAATCACCAGTAAGTACCAATTTTAAAATGAAGTCTTACATCTAGGTTGGATGATTCAATGCATTCATTAGTGATATGTATTAAACTTTTTTCTGCAGTTTCTGTCTCATTCTTGTTCCTAAGCCTTTCTTCTTCTGTTCGCAGTGGTTCCTCTTTTTCTGGTAGCTTTCCTAAATTATCCTTTAGGCTAAGAGAGCAAATCTTTGGAGAAAGTTCAATTTCAGCAGAAGTCTGTTTTTGTTCTTGCTGAAGACTGAAATCACTGGTTGACCAAACAAAACATAAACAAAACATCTTTAACTACTAATAGCAAAATAAAATACAAGATTTTTTCATTTTAAAAAAAATCTAAAAACACTATAGAAATTAATACAAACATTCTACTTCCCAATAGCACATGTTCACTTTTGCTGTTCTAACGTCTCAAGTATTTTAAAAAAGTAGTAAAACAGGAGTGAGAAGGAGTTGTATCTGTGAGTCATGACAAGGAAAAACAAAAGTAATAAAGAGGAACAGAAGCAGCCATCTAACAAGGGCTGTTAAAGCTCTATTTACATGTCTAACTTTCTAAGGCCAAATTCTAAAACTCAAATGGACAGCATATGCTGCAGTGCATAGACTTCTTCCCATTAACTATTATTTCCTTTGTGTTGTAATTCAAAGAATCAAAATGTGTGGAAGATAGTACTCAACCGAGGCTTTTTGTGAATGGGACGGCATATAAATGTTCCAAATAAATAAATAAACCATGTTTGCACACAGGATCACTAGGGGGAAAACTAGCAGCTCTATATGCCAGTATTAACAGTATTACTCTGGCACAAAGCCACTGAAAGAAGAGAGAAAGATGCTAGAAATTGAAAAAACAATAGTTTGCTTGATCATCTGCCTGGAAACAGTGCCCATGTGTTTCTGTCCATGGACTAAACATGCCCTGTATTATTGTCATGTACTAACCAAATCATATGATCTGGCCAGGGCAACTTCTTCTCCCTTCTCTTTCTCCTCCTATATTTTTATTTACTTAAGTTATACTGATAATTTTAATCTTATATTTGTAAACCAATGTATTTTTTGTATTTTGTATTTAATGGTAATTTATTATGTGCTATTGTATTTCATTGTATTTTATCGTGTTGTAAGCCGCCCCGAGGTTTCGGCAAGGGGCGGCATAGAAATGTTATAATAATAATAATAATAATAATAATAATAATAATAATAATAATAATAATAAAAAATAACATAATACAATGGCTGAAGAATTCATGCAACGATAGAGAATAAGTGGCTCACTATAATAGTAGACCTTCACCTCTGGACTGTTGGGAGTTGAAGGCCAAGATCTTCTGAAGGCCCAGAGGCTGACCATCCTGGAACTACAGACTGTGCCACAAACATAGGTAGACTAATGCAATTTCCTGTGAAGAATAGGGATTTGCACTGTTTATCCTCTACCTTCCAAATACAGTATACTTACCTAGCAGCAAGAACAGTCACATCCTCCACACTGTTATTTGACAGAGGTATATTTTGGGGTTTCTGGCTCTCACACTCTAATGGACTCTTTACAGGTGACTGGCCTGTGTGCGCTAAGATTACTTCCACAGAACTGGCAGCAGGTTTGTTTGCTAATGCTTCAGAAAGTGGTATGTCAGCTTCATAAGTAGTTGCCTCCTAGGAAACAAATTAAATTTACATGAAACCTCCAAGCTATTATGCTTTATACAGAATATGACTGGAAGGAATAGAGGTAGTATATCTAGATAAGGGCATAGATTAAGTCTTCAATGCACATTAAGATAGCAGATGAATACAAATTGATATAAGGACAAGGGGAATTTGTAAATAATTATTGTACAAGTTTAAGTAATTCTGGGAGCAGCAGAGATATGTAGTCTCCAAATAACCAATGTACCACAGGTTTCTGGATCCCTCCATGCATGAATTCAATGCCACACACACACACACACACACACACACACACACACACAAAGTGGCTTATTTTACTAATATATTGGGCATGATAAAGAAGATATTTATTTATTATTTAAAACATTTCTATGCTGCCCCCATCTCAACAAAGCCTCGGGGCAGCTCACAACATACATAAAAGTACAATCAATAATTTAAAAACTGGTACCATCTTGGCTATATATTAAAATCTATAAATACAATAATAATAAATTAACAGTTAAAATAACTTTTAAATAAAAAGGTCTTCGCCTGGCGCCGAAAAGCAAATAATAACGGCGCCAGGCAGACCTCTATGGGGAGCGCATTCCATAGGTGGGGCGCCACCACAGAAAAGGCCCTCCTCCGGGTACTCACCCTCCTAATATCCTTCACGGAGGGTTCCTGGAGAAGGGCATCCGCCACCGATTGTAGGGGGCGGGCGGGCATATATGGACGCAGACGTTCCTTTAGATAACCAGGTCGGAAGCCATTAAGGGCTTTATAGGTCATAACCAACACCTTGAATTGAGCCCGGACTTCAATAGGGAGCCAGTGAAGCTGACGGAGAACTGGGGTTATATGAGAACAATGCCCAGTCCCCGTCAGCAACCTGGTAGCTCTATTTTGCACCAACTGAAGTATCCGGACCATCTTCAAGGGTCGCCCCACGTAGAGTGCGTTACAGAAATCTAGTCGGGAAGTTACCAACGCGTGGGTCACTGTGTCAGGCAGTCATTCTCCAGATAGGGACGCAACTGATGGATCAGCCGGAGCTGAAGGAAGGCACTCCTCGCCACCGCCGTCATCTGAGCTTCTAACGACAGCTCAGGGTCGAGGAGCACTCCCAAGCTGCGAACCCTGTCCCTCAGAGGGAGTGCAATCCCATTTAGGACAAGACCCAAATCTCCCACCCTGAAGCTCGAACCACCCACCAACAGGACCTCCGTCTTGTCTGGGTTGAGCTTCAGTTTATTGGCCTTCATCCAGCCCATTACCTCGGCCAGGCATCGGTTCAGTACAGCCACTGCCTCACCTGGATTGGTGGAGAACCAGAGGTAGAGCTGGGTATCATCAGCATACTGATGACTCCACTGCCCACACCTCCTGATGACCTCTCCCAGCGGTTTCATGTAGATGTTAAATAGCAAGGGGGACAAAATGGACCCCTGCGGAACTCCATGACATAACTGCCATGGCGCAGAGTCATAGTCCCCCAGCACCACCTTCTGGAATTGGCCATTGAGATAAGAGTGGAACCACGGCAAAGCTGTGCCTCCAACTCCCAATCCTGCTAGCCTATCCAGAAGGATACCATGTTCAATGGTATCGAAAGTTGCTGAGAGGTCCAGGAGAACCAATAGGGACACACTCCCCGTTTCTCTCCCTGCACGGGTCATCGTACAGGGCAACCAAGGCAGATTCAGTATCGTACCCGGGTCTGAAACTGGACTGAAATGGGTCCAGATAATCAATTTCATCCAAGAGTGCCTGGATTTGTCCTGCCACCACCCGCTCTAGCACCTTGCCCAGGAACAGAATGTTGGCCACCAGTCTATAATTGGCGACCACCCCTGGATCCAGGGATGTCTTCTTTAGGACTGGCCGGACTACCACCTCCTTTAAAGGGGCAGGTACCCGGCCGTCTCTGAAAGAGGCGTTGACCACCTCCAGGATCCAGGTCACAATCCCATCCTTGGCATTCTTGAGTAGCCAAGATGGGCAAGGGTCTAGTAAGCAGGTGGTAGGACGTACTTGTCCAAGCACCTTGTCCACATCATCAGGCTGCATCAACTGAAATTCATCCAACAATTGAGGACTCAACAGCGTCATTGGCACCTCCCCAATAGAATCTGATTCAATAGTAGAGTTCAGCTCGTGACAAATCTGAGCGATTTTCTCCCTAAAATGCTTGGCGAAGTCGTCACAGTGGGCCTTCGAGGGTGGCACCAGATCTTTCAAGATATATTTTGAATTATTTCAGATACATTCTGGTAAGAGTGTGAACAGCCCTGTTGTCTGCAATCTAATTCATCAAATGTGTGAAATGGACAGATAATGTTTTATATATGGTGTACTTACAGTGGTATCTTCACTTAAGAGTTCTGTGCTGTTATATTCAGATTCTACCAGAGGCTTCTCTGCTTCAGCAGCAGCTTTTCCTTCATCTGCCTCAATGCTTTTTACTGGTTCTTTTTGCCGCCTAGCTGCTCTTTCCAAATTTGGTTTTGGTCTCTGCATTCTTCCCCTTGTTAATGGTGCAGGTTTTAGAACAGGCTGCTTGCTCCTATCTAGTGAGGTAGATTTCTTGCAAACTCTGAAAGACCATTCATTCAATAAAAATGGGGAGGGGGGAAATGCATCATCCCATAGGTCTTAGTGGAAATTAGTACTGCAAAAATCATTCATTTGATCATGTTTAAACCTGTTAAACACATCATTTTGGATTTTAGAAGTTTGTCACAATGAAGAATCTACACACCTAATATGAAAGGCTCAAAGGCAGCAACAATAAAAAAATTAAATGAGAAAGCAAAATTATGCACTAAAAAGGCACAAAATAAAAAATCAAAATTGTTTAAAAAAATAAATCAGGACTGGATCAAAATTAGATTCTTATTTGTCTACTCAAAGACAAGTTAATTTTATGTGGTTCCTCTTGAATTTGCATTCAGAAGTTAGTAGGGTTTTATTTGTTTTAAGCTTTTATATACCGTCCAACTACTAGTGTCTCAGGATGGTCTTAGAGTAAAAGCAGCATAAAATGAATGAAGTACAGCATTCAAATAATTCCAATAAAATAAAACCCACATTAAACCCCAATCAAAAATAATGGGAAAGTAAAATGGTTTTAGCCTGTCACTGAAAGGAATAGTGTTGGCACCAGGCAAACTTCTCTGGGGAGAGCATTCCATAACCGGGGTGCCACCACAGAGAAGGCCCTTCTCTGGGTAGTCACCCTCCTAATCTCCTTCACAGAGAGTTCCCAAAGAAGGACCTCCAACCCAGATCTTAAGGGGTGGGTAGGCACCTAGAGAAGGAGATGCTCTTTCAGGTATCCAGGTCCTAAGCTGTTTAGGGCTTTATAGGGTCATCACCAGCAGCTTGGACTTCAATTGTCAGCCAGTGCAGATGGTAGAGGACCAGCACTATATATGAATACCTGCCAGTCCCTGTTAATATCCTGGCAGCTCTATTCTGAACCAATAGTGGTTGAACTGGACATTGTTATTACTGGGACATGTAAGGTGGAAAATAAAATTACATGGTACTTAAAAAGACTACTGCTGTTCCTAAGGAGTTTTAAAAGCCACAGAGATGAAAAAATTAGAAGTGTATCCAATATTTATGTTTCCCCTGATGCAAACCTGATGCAGAGCAATCGAGAATTAAATGCCCTATATCTTACAGACATTCTTTAAAAAGGCTCTAAAATCTTAATTTGATCCATTCTTGCCATCTTCATACATGAAATTGATCTGCTGCCACTATTTTCAAGACAAACAGCCTTTTCTATTCATATTATCAGTATTATATCAAACAAAACACCAGAGCACTTCCTTTCTTTCCCATACTTACAAAACTTCAGTATCTACAAGCTGGGAATCTCTTTCAACAGACTCTTCTGGTGTGACATCATCCTGATAATTAAGCATAAAAGCAAAGTGAATTGCTGTGTCTTTCTAAAACAAAGCATTCTCATCAAACAAAATCTGTGGACATCAGAAGCAGGACTAAAAGCTCAGAGAGTCTACCGACAACCAGTATGATCCTATACATGTCATCATCACAGGTAAGTAGCTATAGGAGTGTTCTGAAAGCTCATTGCACATTCTATGGGAGTGTAACTTCACCCCAAAAGCCTTCAAGTCTAGTAGTTTAACTGACATCTGAAGAATATTTGCTTTGATTGCACCCACAGCAATGCAATACATCTTTGAAATATGTGGACAATTACTGATGAAATCTTTGAAAGCAAGCAAGCAGTTGGTTGCTGGAACACTGCAGGGACAAGACTCATCTCCCTATGCTTCCTTCATGGTAACTATGCCTTGCCAGCAAAAGAAAAGCACTGAATCTAGAAACAAAGGTGTATGGCAGGGGAGCCAAAAACACTACACAAAGTCCAACACATTATGAATATTACAAGGTTTTCTTAAATCTAGTTCTTTCAAAGAGAAACCCAAAATGCTTGCCTGACCATATTTTGAGATGATGCATAAGCTATTTTTTTGTTTCTCTTCAAAATAACTAGATTGAAACAGCTGTAGCACTGAAGACATGCTGGACACTACATTATTTGGTGTGCACTCCCTACTCCCTGCTTGTTCAAGTGATTTCACACCCCCTGTACCTACTAATAATTAATAACAGAAAGGTTGTATTATTTTTCTTGTCTTCTTAAATATAAATATGCTCATCCATGTTAATAATTTTAAAACTCCTCGAACATGTACATCTTGGAGGAAAAACATTGCTAAACAACCACCTGTAAATATGCATAACTAAGATAGCATATGCATATTTCTAAATAGAGATTAACACAGATTAAGATCAATGTGAGAGACTGCTATTACATACAAATTAATATGTTCTGTACAGATTCAGAAAGCTACCATAGGGATTAACAAAATCTTTTACAGGGACTACAAAAACTGCCTCCTATGAGAGGAATAACAGAGGACTTTCCAATACCAGGGTGAAATGTTTTAATTCATCTTATTGCATACCTTTTCTACAGTCCTGTAAGATTCTGGCTTGTTACTCTTGCCTTGGGCAGGTGCTTCTTTTCTGATAGATGCTTTCACTATATTAGGTTTAGGTCTCTGTCGATGGCCTCTCATTTCTACCTTCTCTGAAAGAGTTTTTTGGGCTTCTCTACACAAAACAGAAAACAATTTCATGCTTTTCACAATCCCAACACTGTGTCGATCTCTCAAGTAACCTATACAAATTTAAGAACTGACTTAAAAGATAAAACATGGAGGAACAGGTTAGAAAGTCAGTAGATTTAAAGGAAAAAGGAATTTTCTAAAATGTCTCTATGACCTCAAATACATGACTCCTAAACAGTAATTAAGAAAAGTTGGATATTTTACATTGCTTCCACATTCAGATAATTATGACTGGATCTGTGTTAACACTGAAATTCATACTAAATCCTGTCCAAGAAGCATGAACATGGTTCATTATGAAGCAAAGTGTTTCTTCAAAATTCAGAGTCTTCTTCCTTTCATTATTAGCCAAGTAAACAAAAACAACGTTAAACTGTTTATATAATTCCTAATATAATGTATGCTTAATTTACCAACTACAACCATACCTGGACAGACATACCTAGCCACAGTCACACATGCTCTGGTAACCTCTCAACTTGACTACTGTAACATGCTCTAATGAGGGGCTGCCCTTGAAGATGGTCTGGAAACTTCAACTGGTTCAAAATAGGGAGGTGCGACTGCTGGCACAAGCAGGTCTGTGCACCCTTTTCACCCTGATACTATATTGTTTGCACTAGTTACCAATTGAGCTCTGGGCCCAATTAAGGTGCTTGTGCTAACATATAAAGCCCTAAACATCTTGGAACCAGGATACCTAAAGGAGCGCCTGCTCCCCTATGTACCTACTCAGTTCCTAAGATCAGATGAACAGGCCCTTCTAAGAGAGCCATTCTCCAAGGAGGCAAGGAGGATGGCAAATAGAAGAGGGGCCTTCTCAGTGGTTGTACCCCATGTATAAAAGGGCCTTCCAAGAGCAGTTCACCTGGTGCCATTATTACAATCTTTTCAGTGCCAGGAAAAAACAATCCTATTCTCCAGACATTTTAACAATTGATTTTATACTGGGAAATTTTAAAGGTACTGTTTTACATTGTTCTTTAGTTTAATATAGTAGTTTAATCTATTTGTATATGAGCCCTCAGCAGGATTTTGTGATTGTTATATGTTTATATATTTTTATGAGATGTTGTTTTTATTGGTATTTTTGTAATCCACTTAGAGAATCCTTGGGACTAATTTAATTGAAGAATTTAAGTTGGATAAATAAATAATAAATAATTCATTTGTATTCTGTAGTATTTCATTATTAATATTAATAAAATTTAAAAATGGAAAAAATAATAGTTCATGCAATGTTAGATTAAGGTCGCATCTCATATGGACACTATTAGGTGCAGCTTTCCTTGCCATAGCTGAATACAATAGGTGGTGAAATGCTGCACAATCCACTTTTATTTTTTAAAATTTAGTTTATATATACTTACTGGGATTCATTCTGTACACTACTGTTTGCTACAGACATCTCATCTGTCAATGATCCAATTATGTGAGCTGCTTTGTCTTCCACAGTAGTCTAGGAAAATGAAGAATTCTGTTAAGAATGAAGTACATAATGATGCAAACAATTTCATGAACATTTGGAAAGACAGTGGTCTGTGGAATTAAGACAGGTGTAGAAGGGAATAAAATTAAATGGTTGGAGCAACATAATAGAGATACTGGATTAATTTTGAATGTTTAGTATCTTACCTCTTCAGTATCACCTATAGACTCAGCAGGGGAGATCCTGATCTGCATGTCATTAACTGGGGGGTCTGTTTTCTCCAATGCACCTGCAATGTCTGATTCAAGTCTCTGCCCCTGCTCTTCTACTGTGAATGTTTCAGCAGTTGCTCTATCAGTTTTCCTGGAGTAAAAATGAAAATATTTTTATTTTCTATTTCAATGCACATGCACGCGCATGCGCGCATGCTCGTGCTCTCTCTCTCTCTCTCTCTCTCTCTCTCTCACACACACACACACACACACACACACCCCTGTCCATATGTTTCAGTTAACATAATCAAATCACAAGCCAAAAGGACTTTCACTATTTTAGCAGCTTTGGTTGAAAATAATTCTTTGTTTCCCTTTCCTGCAAAGGCCCTTTGTTTCCCCCTCCTGCAAAAGCCCCTTACCCTTTCAAACAGCTGCTGCCAAGCATTGTATGTGTCTCCAGAATGGCATGTAATGTTGAAGATTATGAGGAGGAAAGGGCATTGTTGAAAACCTGGGACTTGCCATTCATGCAAGGATACCTTTGAATCCAGGTTGTACATCTCATGCCACTTAACATAAGAACTGATGAAAAAACAAATGTACAAGCCCAAGCTGTGACCTACTACCGAAATTTAGAACACCCACTACTAACCCAACATTCCTAAACAAGGGTATGGCTGTTAATATATCACTTCATTACATTTGATTGATATGCAATTTGATTTAAAATGCCCAACAAAATATTTGTTGTATTTAGAAATTTTGGGAAAGAAGCTACTGGAATAAAGTTGTTTTCTAATCCCTAAAATGAGATGCTGAAAGGGTTTTTAACAGCAGATAATTGGCACTACAGGTGCAAAGGGAGGGTAGACAGAGTGAACACCTACAGAAACACAGAAAATGAAGCCACAGGGACAAAGCGACCAACATTTCAAAGGCAGTCACTACAGAAAGCAGTAAAACCACCTCCCTCAGAAAGAAAAAAAAATGTTATGTTTCAAAGATGTGAAGGGGGAAATTATCAAAGAACATTACCCCCAAAACCCTAAAAGATACAAAAGCATTTTGTTCAGCATTCTTTCATATCCGCAGTACTATACAAATTGTAAGTGTGCATAAATATACTTACCAATTGTTTACATAAAAGAAGGTTTTGCAAATGTAGACAGAATGCAAAAGATACTTAAGGCCACACGAGGGCCTTACACAAGATCCAGTGGAGTTTGTCATTTGTTAATGAATAACTGAAACCCCATCTGCCATATCGCTATTGCTTTTGAAGGTGTCCATTGCTAGCTACAAGTAGTTTTGAGGGGTTTAATTCATTTGGCTATTAATAAGCAGAACTAGTATACTCACATTTGTTCATGATCATTGCCTGAGGATGTTATATTCTTATTTTCACCCAGATGATCCAGTTCACCTATTTGACTCTGCAAGGAAATCAAAATAGTAAGGTGCTGGGTTCTCTCATGACAAGATAAAACACTACAGCACATCCTTTTAGCGCTAAACAATCTTGCTCAAGAAATAAACAAAAAGAAAACAACCCCCTTATTCTAAGATAGTTGAGACGTTTCCCTCAGCTTCAAAGGATTAGAACTCTCTTCAGGTTGTCATGTTATAGCAAAAAGTGATAGCAATTTTTCCTAAGAGTAAAAATAGCAGGAGAACCTTTAACATCATGCCATTAGTTTTATCTCCATATAACATTTCAAGGTTCAGTAAATTGTGCATACTAAGTACCAGTCGTGCTGAAAAAACTTGAAAAAGCCACAGTGTCATTTCAAAATTCCTGTTGTACATTGACCCTGGCGGACAGAGAACCAGCATTCTCAGTTGTTTCCATGATTTTCCCCCCATATGGGTGGGGCAGTAACTACTTACTCCAGGGGTCCCTTTTTGGGGTCAAAGGGCACATTTGGTATTTTGAGAGTATGCTATGGGCATTATCACAAAATGGATGCTGGGGGTGCCACAAAACATTCATTTTCTACAAGGCAAATTTGTGAGACAAAAAAAAAAAAAAAGCTCAAGAACCTGATTGTATGAGCTCCACACGCAGGCCCATTCTTTTAAACACAAAAGAAAATAATGCTTGAGGGCAACACCTCATTTTGCAGCATGCAAGCCTCCAAGTTTGAAAATAAAAATGTTTAGAATGCTAAAAGTCTCAAGAAATAAAATAAAATCCAGGAGGGGCAGAGACCTGATGAGTGCCAAAAGAGGTGCCCACAAGAACATATTAAAAACCCTGGGGATTAATCATTTCCTTCCTAGTCATCCTTCTTTTCCAAATTGCCGTCTACCCCAAGCCATTTTTTTCACAAGAGATAAAAGACATGGTCCTTTTAATTCTTGTGGAGGGAAGCAGCTTGAGGGAAGAGCAATTTTAAATGGAAAGGAAGCTTAGCAGTCCCTCACACAGTCTTTCTTCCACTCAATCCCAAGCTACAGCTGCTTTACTTGGTAACAAAAATCCTGATTGGGACCGAGCAGATGTCTCCAAAATCAGTCCTAGTCTGAAATGGCCTCAAGAGCTGATAACATCAACTTTTTGGCAGCATGCCTGTTGTGCATCTTCCCTGTCCCCCTTGCACTCAGTACCATCCTTTGCATTGTAATTTATATCCAGAATTATATCCTTATGCAGATGTCTGTTCCTTTGTCCTTGCTGGGAATGGACTGCAATGGAGTGCAAGTGATAAATAATATCTTTTTACTTTGTTTTGTATGTAAGCTAAGGCTAGAAATACCTTGGTTGCATCGGTTGCATCAAAGCCTTCCTTATCTGTGTTTAGAGGCATTTGAGACTTGGAAGGCTGCCCAACATGGTGCATAGAACTAGCTTCTGGAACATCTAGTTCACCAGATTCAGCTTCTATGAACACGTTATCTTGAGAACTGAAAATATTAGAACATGAAAAAAATTATTTTCCTTTCCTATCTCACACATCACATTTATGTGAAGATCAGAGTCCCCTTTATACAATTGCGCAGGCAGAGAAAGGACAGGATTCCACAACCTGGACTTTTGTTCTGAGAACAAGGATATTATATAATTGCATTGCCTCATCAATGTAATTTCATCTTCCATTTGAAGGCCTGGGGGTTTTCCTGTTACTTTTCCAACCTGTTTTCTTATCACAAAAGCTCCATTAGTACCAAGAAGAAATAAAAATTACATAATGCCTTTTATTGTTTAAAGTAGGAGCCATCCACTGGAAGCAAGCCAGGTGCCCTCCAGATGCCTTGGATTGCCACTCCCATCTGCAAATGGTGGAGGCTGCAGTCCAACACAGCTGCAGGACTCCAGGTTGGGGAAATAGATAGAGCTTTGCCCAAAGACCTTCATAAGTGAGTAGTATTCAAACCCAGTACACTCCCCACTGTATTATACTGGCATTCATATAGTGCTGTTCATCTGTTAATCTCTCATCTGCTCATCCTCACAACCACCACAGGGGACTATTACTTTCCTAATTTTACAGACAGAAACTGCAGTTGATAGGGTATGCATTTCACCAAAGTTATCCAACCAATAGGTGGTCAGGGATTTAGACCCAAGACTAAAGTCCAACACACTAAAGTTCTTCAAATTTGGTGGTGGAGTATCTGAGTAAAAAGCAGATCACAGCATGCTGCAGCTGTTCAATGTTTATGAGATTCGATGCCACAGTCATAGCAGCCTTATCCTAGCCTAAATAAAGTCAAGATAAAACAGTTGTTTTGAACAGTCCTACATAATTCCTATACAGTCTCCCCTCAGCCCATATTCTAAGAAGGTAACAGCTTCATAGCAATGTATCAGCTGAATGTTGGACCTGAGCCTATCCATATAACCAAATGTAAACAAATGCAATTGGATCTATGCCATATTATTATTATTATTATTATTATTATTATTATTATATTACATTTATATCTGGCCTCCTTTCCTCTTGCCTTCCACTACCCCATTTTATCCTTAGAGTAAATCCCTGTGAAGTAGGTTATTTATTATTAGATTTTTAACCTGTCCCATTAGTCACACAGCTCCCTAAACTTTAGGTTATGCTTAGAGTCTGTGGGTGGCCCAAAAAGGGTCACTCAATGACCTTCATGGCCAAAAAAGTGCAAGACCCCAGATCTCCAGTCTAATAGTCTAACCACCACACCACAATGGCTCTCATATAGGCAACTCTCAGCAGACACTTGCAAAGGGGAACACAAAAAGAGATGTGCTTTGCAGGACTGTGTGCATAAACCATCATATAAAGTCTACATTATTATTTCATTTCTACCTCTCCCCATAATTAAAGCGCTCTAGATGGTTCAATTTTTACCTGGATAAAGTTGGACTATGTTCTTCCTCAGCATCTTCATTAAACTGTACACAGCGCTGTGGTTCTCTCTCAACCAAAGGAAGAGTTTCAGCAGCTGTTACACCATCAGGGTCCTCCAGTTCATCACCAGCTTCACCAATGCCATTATTCTCTACACTGGATGATGCATTTTTTTCTAACAATAGATTACATATATTATATGTTTATACATCTGAACTTGTAAAATGCTGAGTTTCCAAATTAACTCTTTCCCCTGGAATTACTCTCCAGATATAAGTGTTGAAGCACTGCATTCCAGTCTTCTCACTGTTGGCCTTCCCTGCTTTTTTTTAAATAGCACTACTTTGCTCAGATAAATAAGTAATCCAAAGAAATCAGTAATTATCCTTCATATCCCCACTGAGAAGCAGAAGATGACTAATACTATACAAGCAATCACTACTATTCCAGCAACACTAAAGATGAAAGACTACACAAGTGTAACCATCAAACAAGAAGCTTTTATTGATATTGGAAAGGACCTTTGCTGGATGGGAGTTACTAATGAGTAAACAGTATAAAATGCCCCAGGGGAATCCCTCTGGCAGAAATGGGGAAGCAATCTCCAGCAAGCTCTGCTTTACTTGTTCCCTGGAAAATGTGTTCTGGAGGGCTGGGGATCCACCTGGGACTGTGGGAGAAGTGACACTTAGAACTGCAAAGAGAGGACAATCAATAAAGATCTCCTCCGTGTCCTTTCCATTTGTAGGGGTGTTCAGAGCAAAGGTGCACTTAGGATCCCCAGTCTTGGGGGCTGCTCCTGAAAGGGAATTGAAGCTAGACTCAAACCAATGCTTAGTCCTTGGCAGGGTCACTGCTAGGCCTGGGCCCCATGTGACCATAATCCCAAATATATTTCAAAGGACTCCACAGCTATTCAATAAGAATCATGTATATTTTCCCTCGTCAGATTAAGTACCAATCAGAGGGCAAGTTTTAAGAAACTGAAACTGGGTAGAAAAGGGTTAATTTTCTTCTCCCCACACATTCCAATATCCCCCAAAATATACATTTTCAAAGCAGTTAAGCTTTAAAAAAATCTTTCCTTAATAATGTGGGAAAGATGTGGGGCAGGGTAAAAATTAACTGAAAACTGTATTTTATTTTATATTATTTGGATGAGAATGTAATTGACTGTTGTTGCCTCCTCTGAAATGAAAATAAATCCTTGTAATGATATCTATATTTCTATATGTATACTACAGATATAGTAATGCATACATACCAATTTGTGTCTTAGAAGTCTGAACCCTGAATCATTTAAATGCATAGCAGCACCACTGCTCCCTGGAAGAGGTAAGCAAATAATTCCATAGTATTCCAAATGCAAACTTTTAAATTCTTACTTTTCTTTCTTGATCTTTCTTTCTCAGCCATTTCTGCAGGAATGTTTCTCTCTTCAGGGAGATTTTCTGCTTCACATTCAGAATCTTTTTTCTTCTTCTTTCTTTTCTTTTTCATCACTACAGATTCAGCAACTGCTTGCCCCTCTGCCTGTTCCAAAATACTGGGGGACTCTTCATTCTCCTTTTCAGCTGTCTCAGCATCCACCTCCATTTCTGCATCAGACATTCTGGCATTCTGGAGATCATCCTGACCATGGCTGGTTTGTCCATTGACAATTTTAGCTATCAAAATATAGCATGCAAGTATACTCACAGTCAGACAATTCTCAATAAGAATGCTTTTTTTAAAAAAAATCAAGAATATATAATCCTACTTGTTCCATATAAAACTATCAAAATCTCCTGGTCTACTATCTATCATATCCCTCCTATCCCTGGTTAAAGTAAAGAACAAAAAATAAACACTGCATTAACAGAAAGAACTAAAATTTTCAAGGTACCAAAAGCCATGGAAAACAGAATTAAACAATATTCAAAGACCAGCAGTTAGCCATGCACCAGCCAAATGTTTTTGCAGCCCTTAAGAAGGGTATAGTACAAGCTTCTAGATGGGCATTCCAGAGTAAGAAATTCTCATCATGTTTTCAAGCCCTATGTGCTCTCTCACAGATCTAACATTCTACTCACAAAAAACAAGGCCCCCATCAGACCTCAGAAGAGAGGAGGTTTCATAACAAAGACAATCTATTAATTTGCAATATAGTTTAACTATTTCTTAAAATACCTTTTCGCTTTTTTTGAGATTTGGGTGTTTTCTTCTCATTGGGAGTTTTCTCTTTTTGACCCTGACACTTAGCATCCTTTTCCTTTTTCCTCCTCTCACTTTCCAGAATCTTCTCAAGCAGTTTCGCAAAAAAATCATAGTCAAAAGGCCTTTTCTCTTCTGTCCAACAAGAAAATTTTATTTAAAGTAAAAATGTAAAAACTCCAGGCATAACCCAGAAGCTAACAAATGTATTGTGTGCCAGTAGCCTTTTTTTGATGTAGAAAGCTCTTACCTATGAAAATGCACACAACCTTGAATTTAGAAGTATAAGCTATTTAATATCAATCAATCCCATAAAGTTTACTGAATGTCAAAGACTATTATTGATACTGTAATAATTCTTCACTTCAAGAAGTTAAACAAAGATGTTATTCCAAAATGTTATCATTCAGATAATAAAACATTTAATACCTAGCAACACTTACTAAATGCTTTATCTATTCTCCATCCATTGGTCTTTTCTTCACGTTTAAATTTATTCTGAAAACAGAAAGTTGTGTAGGTTACATGTTTTCACTGAACCAAAGATATTGCTTTGAATCTAGAACATGTTTATATTTAAAGGAGACCCATTGACTGAGTCATATACATATTTGGAGCCTTACAAAAGCACAAGTGCAAGTTTTCCCCTTACTTCTAACTCAGCTCCCTCCTATGATAGGGCTGCTGAGAAAAAGAAAAGAAAGAAACATGGGGTATGTGCCCTGGTTCTCTCATATATTCTTTCATAGGTGACACCAAAAAGATCAGAAAAGGCGGGGAGGTGGGGAGCAATTAATGGATGCTTCTTGTCTGGAAAGTCTTTGGAATTAAGGGTTATAAATCTATATCCATCTACATGAGAGTAAGCCCCATAGAGCTCAGTGGCCCGTTTTTGGAGTAAACTTGTATGGGATTGCACTATTAGAAATGTCAGCTAACATGTGCTGCATGACTGAGATCAGGCTAATGGCAAACTGAAATGAAACTAAATGCCTTCATGTTCCTTAAGATTGGCAGGGGAGTCCTTGCTCCAGGAACCCTCTCTGAAGGAAGTATGGAGGGTGTCTACCCAGAGGAGGGCCTTTGCAGTGGCGCCCAGAGTATGGAATCTGCTCTCCAGAGAGGTCCGCCTGGTGCTGACATTATATTCTTTCCACTGCCAGGTAAAGACCTTTTTATTAGATCATTATTTTAACAATTAATGTTTGTAGACATTTTAGGATTTTACTTTTTTTTCCCCTTTGCCATGGTCACATTTTCTGTAGTGATGTGTTTTATATTGTTTGAACAATTAATGTTTTAATATAGTAGTTTTAGTTTTATTGTATTTTTATATCTTATAAGCCATCCTGAGCGCTTGAAGAGATAGGATAGGGTATAAATGCATGAAATAAATAAATAAAATTAGCATCGAAATGGAGCATTAAAACAAGACAAAAAGAAACAATAAGTTTGGCCCTTAGCCCTGCAATTTTGCAGCACAAAGTCTACACAGCACACACTTTGATCAAGCAAATTTACTTCAAATGATGTTTTTCCAATAGATATTTGTCAGGTAATAGAATATGAAAAAATCTACAAGTTAAGTGATACCTGTTTATCAATTTTCTCCTTTAAAAGGGGTTACCTTAATTTCTGTTCTTGCTCTGTGAGGAAAAAGCTGACTTATCATTGAGAAATCGGTTCCCACCATACTTATAGCCAAGAAGAAAAGATCTGTTTCTGTAAGGAAAACAAAATAGTTCATCTATTTTTGAAGTGATCACAGTTCTTAGTATATTAATTTTAATCTCATATTCAATAGATGCATATGTTAAGTTAAAAACCAAAGCATCCTGCTTCAATGTACTAATCAGGAAATGAGCTACCTTTCACCCTAGGAAGATGCCCTATATCAAGTAAGACTGCCAGTTCATGAAGCTCAGTACTGTTGCCCATTCTAGGAGGGTTTCCCAGTCCTATATCAGGCTTTCAGGAATTCAACTGGGATCTTTTAAAAATGTTAAGAACAGCCATGTTGATCAAACTGAGGGTCTATCTAAACCAGCATGTTGTTCACAAAGCAGCCAATCAGCTGCCCATAGGAAACCCACAAGCAGGATTTGAATGCAACAGCAACCTCCCACCCATGTTCCATAGCAGCTGGTATACAAAGACATACTAACCCCTGATACTGGCGATAGCATAAAGCCATCAGGACTAGTAGCTTGGATTTTGAAGGCCCTTGGGCAAAGCATCCTGAATAGGCCCTCAACCCCACCCACCCCCCAGCACCACCACCCACTTGTTACTGTTCCTCCTCCTCCTTTCTTATCACTGAGTCTGAAAGCAAGCAGGCAGTGGCCTCCACTCCCCCTCCTTCTACTGCTGACTAGGCTAGAGCAAAAAGCAGGAGAGCAAGTAGGTCATGAAGAGCAGAAGCAAGTCCACAAAGCTCTTGCTAGTGGACCCCTGCTGACGTATGAGCCACTTGCAAGTGCACAGCCACACCTGTCCTTGATGCTTGCACTGACTCTGCTGCTTAGCTATGACCATTCCCCTTGCAGGGAAGATAAGCACTTATGTTGCTTACTGCATCATAGTACACATTTTAATAAGAGTTATATAGCTTTAAAATTCAGAGTCATCCTTTCACTCTTCAAGGTTTCAGAGCAAAATCTGGCTGAATTAAAGCTGACAATGACACTCACAGGTTAGACTATGAAATTAAATGATGTTATCTGGAGTCACAGTCCGGAGAAGCAAAATATTAATTCTAATCTTGCTCTATGAAGAATTTAGTGTCATACAGAGGGTATTAAATCTGCTGATGAATTTGGTCAACAAAATTGAGCCATTTAAATTCTTAATCTAGAGTGAACAAAAAAGGTGACTTTATGCGAATAAATCTCAATTTGTCCAATTGTTATAGCCATATTTTTATATAGTCAAAAGTATTTTGATGGAAATGTATTACTACCTTGTTTTTATAGAAAATCTCACTCAAACCTACCTGTGCCAACTGCATCTATTTAAGTTACAAGTAAGTACCCTCACTACTGCACATATAGAAAGATGTACCCCAAGGTACTCTGTTTCATAATGATGGAAATGAAAACAATTTGCAGAACTGAGAAACAGTTGCAACTAATTTTCTTGATGTTCTTCCACAGATTTCTTTTGGCTGATTATGCCTTAAACAAAACAAGCCAGGATCCGGCATAGTCTGCCTTAAAAGCTCTGCTCCTCAAAGACCAAGATCAAAGAAAATCATCACTGAACTTCTGCCTCACAGCACAGAACTACACCTACCTTTTTCCGACCATGGCTTGGTATAATAGCTTTTCCTGAAACTTGAGTAAGTTGTTGTAGAGCCACGTTCAAAGATGGGATCATTTTCTTCCACCACACATTGCCCTTTTGTCCTTAAGACTTCTACAGTTAAACTAAATGTGAAATCAGGAGATATTAGAATACGAAAGAAAAAAAGAAGTGATATATCAAATACACTAATTATCATAATAGACAGCTTTTCATAATAACATTACTGCAATGAAAAATTCTGCTCTATTATCAACATTCCTCATTGAACTCCAGTATGGCCTTGAACTACCTTTCCATAATGACATGGAATACATAACACATTCTCCCAGTAACCACTAATACGGAATTGAAGAACAAGAATCTTCTTTCCCAGGGCCAAGTCACCTGTTAGGCAACTTGAAGCATATCTGAGCCACTGTGAAGAAGCGGAAGCTTTCTTTCTTTCAGGTTAAAGAAATGACACGCCCACTGGCTACCACCACTTACTTCCTCTGCCTTGCAACATTTCACCTCATTTTCTCTTCCTCCTCAATTTAAAACTGAGAACATGCTGCTGCTAAAATTGTTCCCTGCTGTGCATCTGGAGCCTATGCATTTGTATATGCATACGATCATTTATTAATGATTGTTACAGCAGAATGCTTGTGAGGCTTTCACATTGTGATTCTGCCATGTAGCTTTTTCTGTTCCTGTTCTTTCAATCTGTCCACTCGTCTGAGTTCTGGATCTTTATGATTTATTCATCCACACACTTGTCCAGGCTTTCCTTTGACTCCATCCATTCCCACATGCCCTCTGTTTCTCACTTCACATTTTAGGTTTATCTGCTTCCTCTATAAAAATGCTTCCATCCCTCAGCTAATGCCTACATCATTTTAAATCTACCCTTCTGGTTCCCTCAGTTCAAATACAATGTTCATCTCCAAATATTTCCTCCACACCAACACATCTTCATCCTGCAATCATTATCCATTTTTGTCTATGAATGCCACTCCTACATTCCTTTAACACAGCATTCCATGTTATTACCACAAAACAAGACTGCATACACATGTGCAAACACATACATACACTCTTTCATACTCCTCTTGTAAAGAAACATCTATTATTCTAATCCACAAATTCACATGTGCATACAATACACAGTTTGGGCAGGGCATTATGGGTACTACAGACTTTTTAACTTTTGACTCCAGTGCAGAAGGGCATTGCCTCAAGTGGCAACTTGTCTTGGTTTAGCACTGAACAATTCAATAAGGACCAGTGCCAAGTCCACCACCTAGGAAAAAGAAACCAAATGCATCGATAGAAAATGGGGAATATTTGGCTTAAGAGAACTGAAAAAGAAAAAGATCTTGGAGTAGTTGTGGACAACAGGCTAAATACCAGCCACCAAAAATGGCAAATGCTATTTTGAGATGCCTTAACAGAAGTATTATTTCCAAATCACAAGAAGTAGTAGTTCCCCTATATTTCTAACTAGTCAAACCTCATCTGGAATACTCTATGCAGTTCTGGGCACCAAGATTTAAGAAAAATGCAGAAAAATTAGAAAGGGTCCAGAGAAGGGCAACAAAAATGATCTAGGTTTTGGAAACGCTGCCCTATAGCCTTGAGAAGAGAAGAGTGATGAGGGACATGATAAGTACCTCAAAGGCTGTGACAAAAAGGAAGGTCAAGATCTCTTCTCTCTGATACCAGAGTGTAAGACACGGAATAATCAAGTCAAGTTGTGACAACCCACGTTCAGGCTAGATATCAGAAAAAGTTTCCTCACTGTCAGAGCAATATGAGAGCAAAACCAGTTGCCTAGAGGGGTTGTGGGCTCTCCCATAGTAGGAGACACTCAAAAATAAACCAGACAGTCATCTGAGTGGGATGGTGTAAATTGGTGTCCTGCAACAGCAGAGGGCTGGACCTGATGGCCTTCATGGCCCCTTCCAACTATTCCCAATTATTCCATGATTCTATAATTCCCTAAATGCATATTCTCTTTCTAAAGCAGGTTTCAATTGCCAAAACCTTACCTTTCTTCATCCAGAATAATTGAACCATCTTCTGCAACTTTCACTCGAGGAACTAGGAGGGGGCCATCCTCCTCTCCTCCTCCATCTTCTTCTTCTTCTTCTTCTTCATCTTCCTCATTTTCATCATCAAGATCAGCGACAGGTCTTTCCTCTGGCCTGAAATATGAGAAGATGATAGACAAGTAACACTAAACTCTTTTTCCCTACAGCCCAATTGTATCAGATACATCCAATAGCAGTGTTAAAACCTATGTCACATATGACTTATTTTAATTATTTTTTTCTTTATAGAGGGCTGGAGTGTAACCTACTATCTAGCATGTGTATATACATTTTAAATGTTCTGTTAAGCGACTGCATCAGAAGATGGCTGAATAACTGAAAACATGTTGTACAGATCCTTACATTAAATGTCACATTTAGCCTCCACTATATGAAAGCATGTATACGACACATAACAAACATACCGATGTGCAATTCACAATGGATCACTGAAGGGAAGAAAGTAAAAAGAGCCTGTATAAATCTCATACCAGCTAGCTGTTAATTATGACCAAAATACTGGGAATGATACCTAGCATTCTCTCTTTCTCCAGCTCCTCTCTTCCTGCACTCAAATTCCTCTTTCCACCACATACCATGGTATCGCATTATTACTGTTTTAACTCTTGGGCACTTCTAAACCAGGCTTTGCGGTAAGGGATGAAAGGCTAAGTTAGGCCTGCTATGCTAGAGTCAGGGTTCCACATCATTAAAGTCAGTGAAAAGAAATTTCTTAAGTTGAGTGTAGGAGTGGGGTGAACATACAGCCAAATGACTGCAACAGCATATTACCTGAAGCATGCTTTGTTTACAGTAAAAAGGAAAACTACTAGAACAACAATCCTATCTAGAAATTGCTCAGTTTCAGCAATTTTGTACAAACAAATCTCTTTCTTACATATCCATCTGTGCTGTTGTTGTTATTATTTTTACTATTTTTATTAATTTCCTTTCTATACAGCCCCAGAGCTGAAGCTCTCTGGGTAGTTGGTGTTGTGATTACAGGTATCTATTCCAAAGGAGAAATAAAACAATTACTCTTTTGCTTGGGTTACAGTGGACGTCTTTTCTGTTTTCTTTTCTTCCACCAGTGAAGACCTATTAAATATTTAAAAACATTATTTTCATTAATTTAATCAAATACATTTTCAAGATTTTAAATATTTATTTCTAGGCACAAACTGCCACAACAGTACATGCTCCAACTGCTATTTACCTGCATGATTTACTAGTTTATTCACAAAGAATCTTAGCTAGAAATATTAAATTTTTAAATGGTTGGTTCATACAATTAAATCTATAGGATTTATTGGTTAGTAGGGGAAGAGAACTATCCATTACAAATCTATTCCTTCAAATTCCATTTAACAACATAAGATGAGTGAAAAACTATAGTTACCTGTGGACAAAAGACAACATAATTCAGTATAACTGGAAATCCCAAACTTTCCACAAGCCTGGAAAGTGAAATATTGTCCAAGTTTATTCTTAAAAGATAAACCACAATGATGGATCTGTATGTCCTTATTTACATTTACATCCTGCATTTGGTACCTCAGCCAGTAAACAGCATAAGTGAAATAAAATCCTCACTATAAGGGATTCTTCCCTCTTGCTTATGCAAGCTGCCACTCAGCCATGGAGCTAACTTTGGGCCAGTGACAAACTCTTAACCCAACGTACCTCACAAGGTTCTTGTGAGGCTAAGATTGTGAGGAGAATTATGTAAGCCACCATGAGTTCCTTGAAAGGAAAAAGGCAGACTATAAATATAATAAGTAAGAGTGGGGGGAATCATGTATACCACTCTGAAACCTTTGGAGGAAGGAATACAGACATAACAATGTGTTTTCACAGGAAAAAAGCAATATATACTTACTTCATGGGATTATTTTCAGGCAGATAATATATGAAATCCCTCATAATCATTTTTGAACGATCTTCTGGCATAGGTTTTTCAATTACGTGGCATTTGTATTTCCGTTGTTCCTAAACACAAAAATTAATATCCAACTTTGTTAAGGTCTCAGATTTAAATCAGAGTTAAATCAATTTATTCATTTTAAAATGCATACATTTCTGCACAAATGTATAGTCAAAAAGTTCCTTATTTAGACAGACCTTTGACCAGTGAGTTAAGTGGTTCTTTCTCTATTGCCTTATGAAGTCTTTCGCCAGTCTAAATTGGTTGCCATTTTGTTTTATAATTCTCCATTACCAAAGTGATTGTCTGCTCTATTTGATTATTATATTACTGTACTTATATTATTGTATTTTATATTGCCTGTTCCATTATAATATTACTGTAATTATATCAATATATGTTTTATACCATCATACGTCACTTTGGGTGCTGATGCAGAAAGGCATGATATAAAGTTGTTACAAGAAATAAAGATGTGATCCTATACGTGTTTAGACAGAAGCGTTCAGCATCCCCAAGATAGCCATGCTGTAACGTATTATGTCTAAATATGCACAGAGTTATGTCTTAAGGTATATTTCTAAAGCTGAATATACCCTTTATACTACCTGGACCCTAACAGCATAAGTGAAAACCTATTGACATGAAGCCCTTACATTTTTGCATTACTAAATTATATAGTGAGGAGAGGCCACAGCTCACTGACTGTATCTTTTGCATGCAGGAGGCAGCAGATTCAGTTTTCAGCATCTCCAGTTAAACTGGATCAGGTAACAGATAGTGTAAATGACCTCTACCTGAAAACCATTGCCAATTAAGGTTAAAATCTGTATGGGCAATAGTATGACCTCATACAAATTAATTCCTTATATGTTGGGGAAGCTGTTAAACCAATGAGTATGGTTCATTTCTCTCTCCATACAAAGGCAAAGATCTTGTTGACTAGGGTTGAAATCGTATATTTTATTTTTATTTTATTTAGCAAACTTCTATGCCGCCCCATTCGCCGAAGTCTCAGGGTGGCTCACAACAATAAATAAATAAATAAACAAACAAACAAACACTTAAACATATAAAACAATATAATTGGAGACATCCTGGCTGAAGATGTAAAATTAATAAATAATATTAACAATTAAATGACATTTAAATAAAAAGGTCTTGGCCTGGTGCCGAAAAGCAAATGACGGCGGCGCCAGGCGGACCTCTCTGGGGAGCATATTCCATAGATTGGGCGCCACCGCAGAGAAAGTCCTCCTCCGGGTACTCACCCTCCTAATGTCCTTCACGGAGGGCTCCTGGAGAAGGGCCTCTGCCGCTGATCTCAAGGGGCGGGAGGGCATGTATGGATACAAGCGCTCCTTTAGGTAACCAGGACCCAAGCCGTTAAGGGCTTTATAGGTGATAACCAACACTTTGAATATACAGTTATTTGAAAGCAAGCCCTAACCAGTTCAGTAGCATTTACTTCCAAGTTTATTATTATGTATTTAATTTCTATACCACTCAATAGCTGAAGCTCTCTGGGGAGTTTACATGCCACATAAATATTCAAAATAAAATACAAACAGCAATAAAAACCTCATAAAAGATTACCATACCAAAATTTGGGTTCAGGCTAATAGACATTGGATCAGGCTGTAAGCACCTGGGACTTTAAAAAAAGTGAGGGAGTACTGGACAGAACTGTGCTTCTCCATGAGGTATAAAGCCACTTATTCTGTTCAGTGAATCATCATAAATATTCATAATTGGAAATCTGCATCTATCTCAAAGCTAAGTTAAAAGGCAGAATGTGAAGAAGTAAGAGATTAAATGGCTTCTAGAACCTAGTGATTGGGACTGGCTAACTAACTAACATGTTAGGTTTATTGGATTATATTTGCAATGTTGAACAAGACATATCATTTTACTATTTTCACACAGAAAAAACAGCTTTAAACTACTCTGCTTGATAGCTCACCACGGGTTCAGTTTTAAGTACAGAACTGAATGTGTGGAAAAGAATCCCCATCCCACTTGCGGTCTCTTGCACACCCCAAAATCTGCCCTGGAAAGAGGGCTGGGGTGGACTGAACTCTGCTCATACAATATTGAAACTCAGTTTACACAGGCCACAGTTCTTAAATAAAATCTACATATATCCCAGTCCTTCTTACTAAATCAAATGTATGCACAGTTATGTGGTAACTGTGGCCACTTATTGTATTCATAGGCTAATTTCTATACTTCCCCCACATATTACTGACAAAGTTACCTACTTATTAAATATACCACGTCTATCTCTTTAAAAAAAATCTACACCCCCCCTACTGATAGCAAAACTATTTGAAACTACAGTACAAACAAGATATTAAATTTATGTTAGCATAATATTAGAGATACACACATTAACAGCACACAAAATTGTTTCATAGCTGAAAACTAGGATATCAAGAATGGGATAGTGGACCACTTCCACTATATCCCTTTCATTCAGAGTATGACAGACACACACAAATTCTCCAAAGTGCCTTGTAATTGTATGATAATCACATAAAAAGCCACCTAACACATACAAGCTGTTCAGACAAAGCTCAGTGGATGACTTGTAGACCTCTGAATGTTGTTTGACTCCCATTGTCAATGCTGCCGAGTGCTGCCAGAAGCTAGAATCTCTCATCTTGAGGATATCATATTACAACATCTAGAGGTTCTGTATCTCTGATGGAAGTGCCAGAGCCATAGCTCAGTGGTAGAGCACGTGCTTTGCATACAAAAGGTCCCAATTTCAGTCCCTGCTATGAAGATAAGACTAAGAAAGTTTCTGCTGAAAACCCTGGAGTGCCACTATAGAGACAATATCAAGCTAGACAGGCCTATTGTCTGACCCAGTATAACAAAGCTTCCCATACTGAAGTTAGTACATATACAGTTTCTAATCCCTTGTCCTTTCCTTGTAACATTACAAACCTTTTACTATACCTTTTCTTTCTTTAGTTCTTCCTTGAGCATCTTTCGTAGCTTCTGACTTTTGATTAACTTCTCTCTATCTGAGCATATCCTTTTCTCTTTTTCTGAAGCTTTTGACTGTGTTATCTCTTCTTGAATCAATCTTTCCTGTGTAGGCCTCTCTTTTAGGGGAGACGATGTGTTCTTCTGAGGGGCTTCATCATTTCTTTGACCTGTTACACATGTATTTGTCTCCTTATTGGCAGATTTTTTTAATGGAGAGAACTGTGGTACTTGGGGAACAGGAGTTTTCTTTTCAGGTAATATGGGAGACTTTGGAGAAATGTCCACACTAATCTTCTCAGTTGAAGGAGATTCTTTCTGAAGTGGAGAGTTAGCAAATGTAGGAGAGTGTGGTGCTTGTTTCTGAGAACATTTTGATGTTGAAATGACAGCACGTTGCGTAGATACAGGTACAACTCTTGGTTTAGCAAGATTGGGCATAGTGGATATTCGTTTTCTTCTCTGTAGAACTGTCTCTGCCTGTTTACTATGATCTCCATCACCACCTGCATCTTTGGTCTTTTCATCTCTAGAAAATAGAAAGAAAAACTTTTCATGAACTTTCTTTAAGAGACAGTTTAGCTATTTTAAGAAGAAATAATGAATTGTTTGAAAACTATGTTCACAGATTTAGGGTACAATCCAATAAAGATTATCATAAGTATCTGTACTTAGAGGCTAATGATCACCCAGCACCCATCTTCACCTCTCAGTTGCTCCCATTCTGCATTTTCCCCAAGTCATTTTCAGCCATCTAGCTTGGGTGCTTCAGAGGGAGGGCACAGGATATATTGTATCTGGCTTTTACAGCCCTCTCCCTCTTGACATAACATCCCCTTTACCCACTCTCCAAGATAAACCTCCTGACCGCAGGGAGGTATCTAGCGTGGTTCTTTCTGTGCTGGCTATGAGTGGGAAGACAGTTCCATCTTCAAGCTCAAAATGAGGTCTCAAATCTCAGAAATGGGAATCTAAAATACTTCATGCCTCCCACAAACAATATCCTGGGGACACAGGATTGCAACTTTATTATATTTCTATCCAGTCTTTTAGAGCAATCTCTCCCTGTAAATATCGGCAACAAACAAAACTCACAGTTTTCTCTCCTATGAGACCTTATGTCCCTCTCAGAGAGCTTTAAAGGAAATAAGGAAGGTGGCTACAAGGGGAAGGGGTTTTTTCACTGGTGACACCCCAATTATGGAATCAGCTCCCCAAGGAGATGGGCCTGGCACCCACTCTTTATTTCTCTCAGTGTCAGCTAAAAAACTTTTTTATTCACCTCATATTTTAACAGTTAATAATTGCAATTCTCTTTTAAAATATTTTGTCTAATTATTATTATGTATGATGGTGTAATGTGGTGCCTGCAACAGCAGGAGGTTGGACTTGATGACCCCTTCCAACTCTACTATTCTATGTTTTATTAGATTTTTAGCCTGCCCCATTAGACATACAGCTCCCTGGGTGGGTTACAGACAATAAAGCCATATAAAAGACTGTATGCTACATGTTACTGTACTTTACTGTTGCTGCACCCTGGATTAATTTGAGTATTACTGCTGTGGGTTTGGTGTGGGCCTATTTCAGCACTGCTTTTATATTGATGTATTATTTATCTTTGATTTAAAAGGTATTTGTTTTTAATATGTGCGTTTTGATTATGTAAACCATCCAGAGAATCATCTTGGCTAATGGGTGGTATAGAAATTAAATAAAATAATTAGCAGCGAGAAATGTTGCTATGACCTGATGATGCAGTTCCCAGGTAAAATTCAGATCCATAACCCCAGTAAAAAGTCATTTAATAACTTTTTCTGTGAATAAGCTTACCTGGGATTTTTATAGTCGGATATTATGCAAATATCCCACTGAGTTTGATAGAACTCATGCCCATATAAACATGCTACAAATCGCAGTACATTCTTCTATGCATTTATTCAGATGTAAGCCTCACTAAGTTACATGGATCTTACTCCTAACAAAGCATACATAGCATTTCAGCCTTAAAACACCAGAATGAATAATGTAAAGATCAGAAGACAACACGTCAACTTGAATCTTGGCTGAGCATTTTCTGAAATCTAATTAAAATTCTTCTGGAAATAACTGTAATTTGTACAAATAACATGATTTGCTTTGGAGTTGACCTACCATACCAATTAAGTGCAAAATTAATACACCATACTTTTAAAGTTTCAATACAGCTTAATGCTTCTACTGCTATGGATTTCTTTACAAACTTAATAGCATTTGAGACTCTTTTTAACATTGTCAATAGAAAACTAGATGAATATCACAAAGTTCAGATATCTCCAAGCAGTTTAGAGAAATACTTTAGTGTGTACACAATTTTCAGGTGTTCATAACTGCAAAAAGAATGTTACTGATCCATATCTCAAACATATCTGATTTTATTACAGAAATTCTACCAGTGCTAGACAATGAGTACCACTTGTTTCCAGTTAACATGCCTACACACATACTTGGTTGACAGTGAAGACTTAGAAGACCATCATAAGAGTAAAATAGGACTAAACCCACCACACAAATTTATGACAACTGTGCTGTTGATACTTTCCATTATAATTGAAATATCATGCCCTTTAGGTGCTATAATGAGAAGAGACCCCTATCAACAGCACCACCATGCTGACAAAATGAGACAAGTTAATACTGTTCAGTTATCAGGGTCAGAGGCAGAAAGTAACTAAGTCACCCGACATTTGAGGAGTCATAGCTGGATACATAAGCAGGTCGCAGAGAAAAGTGCAGTTCCAGCAGAAATTAAACCTCTGCCTGTTTCTAACAGACAGGTCACCTGCACATGTGAACAGTCCTCATGATTTCGAGAATAAGTCTCGGGGTTTTGTTCAACGACTAATATTCTTGTTAAATAGGCAGACTTAGGAGCTCTGATTATTTTCTGTGAAGAAGAAAAGGAATAGAAACGGGCTCAACTGCAGCCAACAGTGAAGCTTACCTGCTATGGCTACTGCTGCCACCGCTCTGCGGAACGTCTCCAGCGGCGGCAGGAGTTCCCTGCTGGGCGGCCGGGCTGCCCACAGCAGTCGCAGAAGAGCAGGTGGTGGGTGTCGAATCATGCTGAGCACCTGGATCTGGAGGGGCTGCTGCTCCGGCCGCCGGCGGGGTAGCTGATCTGCCGCTGCCGCTTCTTCCCGCCGCGCTCGGCCTCACGTTCGGCTTCACGCTAAATCTGGCGCGGCGGAACATGGCGCCGGGAGACGAGTTGCCGGTGCTGCTGAAGCCCACCGTCCCCTTTTTCCTCCGGCCGGCGAGGCCGCCTCATGTCACCGGCCCCGCTCAGCCAAGCCCACCTCCCCGCCTTCCTGTCTCGGGGGATGGGGGTGAAATCGGCTGTCAGCTGCTCCAGGGCGGCGCATGAATTACGCCATCACTCTGCGTCAAACCCAACCCGAATCCCTGGTCTGCGTCATTAGGGCGCCGCCTCGTTTTTTGTTCAATTCACCCGCAGTTTTATCCGTGGTTGCAACTGTAGTTGTGCTCCAGCGCTTCATACTAGGGGTGAGGGGAATGAATAATAACCCAAGGAGTGGCAGTTAACAGAGGCAGGGGCAAATAACTCTGGTGTTAGTTGCCAAGCATCCTTTCTTCTTTTGCTTTAAAATAAAAATTATACGAGAATTGGCCAACAGAACATCTCCATGATTACAAATTTATTTGTTTAAAACATTTGTATTCTGATTTTATTCTTTGTCCTTGAAAAAAGTGAATCCACACACTTTAAAATTACGGTTAGCAAACAGCTTTGGTTATTTTGTATGTGTTTGTGTGTGTGGGGTGGGGGGTAATGCATGCGGAATGCAGACGCAGTATTAAAGCATGGAATGGCATGGTGCAGGGGAGAATGGATGGCTATGTGCTTTACAATTGTAATATGCTCTAGATCTAAAATCCCCCTAGCTGCTCCACTGATTCTAATGAGAGGAAAGACAGAGGTTTGTTAATCAACCTCATTTGTGACAATTTCAAGTATGTATCACTTTTTGTAAATTCCAGATCCCATTGGGATCAAGTGAAAACTTAAAATCCCCATACTGCTGATATCCTATTTCATCACAGCAGCTGAAATTTTAGGAAGTATATATATAGTTTCCCTTTTTATGGGTAGCAAACTTGAAAATATAATTCTACCTTATTTACTACAGAATCTAGAAAATATTTTTATATTAGTATCTTTACACTAATAAAGCTGTAACATGCTCACAATTCATTGCTACTGAGCAATCCAGTCACTAATTGCAGTTTTCAGGCCAGTATAAAATGAAGCCCCACATAAAGAGCATTGAAATAACCCAGCCCTGTTGTGGTTAGCAATGTATAAATCACTGTGGTTTAACTATCCCTGTTTGGGAAAAGTCATAGCTGATGTACCAGATGAATCTGGTAAAAGGCACAGTAATACCATGCTTATTTCAAATACTGCTTCTGTTAAGAGTTATGTATTGATCCAGTACAATTCATCACTTAATATTTTATGACTGTAGCCAAGAAACTAGAAGACTGAGACTTGGAAGGACAACAATTAAGGAACTAGAAAAACTAATCAAATATAAAGAATTTTTATCAGAGACCATGGCCAAGATCATGTATGTATTGGTATGAAAACTGGACAGTGAGGAAAGCTGATAGGAAGAAAATCGAGCATTTAAAACATGGTGCCGGTGGAGAGCTTTGTGAATACTCTGGACCAACAGAAAGACAAAATAAATCCAGAACTTTCCCTAAAAAAAATAATTATGAAACTGAACCTGTTATACTCTACAAAGGCAAAACTCACTGGAAGAAACAATAATGCTAGGGAGAGCAGAAGAGAAAGATCAAATATAAGATGGATTGATTCTACATAGGAAGCCACAGCCTAACATTTAGAAGAACTGAGCTGGACTGCCAAGAACAAGGACAGCAGCAACAAAAGTTGAAAACTGATATTTACATTGGAATAAAAATTCTATAAATAAGTATTTATAACATAAATATCTATCACCTATAAATGAAAGCTTGGCTATTTACAATATAACTCAGTACAGTTTTCTGCTATACAGTACCTGCAACACCCCTCACCCCACTATTTACAGCACTAGTGGGTGTATTCAGCACTTTAGAACATGTACTTACCTGGGATGGAGAGAGATTTTTATTAAAATCTTGAATTGCTAAATATGTAGATAATTACTAAGACCATCATAAATTACTATATTATTTGGAACACTCTTTTTAGCACACATGTTGTGTTTCCAGGTTTCCCAAGCCCAGTACATTTTTAAAAATCACAACTTTAAAAATGAGTCTTTTGTGTGCGCTTGTCTCAAAGAATAAAATGTGAGTTTAAGCCATGATGGTAAAAATAATTGACAACCCTCATTACATCAACAGTTTTTCTTAGAAATTCCAGTGATTTAAATTGATCTACTACATAAGGGAGAATCACAGCCTTAAAACTAGTCCCATTGAATTCAGTGGGATTTCTGAATAGACCAGCAGTAAATATTTATCTCGATTATCCTTTTCAAGATGATACAGAAATCATACTACTACACAAATACTAGCGAAGTAGCAATATTTCAGGTGAATCCTGGGTTGCTACTCCGAGGTAAATCCGGCTGAATCAGTTTCGCGTTGACTATACAGAGTTAGAAGACACGCAACAATAAAAATCCAGTTTGCGCATGTGCAGTAGGACTTGGAGCGTCACGGAATATCCAGTCAGAGACAGAAAGATGGCGACGTGTGAATGATGTCATAGGGGCGGTCCCTTACATAACTACAAGGACGACGGGTGGGGCGCGCAGAAGCTTCTGGCACCAGGGACGGCTGGTTGGGGCAGAGCTGTAGCTTGTGTGTGCGTAACGGTTGTGGTCGCTGGGGTTATTGTTTTGCCATGGCCCGTAAGTATTTGTACACAGCCTCCACCACTACCCCGCCGCGTTAATGGGCTCCGCTCTCCGCTGCGCCCCCGTTAGAGGCGACGATGCTGGGCCAGAGCGAAGCGGGCCTTACCGTGGCTTGTAGGCCAGAAGGAGGCGACACTCAGCTTCTTGTGCTCGTCGTCTCTATGGTGGGCGGCGATGGTCGGGAAAAAAACAAGGAGAAGCTGAAGAGAACCAGGCTGGATGTGTGGTGGGCGATCTCCCCTTTCTTTTTCGTTTTTAGGATGAGTAACCTCTAGCTGCAGCAAAGGGTTATATTCCAGGAGGACCCGTTCGAAGGAATGGGAATTTTACATTGTAGACCACCCATTAGATACAATCCAAACTGAGGGGAAAGGCTGGCCCGAAAAAGAGCAGGCCCAATTGTATAGAACGTAACCCTGATTCCCTTTTGCTGGGTGGTGTTGCGGTGCGAAACAACTTTCCCTGATTGAAGAAGACTGATTGTTCCGCTAGAGTTCCTTTGTTATGTTCTGGATAGGAAGGCTGGAAAAGCCTTCCCAACGAGTTCTAACTTTTCATAAAGCCAAAATGATGGTGGCTTCGGGAAAATGATGATATGTAGCTGTATAGTCTAAATAGTTCCTTGGATGAATTATGAAAAACAACCTGATGCCCACATTGCACTTAACTGTATTTCAAAACTGCAGCATGTTCTTGTTTTAAAGCAGTGAACAGTGATTATGGTTTCAGTTTCCCAGTAACTTGAACTGAAACAAGATCTTCAGTTCAATATCATTACTTTAAAAGTATCATTCTGCTTCAGTTCCTTAATATGCATATAGCTACAAGTGGCTTTAAAGTGCTTATTAGGAGCATGCAAGTATATGTGGAAAGATTCAAGAAGGGAGTGATTCCGTACATACTAGGAACAAGCCCCATTTTTATTCTTATATAGGTATGGCCATGTTTCTTGGTCCTTATTCTACACAGAGGAACAGAAACAGCCTAAATAAGATACAGATAAAGTTCCAATCCTGCTGCCACAGCCATTTGAACTGGCTGTGATACACAAGCATACAGTCATATGGTTTTATCTTTTTCTGGCTCTGAGCTGATTCGCAAACACTTAACCAATTTATGCATGTAGAATGTGAGTTAACATAGTTTAGTTTGATTATAATGTCTGCATCCCTTGTTGAATGAAAAGATATATGCTGATCCTTTTTCAAGGAACTGAGTTATAATGAAGTGGTACTTATTTACTGGTCTGTCCTTCCTTTACAGAAAACAGGATATATGCGTGGTCATCTATTTCAGTGTGGATTAAAAATTGATGTTTTCTTTTTTCAAAGGTTCTTGAAATTTAAATTATATTTGTTATTGGGCTATGATCTGTGGGTTGTTTGTAGTTAACCTATAGTACTCAGAGTTTCCATGAAACAGTTCACAATTTTATTGATAACCCAACATCAATATGGACTTAGGGTTGCTATTATGTGTGAATCAGGTCAGAGTGAAACAGGTCCAATATTGGCTAAGAAAAGACAAAGACTGGCCCATGTGTATCTTTTTGTAGTCTCACACTATGGCAGCAATCCTATACCCACTTACTTGGGGGTAAGCCCCATTGAACTCAGTGGAACTCCTGGGGAGACATTTATACTACTGTGTTGTTATCCTCAAATTGTCATAGGTTTTGGCCATAAGAAAGATCCTAAACTGTAGTGCTTTAAAGACATTCCTCAAATAGATGAAAAGAGAAACCATGCAAACTATATACAGCAAGACAAAGAATGAAGAAGTGTAGATAATACCTAGTTATAAATGAACATGTTGATAATCGGAAATGAATAAAAAATTCACTGGGGAGCTTGATTTAAATCAGTGATTTAAATTGACCTTTTTCTTGCTGATTTCAAAAACTGATTTTAATTACCTTGATTTATTTCAGTCCATATTGCCCTGTTTATCTTCACAATAGCCCTGTGCAGCAGGTTAAACTGAGAGAGTTTAGCCAGGTTTTATGGCCATGCAAGGATTTCTAATATAAGCTTGTTAAAAATATGAAGGCTATCATGAGGATGAGTGTGGCTATGCTCGTGTTTGTGTACTGTTCTCCTTTAAAACTTTCTACAGAATTATGAACTTGGGTGGTTGCAATTTATCCAAATGGAAAATTACTGGATAAAAGGATTCCTTTTCAGCTTAGCTAAAGATATGAAAGCCTGAAAAGTCTAGAATATTTGTTTCTTGTATTGGGACATGTTGGGAATTCTGGTGTACTGCCCACCCTGCTGCTCAGTAGTCTTCCCTCTGAGATGACACAAGTATTCTCGGGTTCAATGCTAAGGTTTCATCAACTACTAGTTGACAAGTGGAGCTCCTACAGCTCTTTGTACAGACCAGACTGAAGAGTGATGGCACAGGCAAGGAAAAGGCTGGAGCATAGATAGAAAACTCCCTGTTGAA